CAAAAGTATTGACTTTTCAGTGTATTGATTTTCTTTTTAGTCTTTGCTATTTGAGTTTTATTTTATTCCACTTAATGGAAGAAAAATTTATCAACTAGATTGATTTTATTATTAAAAGGAAAATTGACCTGTTGGTATTCTACTAAGCATACTAAAGTTAGCACAGATGTCAAGCACCTGTATAAAAAAAAATGGTTTTAATCAAATTAAATTGTTACAGACTAATTTGTGGTCTCTCTCTAATTGGTGTCAAAATTAAAATGAACTTCAGTTTAATTGGTTCTTACATTTCCTCTAAAATTATATAAGAAAGAAAAAAAGTAAATCTCAAACATGCTGATTTCTGACCTCCATTTGCCGGAGTTTTATTTTGATATTGCATTTTAGTTATTAAAATAATCAAAATGCAATGGCCTGTCAGTGCTTAATTGGTAGTGTTTTATAAAATGGTGAGCTGGAAAGCCAGCTGGCACAAGTGGGAAATTAACATTTTATGTCTTTGCTTATTAAATCATATTTGTGTTTTATATTGTTAAAAGGAAAGTAACTCTGATGTTAATTTTGTTGTTGTTCAACCTGTATAATTTTGACACTTGGGAATCTCTAACAGTGAAGTAATGGTGAAAACACTTTTAGTTATTAAGTTAAATATGATTATTATGTACAGGATAAATTAATTCAATAATTATATGGTTAGTCATGTACTGTTCCATTATAAATGTCCAGAACTGTGATTGGATTACCTCATTGATGAAGTATTAATGATCATTTTCTAGATTTCTATATTGCTTGATATAATATTATGTCTCTAAGCACTTTTTTTATTACCAACCTGATAAGAATTTGAAAGAAGTGCTGCTTCATGCGATGTAGGATTTGTTATCTTCACATGAAGTTCTGTAGTATTGTATTGTATTGTATTGTATTGTATTGTATTTATGCATGGGGGGAGGGTGGTTGCCTTGCAAACTTATATTTGTAATATTGACTGATATTTAAAAGTTAAACATGTAGGAAGTTTATATTTCAAATTATACAAACTCGTTTCCAACAAACTTGAATGGATGTATGACATATATAGCTACATCATGTCTTAGTTTAAGATTGTTTGGTTGAGTAGGCGTGTAGTCTTGTACTTGATATAATTAAGGGCTTGTGGTTCTGGGGTACCATTTCGTTTGAAGAATTACTAAATGTTTGATATGTTATTGAACATGTTTATTACAGAGTAAATCACCTCGGACCAACATGAGCAGTGATCCAGGCTTTGATTCTCATGACGAGGGTCTGGGCAGTGAAAACGAAGACCATGATGACTTTGGGAGCGATGATTCTGATGATGACGATGATGATGACATCCCTGATGATGGCAGTGATATCTCGGATGACCCTGGTATGTCAAAAATGAAGATCTGAATTTTTCCTTTTTGAATAAATGTGGTTTAATTTACCTTGGAACTATATATATATTCTTGCTATATATTTCTACAATGTGTTATGTATTACAACCTCTCAATGTGCTTCAAAAGGAGTCTCTATAAACAGGAAGTCTTTAAATAGAGAACAGTTCCTAGTATTGAAGATTTCAAGGGGACACACTATTCAAGGGAGACAAAAAAGGTGACCTTTCTTCATAGTTGCTAATGCAGTTTATTAGTCTGTACTGCTTAAAGGATGTTGTGAAAAAGGGTTGCAGTACAAGAAAATGTCTGATGTACGTAGAAGAGCACAAATTATTTGATGTTGATTATATCTTGGGTTTAATATTTTAATTTTTGCCCCCTTTCCACAGGGTTCCTTTATTTAATAATATCGTTCACATACACAAGAAGAGATATATACATGCAGAATTTCAAAATGATATTCTTGGCTATTCAAAATATGATAATAACATACATTTATAGATATAGTTACAAATTGCAGTTCATTTTTAAAATATCACAGATTTACTTGGCAAAATAATTGGTTTTAATATGTTTAGCTGTCATGGGTCTAACTCTTGAATCTTTTCTTCTCTGTGTCTCTGACCAAAGGGTTACCATCAACGAGCACGAAGCACTCCCCTGGTTCCTTGGCCACCAGACGAAGACGGGTCAAGACGCGACGCAGCGAGTACGACGACTTCACCCCGAACCCTCGTAAGCTCCTGAACATTGGCCACGAGCTTAACAAGCTGAACCTGACGATCAGCTCGCTGTGTCCCGGTAACGAGGCATCCAACGATGAGAAGAACCAGACGAGAAGGGAGAAGAACAAGTTGGCATCAAGGTAAACAGTTTATTCCTGTTCCTGGGGAGGGGGGGGGGTGGGATGTTTCACTAAGATCCTAAGTCGAACATATCTCTAAGTTGGACTTAAAAATTATGGAAAGCTTTTAGCATCTTTGAAAATATTTTGTAACAATTATTTTAGAAGGCATAAAATGTTAATTCAAATCATTCATATTTTCTATCATCAAGGAGATTTCATGTTCTTGATGCAGAATTTATGAAAAGTAAAAAATACTTGAATAAATGGCTCTCCATAATATTTAAGTCCAACTTAGAGTTAAGTTCGACCTAGGATCTTTGTGAAACACCCCCTGATGTCATATTCTTTTACATGACATGTGTTAGGTAGAGGGACAGATCAAGGTTAGAGAGTCAGGCAAGGGTAAGATCTGACACAAGGTGGAGTTCCTTGGTGCCTCCTCAGGTAACAAAGCCATGAGAGAGAAGATCTCTGCCTTATGTGAAATGGCAAGTTACTTTTAGTGAGAAATGGGCAAAAGAGATAAAAATATCCAAAAAGTTAAGAATGCATGAAATTCAGGATAAGACTAACACGGGAACCTTAAATTATCAATCAGGGAAATGAAAGCCAAAGAGAAACTGAAACAAATGAAGATCGATCGAGCGAGAGAGGTAGAAAGCCAATGTTTGTCAAATGATGCAAAGTCATCCCCTGTGGAAAGGTAATATCGATAATTATTAACCGTATCAGACATCTGAGCAGGGCAATTTTTAAATGTTATTGCCCTCAAGGTTTGATGGATAAGTCAACAAAATTACAATAAGTTAGTCCGCTCAGAAAAAGTCAATGGGATTTTGTGTGTAATTTGGCGGGCAATATAGGTTATACAGAAAACAAATGCGCAAATATTTTACCCCGCTCAGAAGAGTCAATGGGATTTGTGTGTAATTTGGCGGGCAATATAGGTTATACAGTAAGTCAATGGACAAATATTTTAGCCCGCTCTGAAAAGTCAATGGCAAAATGCGTGTTAAACTAGTGCGCAATAATATAGTGCCAGTTGTAATTTACATCGCGCATCAGCTATTGTAATTTACATCGCGCATCGTGTATTAGAAAATGCGCACTTTGCGTGAACTCCATTGTGACGTAACAATCACACCCTAGGCAAACTGTTTGCAGTGTATCGAAAATCTGTCAAACACTGGATGAACAGTGCTGGTTTGACAATGTTTTTGCAACTTCTAATGCGAGGAAACCCTGTGTAGCCTACATAATTTAAGAGTATAAGATAGTAAGAGTTTCTTGTTTGCTCTAGATGTCTGATGTGGTTAATAATAGTAATATTGACTGCCTAATTCAGGGCAATACGACTTGTCATATATCACCCTCACCTTCGGTTCGGGCGATATATGTCGTATTGCCCAGAAGGCAGTCAATATTACTTAAATATTGACTCTTTTTTTATCACACTGCAATCTATGACCACTGTACTTTTTTGCATGAGTAAAATATATAACAATTTTTCAAATTATTAAAAAACTTGTTCTGCACAGCTTCAATGCAAACCTATATATATGTTTACATATTTGTTTATATCTCAAAATCCTGAGCATTTTAGAGCCCATTTTTTCAAAGTTGCTTAGTCTAACACTAGGTTTCACAATAATAATGCAAATTTTAAATTCATAACCCAATCCTGTTGAAATATTACCAAAACTTTGTATTATACCTTTAATGTTTTATTGGAAACGGGCAATTTAGATTTTTTAACTCTTAGTCATTACCATTTATCTTGTGTGAGTATTTTCTATTTCATTTTCTTGGTTACTTTATTGCCTCATATTTCTAGTGTGAAGTGGGTTATATAGTATCAAAGTTTAAGCAATGTGAGATATCTCTTGTAATTGCCCCATTTCCACCTCTCATCCTCCCGTCACTCCAGGGCATGCAGGCTGAAGAAGAAGGCACAGCACGAGGCGAACAAGGTCAAACATTGGGGACTCATTGAGGAAGCAAGTAAGAGATCACTTTCATATCTCCCTCTCTCTCTCTCTCTCTCTCTCCATTTCCTCTCCACCCCCTCCCCCTCCCCTCTCCCTATCATGTAATGATTTATGTATCACAAGACTCTTCATCGATTCACCGAAAGTGAATATATAAATATACTTTTTTCAATCAAAGTAAGGAACGACATATTTATTGCTGTCATATCTTACCAATATTACCCCCCCCCCCCCCCCCCCCTATTTTATTATGATACTATTCATTTCATCCTACTAGTGAAAAAAATCTTACATTTAGATGTTTTCACAATATGGTGAAATGATACATGTTTCTTTTCTAATTTTAGTTTGTTTTCATACATAATCATGAAATCATTAACATGTCAATAAATATCTTGCACATTGTGTATTCTATCATGAATAATATGAAGTATGCTAGTAAGCCCTGCATTAATAGTAAATCATGACCTGGGCCTTTTCCTCTTTTTCTACTTATATATCCTTTTTTGGTTGGTAGTATCTAATTATCTATACAATTTGATGTATTTATTTACTCCCTTTGTTGATAATCATTGTTATAAAGTGATATTGAAACCAAAAAATGAATGTATTTACACAAATGTATTCCCACTTGGGTTTGATATCAAGTATCATGTACTTAGTGAGAGTTCCTTTTCCGTTTTCAGAGCAATTGAAGCTTGTTCTAGGGAGCATGAGGAAAGAGATGACTGGTCGTCTAGAGAGACCCAAGGCATCATGGGATTTCAGCCTTGGAGCAAAGCTGGATCATCTCATCAAGAATTCACTTGGTATGTTCAATTCCTCTCCGTTTTATAAATGTCAATTGGTATGTGGAAACCGTATAACTGAAAGAACATGAGATACAAAAGTAGGGTTTTGTAGATTGGTTACTGAAAAACAGAGTCGCCTTCTATATTTGATAAATTTGATTGGTATGGAAGCCTTATAAATGAAAGAAGCTGACAAACAAAATCCTTTGCCTTTTTTCCAGTTACATTTTTTTCATATCCACATTTGATCACATCCACACTTCATCTAATTTAAATAATTTTACACGTGTTTCTTCCTTCCTTCGCAGGTCACATGGTGTCCGGGCATACATCCGAGTTTGTGAACTCCGTCTTGGAGAAGACCGCCAAGGGAATCCCACTCTCACATTTGAAGCCAAAGGTCACTTGAACCTTGACCTGAACTTTGACCCGTCTCCCTCTTGGAGAAGACGGCCAAGGGAATTCCACTCTCACATCTGAATTCAAAGGTCACCTGAACCTTGACCTGAATTTTGACCCCTCTCCGTCTTGGAGAAGACGGCCAAGGGAATCCCACTCTCACATCTGAAACCAAAGGTCACCTTGACCTGAACTTTGACCCCTCTCCGTTTTGGAGAAGACGGCCAAGGGAATCCCACTCTCACATCTGAAGCCAAAGGTCACCTGAACCTTGACCTGAACTTTGACCCCTGTACCGTTTCTGTACTTCTTCTGATCAATTTCTTTGTTATGTTTGATGAGTGGAGCAGCAGAAATGTTTGTTGTAAAATGTGAACACAAGCTAAATATTTCAACCCAAACAGGAGAAATGGTCTCTAATATTCATGTTTGTTCCTGATCAAGAGTTCGTCAATATCTTATCCCATTTTTTTCAGTATCCCTGAAAGCATAGTTTAGATGTTCGCTATAATTCTTCATGTAAGAATAGGGCTACTGTTATATTTGTTTCTTACAAGTTGAGAAATATTTATTGGCTGTAACATACGTCCCTTTGTGTATATCCCGTAGTACTTGTGAAATTAAAAAACAATACACTAGAAAGTAGACATTATATCAGATGGAGATTGTAATGATCACATACAGAAAAGATTTAAATCAAACATGATTACTCAGTGATGTGTCCAACATTTTCGGAGGACTTTTCAGCTTAACATAATGTACAAGTACTACAGAATTACATGTTTTGTTCTGATAGTTTCCATTGGAAATCTTGTTAGAGATTGTGTGCTTTTTGTACATGACAGATGCCTGCCATATTCAGAAGGCATGTCACTTTGATTTTTAATAAGATTAACCATAAATTAGTTGTTTTTGTCTAATTATTGCAGAGTGTTGTTTTCCCAAGCCTGTGCCCCTGCAGTAATGATTTGACTTTTGATAGAAAAGACATGCCTACAGTGTACTGTGAAATGGCGTGTGAAGCAAACGACTGATGTTTGTGTTTAATTATGGCAAAGTGCAGTTTTTTTTAAGTCTGTCACCTTTCGTTCATTATGTGACTAGTAGAAAGGACATGCCTGTAGTGCATTCTAGGATGGCTATAGGATCATGTAAGGGGGAAGAAACATGAGCCATGTGTATAGTGTTTCTTATCCCTTCTGAAATCAAGCTGAGCTGTCGAGTGTACTATATATACTCTGCACAAATGACTATCTTTAAAGTCTGAGCTTCTTACCCTGCTCAAAGTGCTTTGCCCTTAACATGATATTAACTATTTCCTGTGTTTTAGTTAGTAACTAACAAACCCTATGTTATTATATTCTATCCCTAATCCCTCCAAAGAAGATTTGATCAAGTTCAATTTGCGTGTACTCTCCTGATAACACAAGAGAGTCAGCATAGAAATTCTGAAGATGATATTTTTGCCTGTGTAGCAACTATAGATTAGAGAGTTGATAATTTGTTATTTGATCAAGACCATATATATATATACATATATATATAAAAGTGCGAGAATTCTTGCATTTCTTGCTTACTCATTCATGAGGGTCCATGATAATCGTGCTCCCGTCCCATGAAATCTTTGGTAAAAAAGCTTTAAATACCATATATGTAGTCAGGAATATTAAATATTTGATTGGAGTTTATATATGATGCTTAATTATGTAACTTGCTAATAAACATAAAAGTAAATACTATCATATTCTTGTTAAAGTTAGTGCCTTAGAAAAGAAAAGGAGAGAGTATGATCATGAATATAGAGTGTGTTTTTTATCAGAATATCCTTCCTATACATTGTAGCTAAAAGAGGGGGGTTACAAACATTTTGAGTAACAGCCTTCCCCCTTTTCGAATGGGGGGGGGGAGAATATAATTTAAAATCTGTTATGATGGTAATTATAAAAAAAAGTAGAGAGACTTCATTTATTGATCTTATTCTGATCTGATCCCTCTCATAGGAAGATCAAAGAAGTTGAGGAAACTAATTAGTGTTTACTAGCTTTTATAGTGTAACAAAAAGTATTAATGAAAAGCAATATACATGTATGAAACAAATGGTTAAATTAGCTGTAGCTAGAAAAGGTGTTTAAAACAGAAGACATATTTTCTGACTGGTCATTGCTGAACATTTTAAGAAGTAAAAGTAGGTAAAAGTCGATAGAAAACAAAGAAGAAGTCATATTGATGTAGATTATTGGTGGTGTCATTATAATATTTCAGTATTTCCTTTATTACTGCGGGCAGTGATTGTGTATAGTTCCTCTTCGCCATCAAAGACATACAATTGGTGCTAAACTTTCAGATTATTTTAACTGTTAATAGTGTGTAAAAACTATAGGGGCGAAATGGGTTTCTCTATGTTACAGAGTTAAGTGAATCATGTAGATTTGGTGTGATTTGATGTGTATTTTTTAAGTGTTTTGTATCCTCTTTTTAAATTGTAATCATTTTCTTATCCTCTTGAATCTAATGTGAAATATTGTAGATGTGTAAAAGGCTCTTTTAAAAAACTTTTTTGTGAATTAATTAGCTTTTCAATTGTACCAGCAGCATTTTGAAATCTGTCTGGATCTCCACAAGCCTACACAGAAATACTTTTATTGGGACTATAGTTGAGCCAATAATAGATGTACATCCAAATCTTCAACAACTACAAGATAATTGTTTTTGTTTGGATAATTGTTCCAGAATTTTGGCAAATACATTTTCACTGTTAGGAATGTTGATGAAAAAAAGCTCTCTCGATAGATATAATATTTTACCTTGTTACTCAGAAATGTTGCTCTTTACATTGAAAGAGTCTCAAGTGAGACGACAGACATTTGGTGTAGTCCATGCTTTGAGTATTTACATATGACAGTGAAATGTTAATGTAATGTTCAGTATAATCATATACACATCTACACTATATAATGTTTTACATGGATATCAGTGTATTGGTGGCAAGCAGTGTACCACATGTGGTATGTACATGTCTAGCTATGATTGTGTATCACTGTATGTGAGCGATGGTCGGATTATATGACTAAGTTAACTGGTGATGTATCTGTTCCTCAGCTTTGAAACGCATTAAATGAAATCCATACCACTTGGAAATTCTGTAGCCAAAATGGACTCGGAACTGGGCTTGCTGACTCTATTTTTCAGTTGAAGTGCAGTGTTGTTGTCTTTTCTTTTAACTATCTTGACAACTGTATTCAAGTGATGTCAAAGTACTTTTCACAAATTGTCTTGAGTTTCATTTTGTGGCACACTTTAAATTTACTCTGAATATTATGTGTATAAATTCACTGACAGTCGGTCTATACATATTGTGGTTCTTGTAATTTTTTTGAAATTTCAAATTTGTTGAGTGTAGTAATTGTTAGGTTTAATATTGATGTAGAGTTTATGTTCTGTAAGTTTCTTTTAGATGTAGTGAAGGTTGTGTAATTTGGAGTTGTACTTTTTGGAAATGAGAATTAATGCATAAAGTAAGTAGTTCATCTGTAATCTAGATGGTTGCATGAGGCATAATGAAGTTAAATAATGATCTCATGATTAGGTATTGGTAGAGCGCCTTGAATATTTTACGTATGAGCTCAACATTCAATAATCAGAAATTACATTGTATTATTGTTATTCCTGTTATCATTATTATTATTATTATTATGTCACTTTAAACTGCAACAGTCATATGAAAAAAGTAGCATTCATTGCGACTCTTAAGAATTCAAATCTGGAATTTGTTCTTATGTGAGCATATTTCTGAATATATTAGGTTACAGTATTCTGTGGCCATTTAATCAAGTACATGAAGGTAATTTCTATTGTATATATAGCCTGCACCATAAAGGTTGAGGCGAGGCTCCTCTTTCACACCTCAAAGAAGAGGAAAAGAACTATTTTAGTTTTATGAAACATACCTTTTTTTTCAAAGCCTTGTACACACAACACACATGCATGATAAACCCAACAACCGTCAGCAAAATGAAATGACACAAGCGTAATGCACTTCATGTGTGTGTATCATGAAACATACACTCAGATAAGGAGCTACTTTTTTAACCCTCAGTAATTTTGAGTAAATGGCTTTTATTTACTTTTTGTTTGATATTTTTATTCATTCATTTATTTATTTATTTTATGGGTTAACCAAATCATGTGTGTGCAAGGTCCGCGGTTCGAGACCCGCCGCGGCACTAATGTCCTTTGGCAAGACATTGATCTACATTTGCCACACTCGACCCAGGTTGTGTAAATGGGTACCTGGCAGGAATTGATTCCTTGAAATGCTAGAGCGCCGCAATGGCAGCACAGCTAAAGCCGGGGTAATAATCTCCAAGTTTGGAAGCACTTAGTGATTGTAATAAGCGCTATATAAAAACTGAGTATTATTATTATATTATTATTATTTAACACATTATGCCTCTTGCTATGAAATTCATGAGTGTAGGGTGAAGGAGATAGTATTTTCAATGTGTGTGACTGATCTTAGACCATGATGTATATAATAAACTTTAACAAAAACACTCTTTGCTAGAGTAAGCTCAGGACCCGACGGTGTACAAAACTACTAGAGTTGGATTCAACTTATAATATGTGATAAAGCTATATATAGATGTTATATAATATAAACAAAGTGTACATAATATATATTTCACTATATATTTCATGTCCAGTTCAATATTCATGAGACCTAATGGCAAAAATAAAAGTATCTTTTGGTTGCTGCACCAAACTTATTTGAGTACCAGGTAATATGTTTGTGGTGTATTCTTGGGGTGTTATTGAAGAAGATACAAATCCATCACTGCAGTGCCAGGGCTGCATTGACAATTCAGTAGAAAATTTCAAAAATGAAATACATACAAAATTACATTTAAGAGAAGGTACTGTAACAAAGAGGGAGGGGAGAAGGAGAGAGAGAGGAAGGAGAGAGAGATGGAGAGAGAGAGAGAGAGAGAGAGAGAGAGAGATAAAGAGAAACAATGAGAGATGAGATGAGAAATGAAACGGACAAACGTCATAATTCAAGTTAGAATGTATCTATAAAAATATTTTATTAAAGTATACATGCATACATTTGATTATTCAGTCAAACATGTGAATATTAATGCAAAATATGTCATCAACAATTTCATTTATAGTTGGATTTTAAAAGATAATTTCGATAGAGATATTCAATGCACGTAGCCTTACACTTTGAAAGAATGAAATGAATTACAGTTATAATAAGCCTCCAATAATGAAAAAGAATAACAAGGTAATTATCTTTACACAAACAATGTGTATGTATCACTTACATATTGTCATGAATAAAGACAACAATTAGAAAGATAGGAACTTGGAATGCTTTATTCACATGCTAATTCACATGTTCAAACTGAGAGAGTCACATAGCAACTTACGGTAGAAGTAAAAGGATCCACACTTGATTTTCTGCTGGGCTCAACACTAACAAGTACCGGGACACATAGGTGCATAAATTCCAAGCCCGGACCCACCAAATTGTGAAATTTTCACATAGGGCTCATGCCTACAAACAGACCATAAAAAGTTCAATATGGAGCCCTTTCATAAAGTTAGTGTGAAGCCCTGTTTGAGAAAAATAAAGGTCAGGTTTTGTGGGGGTCTTAATAAAGCAGAAAAAACTGTTTTGAAGCCAAAATACAAGGATTTTTTAACAATTAAATAAACCATGATTTCTCGAAATCCATTCTTCATAACAGAAAATATACTACTGATGTAATTTCACAAATGCATGTCATAAAAGATGTTGGATGGATACAGATGTCACATGAAATTTGGCTACGAGATTGCACTTATCTTACAGTAAAGAATCGTTCTTGAACTTATTTTGAGCTGAATAAAATATGGAAAAGGAATACTTTTAAAAAATCACTACAGATGTTGTGTTACATTCTTCTATTACTTTGAACAACAAACCATCTATAGTACACCAGTATGCCGCAACACATACAATTTAAAAACAATTGAAAACTACATGGTCGTGTAGTAAATGGTGAAATCTACCATATGAGAAAATTAGCCAGAGCAAAAAGTCCTTACAAAACCTTACTCAAATAAGAATTACAGAAAATGATTGAGAAAGAAAGTACAGAATTATATTAAGTGATGATAAACAACATGGTCTAGATATCATGAGCTATTACATTCTTAGAATTCCAACTAATACTGACTGTCCAATAAATTATTATGAGATGTACTTGGTAAGCCTTAACTTCATACTCTTGTACTCCTCATCATTCATATCTAATGAGTTCTAATGTAGGTGTCCACTTAAAATTCAATGAAAATATGCATGATTCATGTTTTTGCATCCATAAATTCTGGGAGGTAACACAATTTCACAAGAGCACATCCTTTTTTTTCTCACTTCATTACTGTATTCTGAATTGTCTGAAAATTCCTATGCCTCATTAGTATGATGATTTTCATTAATAGTCATGATCATTTTAATTACTTATTCCAATCAATACCATCAATTAAGATAAGTTCAACTTAGGATCTTTGTGAAACACCCCCAGGGCACATGGAATATGATGGTGATACATTGAGCTATGTTCAGCTATGGTATAGGCCTACAAGTGTTCAAATAGAATACACACTCATAGGCTCACAGCTTCATACACACAAGCTCAACGTCACATGCGACATAGAAAACATCTTAGAATACTTATGAATTATTTTCATGATTCCTTGGCGGGCTCTTTCCGTGTGGATAAGAGATAGGGAGGCCATGAAATAATTAAAGATAAAGGTGATTTCTGGTCATAAAAGGTTACAAGGTTATGGAATCATCAAAACGATAAGAAATGTGGCCCAGTCTTGGTAAAGTTACAAGCACTGTACACAGAAAGATGTATATGGGACGACACAAACATGTGGCCTAAAAATCTGTCCCGATTTTATGATGTTACATCGTGCCATATTTAGAATATGAAGGCATTTGAAGAGCCATGCTTTTCAGGGAACATTTTTTTATCTCATGTTCTTCTACACTTGCATAATACAATGATATTGATAACGATCACAAATAATTGTTCACCTCTTCCCAGAACTCAATCTTCTCTTTAATCTTTAGAAGTAATCTCTACCAAATTTGTTTACATGATTATCTTACCCACCTTGCGAACTACCGCCCATCCCCTTTTTTATTCCTTCCTCTCTCACAGCTGTCCAAATAAAAAACAGTACAATCAACATGTACTATTAGGAGATTATGAGTGTTATCATGGCTGTCTTTCCCAATATTAGAATACAAGAGGACAAGCCAAAGATAAATTGCAATCCACATCTAAAATTGTCCAAAGTTAATATCAGACAAATTATGAAGTAAACTGACAGATTTTACGGTTACCAATTTAATAATTCATTCCATACCCTCCATTCCATGAATGTACTTTTTATCCCAATAGATTTAGTTCTTACATGTTTATCACATTTTCTTTCTCATTATCTATTACGATTCAGTTTTTGTCATGTTACTTGACTCCGTTACCATACCATGCTTACAATGTAATGTTAATTTGTTCAGTTATGTTAGTAGTATTGATTTTTCTTGAAGTAATCTTGATTCGTGTACAGCGCTTTGAATCTTTTATGTCACAAGTACTATAAATTGTTTGCATTATTATTATTATAATATATAATCAAGATTGATGATTTTGTCCAAGCAAGTGCCCCCTGGTGTATCTCATAATATACTTGTGTAGTACTTGTGACACAAGCTACATGTAACCTGCGTTGCAATCACTGGAAGCACAAGAAGATTGCTCAAAGGCAAATAAATCACATAATGTCAAGACATCATCATAAATCACTCTCTCATCAACAAGTTCTGATTAATTTCCTATAAGAATGCACTTGTTTCATTAATAGCTGCCCCTTGTCCCCAGGATGTTTTATTTCATAATCTCATTTTCTTCCATTTCTCCCATTTCCCTGTAACTTTTCATCATTAATTTCACTACAAGACGATATGTCTTGTTTACATCTTATTCACAATTTTGACCAATGCAATTACATGTATTTCCCAATCCACATTATGGGCTACAATCTACATACAGTAGACAAATTCATGATTCAGTCTGCCTGTAGATCATTCCTATTATTGCAATAAAATAAATTTTATTTAGACCCATTAATACTGAATTGTACTTTTAAGCATTATTCAGTAACATAAAACATGAGATAATTGCAATATACAATTACTGTACATTTTAATATTATGTGAACACTTTAAAATCATTCAACATCCATCTAAGCCACCTTCCTTAATATGCCAGGATGAAGAGTATGGGTAGGCACATCACAAATCTTCTCTAGACTTGAGTGAAATTTAGACTTAAGTGGAGATCTTGACTTAAGTGGAAAATCATGTCTGCAGACTGAGGCAGACAGACATCTCGAGCAGGTTTTCAGCCAGGATGGTGTCCGGGCATCCAAAAGACACCAATTTCTAGAGGGATGTGCCCTGCATTTCATTTAATCACCATCACTACATGATTTTGGATGCCCAATTTTTTTTAAATTTGACCCCCAATTCTCTAATCCTGGCTGAAAGTCTGATCAAGATTTGATTGTAAAGCACCAAACTTGCAACAGCAAATGATATAACCTGCTGCCACAACTCAATCTATTTTTGACACATTATGATCAGAATCTGGGTTGCGGTTGGTATTGGGTTGTTCAGAAGTTTTCAAGAGTTTAAGCAGGCCTGCAGAATACTGTGCTGGTATTTGTTAACCTTGGTCCAAATCTCGAGTAATCTGACCTTTAGTAGACATCCAAGGAGGAGGGCCTCTGAGAAATCCTTCTGGTAGGTTGGACAAAAATAAACCTCATCAGCAAGAATTCATCCCTGGTCCATTTTCCCTACTCAGTCTATTGCTCTTGCATGATACAAGCACCAAGTATGCTCTATATTGATGATAACCCTGATGTTCTTCACTGATAGGTAATCCAACAATAGTTTTTCATGATATCTCTATTAAAGGGGCTGTAGCATGGCAAATACTGGTTAACGCTATCTACAAATTCTTTTGGACAACTGCATGTAAACGAATGGACTTGATAAACTGGGTCACTGCGCACTAGGGTTTCGCGAAGGGCGCGAAACAGACCAAAGTTCTCCTCATGCTTCAGTTTTGTGTATGTTGCACGCATGTGAATACTGCGGTCGCGTCGTCTGTAGTTGTATTATACCCGATTGGCCCCGAGTCAGGCCACGGGAAAGACACATAGTCTCTTCATGCTACAGCCCGTTTAATATCCTGCCCAACGACTCTTCCGTCTTCTCACCATACTTCCCATAATTTTCTCTCATGAATACAGTAATCATTTAACCTTCCGATCAGCTGCAATTGTCCTCTCAAAAACTCTCTTCCACTAAACGATTTCACAAGACACTCTGCTTGGGCTACTCACACATCCCCACCTCACCGGGAACTGAAGGGCATGTCCTTTCAAGGGTTTTGATCTTCAGCCCATATTGATACCGTCCATCTCGTAGACCCCGTCGTAGACCCCGTCCTGGACCTGCCCTTCCTCCGTCATGAAGTAAGCCATGGTGGGCACCCTGGTCAACCCCGTCATCGTCGACGTCGACCTCATCCTGCCCAGCCAGCGGGAGTACATGAAGATGAAGGCGATGACGACCAGGAAGCAGACGACCAGGACGTACTGGTTTGAGAGCCATGGGGCGGCCACTCGGATCCAAGGAGGCTTGTAGGACTTCTGGAATGCACCTTGCTGAATCTCTCTGCAGGGAACAAACATGAGCGAGCACAACGATGTCATTTGGATTGGTATTGATGCATGGTAGAGGGTAAATGAGGAAGGGGTAGACAGCCAATCACTTGGTTTAATGATGTCAAGAAATGGACTGGTCTCAACGACGGAGAGGTTAGAACAAGGGTACATGACAGAAAGCAATGAAGGTGCATAGCTGCCAACCCCTTCCGAAGGGATGGCACTAGATGATGATGATTGATGGATGAATCTCATTTTCTTTCATAGGACCTAGCCAACCAGCCAGCCTACCCAACTGACCCTCCCTTCCCTCATCAATTACCCATCTATAAGTTCATTCCTCTTCACTTTCCCTTCCCCCCCCCCCTCAATCCCTCACATGCACACATACCTAATCATATTCCTGAGGTAATCTCTCCCCTCCCCCATCCCTCACATGCACATATACCTAATCATGTTCTTTGGATAATCTCCCTCCCCCCTCCTATATCCCTCACACACACTTATACCTAATCATATTCCTACGGTCATCTCCCCTTCACCCCCCCCCCCCTCCTCCATCCCTCACACACCTAATCATATTCCTAAGGTAATCTCCCCTCCCCCCCCCCCCCTCCATCCTTCACACATCTAATCATATTCCTAAGGTAATCTCCCCTCCCCCCCCCCACCCCCTCCATCCTTCACACACCTAATCATATTCCTAAGGTAATCTCCCCTCCCCCCCTCCATCCTTCACACACCTAATCATATTCCTAAGGTAATCTCCCCTCCCCCCCCCCCCCTCCATCCTTCACACACCTAATTATATTCCTAAGGTAATCTCCCCTCCCCCCCCCCTCCATCCTTCACACACCTAATTATATTCCTAAGGTAATCTCCCCTCCCCCCCCCCTCCATCCTTCACACACCTAATCATATTCCTTAGGTAATCTCCCCTCCCCCCCCCCCCACCCCCTCCATCCTTCACACACCTAATCATGTTCCTAAGGTAATCTCCCCTTCCCCCCACTCCCTCCATCCTTCACACACCTAATCATATTCCTAAGGTAATCTCCCCCCCCCCCCCACCCCCTCCATCCTTCACACACCTAATCATATTCCTAAGGTAATCTCCCCTCCCCCCCCCTCCATCCTTCACACACCTAATCATATTCCTAAGGTTATCTCCCCTCCCCCCCCCCTCCATCCTTCACACACCTAATTATATTCCTAAGGTAATCTCCCCTCCCCCCCCCCTCCATCCTTCACACACCTAATTATATTCCTAAGGTAATCTCCCCTCCCCCCCCCCCCACCCCCTCCATCCTTCACACACCTAATCATATTCCTAAGGTAATCTCCCCTCCCCCCTCCATCCTTCACACACCTAATCATATTCCTAAGGTAATCTCCCCTCCCCCCCCCCCCCTCCATCCTTCACACACCTAATCATATTCCTAAGGTAATCTCCCCTCCCCCCTCCATCCTTCACACACCTAATCATATTCCTAAGGTAATCTCCCCTTCCCCCCACCCCCTCCATCCTTCACACACCTAATCATATTCCTTAGGTAATCTCCCCTCCCCCCCCCCACCCCCTCCATCCTTCACACACCTAATCATGTTCCTAAGGTAATCTCCCCTTCCCCCCACCCCCTCCATCCTTCACACACCTAATCATATTCCTAAGGTAATCTCCCCCCCCCCCCCCACCCCCTCCATCCTTCACACACCTAATCATATTCCTAAGGTAATCTCCCCTCCCCCCCCCCCCTCCATCCTTCACACACCTAATCATATTCCTAAGGTAATCTCCCCTCCCCCCCTCCATCCTTCACACACCTAATCATATTCCTAAGGTAATCTCCCCTCCCCCCCCCCCCCCTCCATCCTTCACACACCTAATTATATTCCTAAGGTAATCTCCCCTCCCCCCCCCCTCCATCCTTCACACACCTAATTATATTCCTAAGGTAATCTCCCCTCCCCCCCCCCCTCCATCCTTCACACACCTAATCATATTCCTTAGGTAATCTCCCCTCCCCCCCCCCCCACCCCCTCCATCCTTCACACACCTAATCATGTTCCTAAGGTAATCTCCCCTTCCCCCACTCCCTCCATCCTTCACACACCTAATCATATTCCTAAGGTAATCTCCCCCCCCCCCCCCCCCCCCCCATCCTTCACACACCTAATCATATTCCTAAGGTAATCTCCCCTCCCCCCCCCTCCATCCTTCACACACCTAATCATATTCCTAAGGTTATCTCCCCTCCCCCCCCCCCTCCATCCTTCACACACCTAATTATATTCCTAAGGTAATCTCCCCTCCCCCCCCCCCTCCATCCTTCACACACCTAATTATATTCCTAAGGTAATCTCCCCTCCCCCCCCCCCACCCCCTCCATCCTTCACACACCTAATCATATTCCTAAGGTAATCTCCCCTCCCCCCTCCATCCTTCACACACCTAATCATATTCCTAAGGTAATCTCCCCTCCCCCCCCCCCTCCATCCTTCACACACCTAATCATATTCCTAAGGTAATCTCCCCTCCCCCCTCCATCCTTCACACACCTAATCATATTCCTAAGGTAATCTCCCCTTCCCCCCACCCCCTCCATCCTTCACACACCTAATCATATTCCTTAGGTAATCTCCCCTCCCCCCCCCCCCACCCCCTCCATCCTTCACACACCTAATCATGTTCCTAAGGTAATCTCCCCTTCCCCCCACCCCCTCCATCCTTCACACACCTAATCATATTCCTAAGGTAATCTCCCCCCCCCCCCCACCCCCTCCATCCTTCACACACCTAATCATATTCCTAAGGTAATCTCCCCTCCCCCCTCCATCCTTCACACACCTAATCATATTCCTAAGGTAATCTCCCCTCCCCCCCCCCCCACCCCCTCCATCCTTCACACACCTAATCATATTCCTAAGGTAATCTCCCCTCCCCCCTCCATCCTTCACACACCTAATCATATTCCTAAGGTAATCTCCCCTCCCCCCCCCCCCCTCCATCCTTCACACACCTAATCATATTCCTAAGGTAATCTCCCCTCCCCCCTCCATCCTTCACACACCTAATCATATTCCTAAGGTAATCTCCCCTCCCCCCCCCCCCCTCCATCCTTCACACACCTAATCATATTCCTAAGGTAATCTCCCCTCCCCCCCCCTCCATCCTTCACACACCTAATCATATTCATAATGTTACCACCTGCAAGGGACAAATAACTACACTCCACCTGGTTTGTGATTAATTACAATATTTGTCAAGGTGTCATTGTCTGGATAGAAATCGTTCAAGTGGAAGTAATATGAGCAGGTAATCAAGCCCATTATATTTGTTCATGTTCAGGTCGTTGATATCAAGGAGGTAATTATATGTACCGGTATAGCAACTGTCTGCATGGTACATGTAGTCGTCCAGGGGAACGTCATATAGGCAGGCAATTATGCTAGTAGTAATTTCAATTTTACAGGTGGTTGATTTTATAGTTGGTGATTATCAAAAGGCCTTTCCTCATCAGCTCGAGTTTACCAAATAACATGCTATTAGGTTGAGAAATTATCCAGAGAAATCTTGGTCTTGTTTCCAAAATATCCCGCTATTTCGGAAATAGCCCGCTAATTAGTGACGTTTTGGTCTGGTGAAGACTCTGGATATTATCCGGAGTCTGAAAATAGTGGGTTATTTGGCAAACTCAAGCTGATGAGGACAGGCTTTATGTGAAAGCTATATGGGTGGGCAATGTCCTAAGAGGCTAATTAATTGGAGACAAAGGGCGTTGGGTAAAGGTGTGAAAATTACTGTCAAATTTTGCTCAATTATATCCAAATACACAGTACTGTATTTTTATAAGTGCTATAAAACACATGAGAAACATAGTATACAAGCCCATTCCTGAGCCGATTATGGATATGCAAGTTTAAAGATGATCAACAAAGCACATCTGTCTTCACTTAAAAGAATCTGCTTTTATTCAAGTTAAAAATACTGATATTTGTGTTACTTATTGACAAATTCTTATGTCAAAATACCTCACATCTATAAGCATAGATATGTTTTCTTTTAGAAAAGCAAAGAAAAAATAAATATGAGGAAATGATTATTTTGCAAATAATATGTTGTCAATTTGACTATTTCAATACTTAAATGTAAGAAACAAAATATTCTAGTTTTAAAGCATTGAATTCTACATTGCAACATGAAAAATGGCTTCAAATAAAGTTAATTAATTGTTTGTATCTTTTGTTCATGTACTTAATATTGATCACTGTACAGGAGCAGAAAGGAGATAATGTAATCATCATGAAAAGAACTTCCTTTCTTAACCACAGCTCTATAGTTCTAACAAATCAATACTCACCTTAAAGGTAAAAATCTTGTTCTATACAGTATTGCACCTAATGTCCACTGGACCTCTTTATCATGTATAAGGCTGGCAGAACGTAAATAATGGTAATCTTTTGGAAATTTGAACCCTTTATGAAGTACTGTTGTTATCCAAGCTGATTTAAAGCATTGGTATCTGTCAAATGAAATGAAAAAAGAAAAGGTTTGAAATTAAAATGCCCATCATTACAAAATCAATAAAAGGTTATCATAGAAAAGAAAAGATTTTTTTTTAATAAAATATATATATATATATATGGACAGTATGAAATTTCCATTTCATATCTTTCCAAATACAGGACATTGAACAGATCTAAAGTGGCACTAAATTTGTTATCCTTCTTGCAGTCATTTGTCAACAATGCACTTAAAATAGTAAGTGAACTCTGTAATCTCTTTGTCTCTTACCACATTTAGCATGGACTGTACAGTTGTACATTTACAAAATACACTTAACATTATTTCAAATAAAAAAAGTATTGTATTGTATATCCCAAAATATTTGTTATGACATACATTGAATAATTAATATGTTATTTTGTAGATCTGCTACATACTTTAAAACCAGAAATTTATGCATTTCATTAACAAGAGCAATTTTTACAGCTGGAAACTTTGTGAACAGAAAAATTTATTGTAGTGTTTATAATGATATTTGGTAATGATTGTTTTACCCAACTGCTAAGAAAGCATGTATATGCTTGTAACTCCAGGGGAAAGAAGGCTGTATCGAGGATTAATGCCTTTTCAAAGGGCATGAGCGCATTGACTTGAATTCAATCAAACCAGGGACCTCCCGGTTACTGCTCTACCACTGAGCCATCGCGCCTCCTCATCTTATCTGGGGGGGGGGGGGTGGAGGTGTTTCACAAAGACTAAGATTAACTTTAAGTTGGACTTAAATATGGCAGGCTGTTCATGCCACTGTGTGCTCTCACCATTATGATCTTTAGATAATATTTTTTCCTTCAATAATGAATTATCAAAAGATATCAATTCTGTAGATTTGTGACCATGATATGTACGTCCCTTGAGAGACCATTGCCAGTAAACGGTGAGAGCGAACAGTGGCATGAATGGCCTGCCATAGTTAAGTCCAACTTAAAGCCATTTTTAGTCTTTGTGAAATATCCCCCATGACCATTCGCAAAAGTAACATAAAGATAAGATGCAGGTAGCAGAATCAAGTTTGACTCACTTTAATCTATGTTCATCAGCTTTGCTATAAAGACCTTTTTCATGATGTTCTTGTAATAATGTCCACCTTGTGGCACAAAATTTCTGCAGAAGAGAGAAACAGAAAGAAAGAAAAACCATTAAATGAAATATTTACTACGGTACATGTATGGGTCTATGAATTGTCAACAGGCAGAAAAATAAGAAATCTCAAGAAGTCTTAAATTGTTCTTGACTCTCAGCTTTTTAAACTCCACTACTTCATTTATTATTCATCAAATCATTCCTGTACTATTTCTAAGACTAACTATTCCTCTATTCCAAATATAACAGTTATTCATTTATTCATTCAATAGTCTGCAGATGTCGTTAATCATTCAATTATCATAGAGATCATTACTTCATTATCTTTCTAGCAAGTCCATGTCTCATGCCACTAATATTCTTATCACAATCAAACAAGTTGAATATGATTCCTTCCACGCAATTAAAACCAACATTTCATCAATTATTCCACCTACTGTGTATTTACATTCGTTTATTTATTCATAGCAACCAAAGGGTTGGATTGATAATACATACATTTCCAACATGATTATGAACATCATTAAATTGAGTACAATGAAATTGATAAATTATGATTATAATTGTTCATCCAGTTATTCAATCACTACTCTTCATTCAACCATCCTACTAGCCATACATCAAATTAATCCTTTATACCATGTTACTGACATTCTCCTGAGATACGTTACACCAACCAATCATTCCACAAGCCCCATCGACGCCCACTTACTTTTGCTGCATTTTCAAATTGGTTGTACTCGTAGACCCCGCCCATCCTCAAAACATCCTCCATGCAGTACCAATACTCTGAGAACCCGTAGAACTCAGAGTTGTCAAAGTTAATATTCGCCTGATACACCCCTCCAAGGGAACACGGTTCCTTCTGGCACTGCTTGTTGGAGCCCAGGACGGGTACCATGACTTCCTTGCAGGCCACGTAGTCCCCCGTCCCTTTAAAGTGATAGGTCTTGCCCCCGCGGACGATCTGATCCGTCATTGAGGATGGTAGACAGGGGTCCAGGAACGGGGAGGAGGGGCTGAGCCCAATGGTAGATTTACTGCAATGAAAAATGTTCAATAGTGAGTATCATTATTGTTATAACTATCATCATCATCATCACCATAATCATCAACCACCATCACTATCAACGCCACCATTTTATCTTCATCAACACCATCATCATCGCCTTGTTATAAAAATTGTTATATACGGTATGTTAATTATCATGATTTTTGGTACTGAAAAGCATTGTTAGGGAGAGTAGAAATGACAATAACTTCTCAGTTTGTTTCCTTTGAGGTAAAGATAACAAATATAGGATCAAGCGTGTCTTTTGAGAAACTAGTTACAAGTTTAATTCCACTTGATATTTAGGCATTGTTCTATGCTCTGGTAGGGCCATCAACTGTACAATTGTCTTGCACATCAAAGCCTTGGATTACATGTACCTAGGTAGGTCTCTTTATCCATTAAACAAGGAAGAAGTAAATATTGGTTGACCAGTGTATATTTCTGATTACCCATCTTTTCCTCAAATCAATCATAAATTCAATCATCTGGCACATTACAGTTTTTGATTTGATTCACTAAAGACAAGATATATACATGCACCTAGATCTCTTTCTTCAAACAAGGAAGAAAGGTAAATCTTGGTTGACTGGTGTATATTTCTGATAAATAATAATAATATTATAAATAGTGCTTGAATAGCGTTCATGTCTATCAAATTCAACACTCCTGAAGCTCCACAATTATTACCAATCTTTCCTCTATTTATTCATAAACTTGTCCCTTTTTTAAAGAGTTATCTATCTTTCTAAGCCTGCTGGGGGCACATGCCTCCAGGCAACAATGATGAACTTGACTTTTGTGCACCCTGACCCACTTGCTGCTCCCTTATCTCTTTGCTAATCCTTATTATGTACTTGTCTCTTGCTATACTGTATTGTATTTGTGCTTTTTATATATGAATGGTCGAATAAATAATAATAATAATAATAATAATAATAATAATAATAACAAATAAATGGCAAATGAACTGATGCTGGTGCTCACCTCTCATCCTTATTGCTTAGAGTTGAATTGATGAGAAGACCTTCATACCGAGACCTGGCTGCGTTACCCCCGTAGCCCAAGAACGTTGTGACATAGACCCTGTAGACATGATCGGATTCATGCTGGTCACAGCCAAGATTAAATTCAGCCATCAATTCCTTTGCCGCTACCTCCTGTTATTAGAAGAAAAAACAACAGCCTCAAGTTAACAATTTGGTTAAATAGATTAAAAAAAAAAATTAAAAGTCATAGATAGTTTATAGCAAAATGGTTGTCAAAAGAATATAGAGACGTTTGGTTTGTTTACACTATGAATATGACTGACAAAGAAAGCGGACAAAATATACAGTTCCTCAGGTAGACAAAGGAACATCCCTTCACTGCTTTATGTAAAAGTGTGTAGAACAGGTGTCACATGCATATTCACCTGTTCTACACATTTTTACATAATTGCAGTGAAGGGATGTTCCTTTGTCTACCTGAGTAACTGTATATTTTGTCCGCTTTCTTTGTCAATCATGTTCATAGTGTTAACTGGGTAAGAATGTTCAGAAAAAAGCATACACATTATGAATTTGGCCAAAATAAAATAAAAAAAATTCCCAGAAACCTTTCAAAATATCTGACTGAATTTGATGATGTAAGAGAGATGGTTACAGACATATAATGCATGCATGGTGCTGTATGAATTCACTTTGGTGGACTGAATTTAAACAAATAACAACTTTCCAACTTTCTAAACTGTAAGCAATTATTATGAATGTCTTTATGGCTTGGGAAGTTGGGAACAGTTCTTTTTTTTTCTTCATTTATAATAACTTTAAGACGATTAGAAAATCTGTTCATATCAACAACACTGCCTCAAAAGTAGAATCATCATCTATATACAAAATTATATTGCAAAAAGCAGACAAAAGTTTGGCGCTAAATATAGGGTAGGTATCCATACGGAATATGACAAATGAAAACGAATATAAATCACAGACAGATAATATTACACAATGGATATGTATGTACAATATGTGCAATATATAGTGGTGCATCTACGAAATGCAAACTTTCAGTTCTGGAAAAGACTCTTTGTTTTCTTTTCAAGCAGGACTTCACTACTTTGTAGCTATTTGGGCCCTTTTTATGCCTAAGCGGCACCCGTTGGTCCCCCATGATCCCCTTTTTCTTATGTAAATTGAGAGCCAATTCGATGAGATAACCACCTGTCAGTGACCACGCAGGGAGGTTTAATCCCTCCTAGCTCAACTAGTGCAGATAGGCTTTAAATATCTTGGTTCTCTTTAAACCGATGACAACTGAAATCTTTCATTGCCATAGACTTAATATAGGGGCCAACCGGTTCCAGTAGGCAATGGATTAACATGCTCAGAAAGTAAAGGCATGTATGTAGCGAAAATGGCACTGGGTCCTATCCATGACGCTAGGTATTACATGATTAATGTTTACTAGGAATAGTAGACACGAAGCTAAACACTTGCACTATGGGGCACACTTTACACAGATAGCAAATTAAATACGAAATAAAGCACACTTAATAAAGATTAAAGCTTTTTAACATTTTAGAACAAGCATTCTGCACCCTCTGAAGTCTGTGGAGTTCAAAGGGACAACATCCTTTTCTTTCCTGCTTTTTAATTCCTTTTAATTTTTTTTGGGGGGGAGGGGGTTATTGTAGATTATTCTTCAAAGTATATATATTTCCTTGTTAACATCAATTTTGTTTAATTCTTTCTTTGCCATAAAACTAAAAGAGACAAATGGGAAATGGAGAAAAAAATTGGCTAAATCAGCCGATTAGAAAAAAAAAATTCAAGACGGGAGCCGCACTGAGTCACGTTTTTAGTGCAAACAATAAACACCTGTGGACTAGCGAGATTGAAGCTTACAGACTGGGGGACTTCATATGCAATCTGAGCTGATCCTCCGCCCATGTCCAGGACTCCAACGGTTCTCTTCCTAGAGACCGTCTGAGGAGACGTCTCGGCTCCGGGTAGCTCCACCTCCACAACAGGCTCATCTGAAAGAGAAAACATATATAATAATGATTTTAATATATTGGAGTTATGGAATGATAGACTGACTTTTCAAAGTCTATGTTGAGGGCCTGACACATTGAATGTGGAAGCCTCCAAGTTTGACTTGTGTTCATATTTAATCAAACTACTTTCGACCTTCTGTACCTTCCTAAAGATGAATATTTTTATATTTTTTTTAATATGTTGTAATTTTTTCTTTCAATGTCTTGCAGCTCATTTTTCCATAAAGAACACCATTAAATAGTGTGTGTGTGTCCTCATTACTTCAATCTATCTCAAGTCATCTTTGTATTGCAACTTTGAAATGCTGAAGAATAATAATAACAACAACAACAATAGTGATAATAACTTTTGAGAAGATGTACCATGAAACAGTATCTAAAAGTCTAAATAAAATACACAAGCATAGCCAAGACCTAGGGGTTATGCTGACAAAATCAAGATTAGTTTAAGTATAATTCTAAAATGAAATGGAATGCGGTCTTACCATTATTGCTGTGATCAAATCGTCCCAGGACGTAGTTGATCCCGATCCAGGCGTAGACACCCTCTTGCTTCCCGCTGATCACTTCAACGTTCTTCTCGGGGAATAGGAAGCCATACTCCAGCGGGATGTCCTTCTTGAGGTCATCCAGGATCGCCTGAGATTGACTGTGAATGGATGGAGAGACATGGTGAAGGGTACAGATTAATATTGCTTATCACTGTTTCCGATAGACCACTCTTCTCTGAGAATGGATAGCCATAGACCAAGGGAACTAAAAGTATACTAAAAATTACTTCCTTTACAGAAGAGAATTCTGTGAAAGTAACAACCCCCCCCCCCCCTCCAAAAAAGGAATGAAATACTGTTGAAAGTCTCTTCCTTCAGTTAATATTTCAAATGTTCTTTCGACGGAGTATACACACTCAACAAAGATGAATGTGTATTCTTTTTGTCAATGAATTACTCTACCTCATAGCTTACTAAAATGTCCTGAGAATGTCAACATTTCTTCAGAAGCTGTGAGGAACATGACACTAACTATCAATAAAGAAAATATGTTATGATCCTATCTCACGTGAAGTTGACTGCGATTGGAGTTTGAATTAATAATTCATTTAAGAGCCAATTGTTGCTTGATTCGTTCAAATGATACATACAAATGTACATGTATAATAATATGCTACTACTCAATCAGGAGCTAGCCTTCAAAAGTTTAAATTGAAACTTGTGTAAATGAAATGGTATGTTTAATGATATTCTACAACTCAATCAAGAGCTAGCCTTCAAAGGTTAGTTCAAACTTGAAATTGCGTTTTTAAGAGAGACTGGTGTTAGTTACTTCTTAAATGTTTTTGCATGCTCTATGGATAATTTGAGCAGGCAAAATGTTGACAAACTGATCATATTTGCAGGAAATCATATCCATTCTTTATGGTCATTAAACATTTATTAAATAATTTTTACCAAATCGATTGTCACTTCTTATAACCGGGTATTTGTATTAATAAACATTCAGTGTGCATTTTGTTTGTTTCTGTAATAACCTCATTTCCATCATCACTTAAACTCATCCATTTTCTAAATCATCATTTTGTTTGCCTACACTTTTACTGATATACTGTTGTAAAATGTAGTTCCTCTATGCATTTCATATCAGTATTAGGAAAGATCATAGGCTTATCGGTAACTGAGTCAGATCTTAAAATCTTTATTTTTCTGGGTTTTTGTACATTTTCATTGAGAAATACAAGAACTGTACAAACACCGCAAAACAACACAGAGAAACTTATCTGGATAGCATACAAACTTGGTCTCAAACATACCTTTCAGGCAACATGCGCATACCAGCAGTAGCGAGGATGTAGAGTGGTGTCTCTGGTATCTTGGATTCTGGGATGTGATTGACAGCAAAGTTTAGTAATGGTTTCATGTAGATGCTTGCTTCAGATGGGGTGCTGGCTAGTTCTGCCAAACCTAATGCAAAAAGAATAGAAGTAAGGAGTATTTAATGACGTACTCAAGCTAATAGACAAGTACCATCGCAGGCAAAAAATATAGACTGCTACCTATACACTATTCTCAGATAAGAGTTGATATAAATGGCAAGTTATTTGTGATGGATATTAATTGCAACTATGTATGTAAGAGATGGGAGACTGCAAGCTTGCGATTGATTGAAGGAATTCATTAAAGCGAAACTTACAACCATGCGCGACACACTTCCAATGCAGAAGTGTCCATTCCTCATGCTGTTTTTTTTCCATACAAGCAGGTTTTTTTTTAATTTTGGTATTATCAGTACCGTTCATTCTTTTTGATAATATTTGTCTCTTCAAGTATGTTTTAAACTTAGTTTTCTATTGAATTTGTGATCAAATCAACATTTTAGGGCAGTTGTTTGATGTGCGGTATGTTAAAAAAAAAAAAACCCCGTAATTTGGAGGAAAAAACAGAGTAATTCCGGCAAAAATGGAATGGTTGGCTGCTCTGCTAAAGTGATTGGGTAACTTTGTCTCAGATTCTGAAACAAAATCCTGGATTTAGCACATGAGAGAGAGAGAAAAAAAAAAAAAGTACCGGAGTGTTGGCTCAGTCAGTAGAGCGTCCGCCTCACAACCAGGAGGTCGTGGGTTCGAACCCCGGCCGCGTCATACCAAAAGTCGTTAAAAGATGGGAGTTGTTGCTACCTTGTTTGGCGTTCAACAATAAGGGATAGAGCAACGTCGATCTGGCGCTGCTCAATGGCTGCCGGGCTCACGATCAATTGGGCAAAAAGAATTTCCGTTTCGGTTTAATAAAATTTGGAGTGGACTATTAGGCTATTATTATTATTATTATTATTATGATTATGCAGCAATGATAATTAGAAACCTTTAGGTCAGTCAGGAACCCTGTGACTTTTACAAGCCAATCACCTGTCTGATTATCAAGATATTTATGATTGGAAATCAAAATTTCATTTTTAGTTTTCCTAACGTTTTTTATAATACTACAGGCTATTGGGGAAATGAGTATGGTAAAACTGGTCACTCAAAGATTTTTACTTTTTTTGGCTTCAATATTACACCATATCACAGACACTGATGACTCGTAGGGCAATACTTCTCAGATTTAACATTGTTAAAGGATGCCTCTAAAGTTTCTTTTTTTTTTACAGAGAAAGATCAGTACCTGGTTTAATTTTCTTGACCACTGGCTGTCTATTAGGATCCCTCATCTGATGTATCTGCAGCAGCTCATTATTCTTGCCCGTGTGACTGGGCCAGAAGTAGACAAACACCCTGGTCCCACTCGAGCCAGCGTCCACCACAACACCATAGTACAGATTGGGATCCTCTGTGTTGGTTGCCTCCACGTGCACATACTTCTGGACATAGTTCTCGTAGTCCCTGTCTCCTCTGCTGGATGGGCCATACGTGCTCGTCTCATAGACATAGATACACAGGATGAGGAGACATGTGACTAGGAGGGCGACACATGCTGTCTGCCTTCTCAGATGGGTCAGTCGAAAGCTGATGTGCCAGAATGCAGGCAGAGGGAGATATAACGGACACCTGACAGGAAGCATTAATTAAAATAAGGAAGAGAATGATTAAGGAAATGAACAAGAGAATGAAAATTACATATTATACAAGATTATACACTAAGTTGAAGAAAAAAACATTTCAAGTTTCATTCATAAACTTTTGCATACATGAAACGTTCTTCAATTTTGTGAGTGCTTCAGATTCGATAAAGATTCATACCGCAAAAATATTTGAATCACAATTCACATTAGCCTAGGCCATTTTTGTAATGTAACAAAATTGTATTTGTATGGATCTAGATTCTAAGTCTTTGTGAAGCTGAAGTGCCTCAATACAAATTATTTCCTCCTTCCCACTCCATGACATAGACATAGCCATAACAAAAATACACGTAACTTGTACTAACTATAGTATTAGATCTAGACCTATGTGACAGATTGAATGAATAAATAAAACTGAAACTTGAATGTGAAAAGGCATTGATCGAGTGTTGATTGGCTCTAGTAGATATCTATAAATGTATAAAATGTCCAGGGAAAAATTTTCCTCAAATTTTTTGATTAGCAATTTCAGCCGATGGATAAATATTTCAAATGAAATTCTGTACATTTCTATGGAAGAAAACTGCTACACAAAAGATATTTTGTATAGCTGGGGGCCGTTTCTCGAAACCAACTCCATGACAGTCATATCTTTGTCGCCGACCTACGGAGATGTCATGAAGCGGATAAACCGTTTCACAAAGCCATGACAGACATGATATCGATATATCGCGATACTAGCAGCTCAAGAAGATAGTCTTTGTCACGATCCATTTGATTTATGAAGAATAACCCAAAACAAGTTTTGGGGCTAAAATTGTTCAAAAAGAAATATATACATATGAATTCTCCTAAAATAAATAATAAATAGTGTCATTATCATATTTACATCATCAAACGATTTGCATATTTCTGTAAAGATTCTTAAATTGAAGAAAAACCGGTGAGTGTTTTTTTTTCGACAGTCGAATCAAAAGTTAGTTGAAGGATACCGTAATGTGATAGTTTATCAATACATACTTTTTTGTTTATTGTGACGAGGAATTTTAGGCAAAATGCCTTTTCTCAGCCAGTTTTTATTCTAGAGTCTCATAAATACTCGTTATATAATTGAGTTGATATTAAAAATATAATTTGGAAGAAGTAATTAGAGAGGGAATAATAATGCACATAGGCCCCAAAGGTATGACGGTATCCTAAGAAACAGGTACTGCATTGGTATGGGTGGGTGGCAAATTTTTGCTGTGGTAAAATCCTTTAAAATCAGAGGAATCCTGAGTTATTTTTGATATTTATTCCTTGGAAGTGTCTTTTAGATGTCTCTTAGCACTATTTGAGGAAAGATTTTGTATTTTTGACTGCTAGATTGAGACTTCTTAATCAAGCTTTTCTCAGCTTTTAGGGTGGAAATTTATTTAGTCCCACTTGTGTAGTTTTGCGTTAGTTCATTTGACATTGGTCATTTTACCTGCCTGCATCGTGTACTGGACTATATACTGACTGCTCATTCGTGGATTCAATGGACTTTATTCTCTGAAAACTCACAGTGGTGGATTTATTTATTATATAGGTCTACTGGTCCAACTTGAGATTTTAGATTTGATCTCTACCTTTGGCTTTGGAGGGAGAGAAAAAAAAAAAGAAAAAAAAAAAAATGGCCACCAGAGGCAGAAAGACAAGTGTCAGCAGGAACACTGGACGTAAAGGAAGTGTAAATGAAAAGACTTCAGCAACTGATAAAAACGAGAAACACAACCAAGCCCAAGGTAGGAAAGAAAACAAAGATAATTTCAGTTGTGGAAGCTGTGGTATGATTGTACTGGATGACGATGCAGCTTTAGAATGTGAACTTTGCAACTTTTGGTACCACTGTACCTGTCAAAAGATATCCACAAATCTGTACAACACTATAAGTGAACTTGACGAAGATGATGATGGTGTACACTGGTACTGTAAAACTTGCAACAAGACAGCAAAAAGTATGATGACGATGATGACGTCGCTGAAGATACAACACACCAAGTTGGAATCCAGTGTGGCTGAGCTGCGAGAAGAGATGCATGAGTGCAAGACAGGGTGTGTCCAGTCTCACTCAGAGCTTCGGCAAGAGATGCGAGACATGTTTGACAGACAAGGTAGCTCAGTCATGGCTAATCCAGACCAAATTGATAAAGCTGAAACATATGAAATTATGAACAAAGTGATGAAAGAACGGTTCGATGAAATAGACGAGAAAGAGAAGAGAAAAACTAACATAATTTTCTTTGGAGTACAAGAGTCAGTTAGTGGAGAGCCAGCAACAAGGAAAAGAGACGACGAAACGAAAATCAGAGCAATGATCGATCGTTTACCCAATAAAAGTCTGGAGATCAGAACGCTGTACAGGCTGGGGAAGAAAGAAGACACTAAAACTAGACCGCTCAAAGTAGTAATGAACAACCAAGCCATGAGAGATGAAATCTTGCAGAAATTCAGAAAGGGTGAACTAGACCTTAGTGCATATGACGAGGGCGTTGTGCAGCTATCGAGGGACAGAACCAAGACAGAGAGAGAAGAGTACAGGAAGCTTAGAAATGAACTCAGGGAAAGGAAAGAAAGAGGAGAGAATGACCTTGTCATCAGGAATGGACAGATTAGAAAGCAGACTTTTCGTCCCCACGGCGAAGAACCTGCATAGAAACCAGAACCACAACACCAGCACTGCACATACACGCACACGCACTAGTAGAGAAGAGCACGAAAGCACTCCTTTTAACCTTTCAGTTATGTATACAAACTGTGACTCTGTTCTAAATAAGAGAGAAGAATTACAAACTTTGATTTTGAACACCAATCCAGATATTATTGCGCTGACTGAGGTTTACCCAAAAAACTCGCCTGAACGAATTCAACCATGCGAATTGAACCTTGATGGGTACCAGATGTTTCTACCAGAGAGATGTAAACAGAATGGGAGAGGAGTTATCATGTATTTGAAAAATGGTATAGCAGGATCATTGGTGGACCTAGATGAAAACTTTGACGAATCTGTTTGGGTCGAGATAACGATAGGGGAATCCTCTCTTCTTATTGGATGTATCTATAGGAGCCCGTCCAGTGTAAGTGAAAACAATGATAACTTATGTAACCTACTCAAGAGGTCATGTGAAAGGAGATACACACATTATGTTGCAGTGGGTGACTTCAATTACAAGGAAATCAACTGGGATAACGACACAGTGAATGGCAGTAACTTGAGAGGAAGTCACACATTCCTAACCTGTGTCAGAGACTTATTTCTGTATCAGCACATTCACTGCAACACTAGATACAGAGATGGACAGGACCCGAGTACTCTTGACCTGATTTTTACCAAAGACGAAGACACAATACATGACATTGACACCAACCCACCCTTGGGTAAGAGTGATCATGTAGTACTCCAATTCAGACTTGAGGTAAATGCAAGTTCTTCAGAGAAGGAGAACAGCAAAAAGAGAAGCTACTATCACGGAGACTATGATGAAATGAGGAGAAGACTAGAAATGATTGACTGGGAAACGGACCTAAATAACCTTTCTGGTTTAGAGGCATGGAATCATTTTGAAAAGACAATGATTTGTTGTATAGAGGACCTCATACCAATCAGAAGAGTATCTCAAAAGAAAAGACCAGAATGGATGACCAGCAGCGCTAAAGAGGCAGTACGAGACAAACATAAGGCATGGAACAAATACAGCAAGAGAAAGACTGATACAAATTGGAGCTCATATGTTGACAAAAGAAATGCCGCAACACTCATGACAAGGAATGCCAAAAGTGACTTTGAGAGTAAAATTGCAAATGAGGTAAAAACCAATGCCAAGTCCTTCTGGAAATACGTAAAGAGTAAAACCAAGACTCGAACAGGAATTCCGGACCTGCAGATGGAAGATGGTAACTGGGTGAGGAATGATCAAGAGAAAGCAGATGCCCTCAATTCATTTTTTGGAAGTATTTTTACAGAAGAGGACTTGGTGAATGCTCCAGACATGGATCCTTACCAAGTAGAATCATCCTTAAACGATGTCGAGTTTACAGAGGAAGTAATTGTGGACATTTTATCTAAATTGGACATAGACAAATCACCAGGCCCAGACGGTCTACACTCCAGAGTTTTGAAAGAAACGTGTCACCAGATTGGAAAACCTCTTCAAATGATCTTTTCCCGACTATTCAAAGAAGGCAGCGTTCCAGCAACATGGAAAGAAGCTACGGTGGTCCCAATCTTTAAGAAGGGAAAAAAGAGCCTACCAGGGAACTATAGGCCGGTGAGTCTAACATCAATTATCTGCAAAACAATGGAGAAGATTATTCGGAGCAAGATGATCCAACACCTAGAACTCAATCACCTATTCACTGACGACCAGTACGGCTTTCGCAGTGGCAGATCCTGTTCAACCCAATTGACTGTTGTCCTTGAGCAGTGGACCAAGATTCTTGATGATGGCCATGGAATAGACTGCCTGTACTTGGATTTCCGTAAAGCATTTGACAGTGTGCCTCACCAGCGTCTACTCACCAAAGTTAGAGCAAATGGAATGGAAGGATGTCTTATCAAGTGGATTGAGAAGTATCTGACAGGCCGCAGTCAACGAGTGGTGGTGAATGGGAAGAAATCAGAAACCTGCGAGGTAACAAGCGGCATACCACAAGGAAGTGTCCTCGGTCCGGTCTTGTTCAATATCTACATTAATGACCTACCATCTGTTGCCCAGAATTCTACAGCGAAACTATTTGCTGATGACACAAAACTATACAGGGTTGTAGACAATGAAGAGGATGCTAAGCTACTCCAACAGGACTTAAATGACATCGTTCAATGGTCAAGTAACTGGCAGCTACCGTTCAACGAAGGAAAGTGCAAAGTGATACACTATGGAAAGAGGAACAAGAAGTTCGCCTACACTATGGAATGCCCCGATGGGAGAAAAGATGTGACAACGGACGAAGGAATGGGAGAAAAGGATCTGGGGGTATTATTTGACTCAGATCTGTCTTTCTGCGCCCATGTAGCTGATGTCTCCAAAAGAGCCAATATCAAGTTAGGAATCATCAAACGTTCTTTTTCATCCCTTGGATCCAGTGGCATGCTACAACTATATAAGACCATAGTACGCCCAACACTTGAATACTGCAATGCAGTCTGGAGACCAACGTACTTAAAGGATCAAGATCTGTTGGAAAAGGTCCAGCAACGTGCTACGCGACTCATCCCAGATGTGAAGCATCTAAGCTATGAAGAAAGACTTAAGACACTCAAACTACCATCACTAGAGTACCGTAGACAGAGGGCTGATCTTCTTCAAATATACAAGATCATGCATGGATTGGAGGCAGTAGAGAGGAATGACATATTCGAAATCATCAAAGAATCCAGAACAAGGGGACACAGGCTCAAAATAAGGAAGCCCCGCTGCAAATCTAAGATAAGGCAGATGTCATTTTCAGTGCGGAGCATTAATAACTGGAATAACCTTCCTGAAATTGCCATAAATGCCTCATCAATCAATAAATTCAAGTCAGAACTTGAAAATCATTGGAAGCACCATCCGCTGAAATACCACCCATACCAACGCGAATCCAATGCAGTAAAGAGGGGCACATAAGCTGAAGCTTCAAGCCTCGACACCAAAGTAAACCAAAGTAAGAAAAGACTATGGATCGACTATGGAAAACGGTGTGTAACATTCTTATCTCTCTTATTTATATGTTATAGTTTAATGATTTGTGATTTAATGTTTATATTCAGTTTTTAAAGTTTCTGTATAATTTGTATTCTCACTTTTGTACATTTGCATTTCACATCCCAGAGAATTACGTACCGAACTCGTCTATATTTTTCTCAAAATGATAGTGAAACTAATCGTCCATTTCGCGGCCCATGGAATGGCAACAAACTGACTTGTGATGGCGCTTTACAGCAATTAAAAAGATATGACAGGTTCGGAGCAGTGACAACTCACTTGTCGCGGAAGTTGTCGCTCATCTTGACAAAGACGGCTTCGTGAAACACTTAGCTGACAAGTTGCGTGACAGTGGCGAGATGTCGTTGATCTTGTAGTTATGACGGTTTCGAGAAACGGCCCCCAGTCATGCAAAAATGCATAGCAAATTGCGATGCGATACCAGGAAAATTATTCCCTGATGTCTGATATTAATAATGACTCACATAAGTTTCATGTTATGATATTTTTTGGTTTAACAGTAGTCTAGTGAGTTACCTATAAAAAAAAGAACTAAAATAAAGAAGACTGCCGAATTCGGAGTTCAACCTACGTGCTGCGCTGCGCGCTGCATATCCAGGGTATTGGACAGAATTGATCGGAGGAGTGCCGGGTGACCTGACACGTCGATCGGGCACGCAAAAAAAAGGGCACAGCCCTGCCTAAGATAGTTCACTTACCTAGCCATTTAAACACTAGAATACGACCAACATTAAGAGGACTTCAGAGGACTACCGGTCCATAAAGATTCCGTCGTTTTGTTACTTCTTGTCTGAGCAAACAGTTTTATGACTGGTTTTTCGACAACATATTGCTTCTGTAGCTACGACTACGTGTCCATATGTACGTGTAAGCCGGGTGTCATAACTAGCGACCAATTCTGAAAACTGCCAAAGACAGGCAACAACTACGCGTAGCCAATTTTGCAAGTTTTAGCGATCGTATGACGCGTCTTTTTTCTTGTTGTTTCTTCTTTTTTTTTGGATAAGTGATGACGTAAAGTATAGTACGCTTCACATTTTTGTATCTCACAACTAAAAGGTATACGCGCTAGACCTTTGTTTCCCGCAGTTTCCAATCGTTTCGGAAAACAGCAAGAAAATAATTTATTAACAGGCGCGGCGGTCTCGATGCGGTTTAACGCGGCATTCATGCAGAAGCTTTTTCAAGTACGCAGAAATTTGCCTCTTTTTTTGCAAAAGAAAGTGCCGCATTTTAATTCAGATAAGAACCCATTTCTTTTTCTAACTTAGGTGCCCGTTCCACATTCTTTTCAGTGCCCCCTTACCACCTCTAGTGCTCCCTTCACCCATGATAATTGCCCCTAGCTATCATCAAATCTGTCGACACATAGGTACTCCTTTTTTTTTTCTAACATGAAGTGTCCTTTCCCTTCTGATAAGTATATCCCCTTTCATTTCTCCATATCATGTACAGACTAAGAGCAAGTTTTCTCAAACTTCCCCCAAAGCTTGCATGCTTGCTCGCTCTCATTTATAGTTATGTCAAATCAGTCTTTAGAGAATGTGCTCATAGAATCCAAACAGGGTTGCTTTTTCCTCTTTATAAGATCTTATTGGTTGCAATGAGCCCGCCCAAATCTTAAAATGTATCGGTAGTCGCTTCGCTCGCTCGCTCGCAAATGAATATTCATACCATTGCACCCACACTGTAAAGTCATTCGTTAAAGCATAATCTTAGACTATGCATAATAATAATAATAGCTAGTTAATATAGCGCTTTTCAGGACCGGAGGCCCTCTCAAAGCGCTTTACAGATGTATATATTATTACCCCGGTCATAGGATTCAGGCTTACCCGCACACAATGTATGCACATTCTCCACTCCCTGGGGAGCATTCCAGCCAGGCGTCTTTTTTACAAGCGCACACTTGCTTTCGCATCCTACCGGGTACCCATTTAACACCTGGGTGGAGAGTGGCAAATGTAGATCAATGTCTTGCCAAAGGACATTAGTGCCGCGGTGGGACTTGAACCGGGAACCTTGTGATCCACAGTCCGGTGACATATCCACTCGTCCACGACACGTACATGTAGAGAGAGAATAATTAAATATTGCAATACTGAAAACTGAAAACTGATAATGTATTAATCACAATGTACAGGGGTGTACCAATGTTTGAGCATTATAAATTGTCCTATGTAGGTTCCCCTTTTTTCCAGAAAGTGCCCATTTTTTCTTGGTGCCCCGCCCCCACACTTTATAGAGGCGCTCCACCACCCATGGTCGTCACGACTATTGAGTGTGCTTGAAATGTCATGCTTGCAGGCTGCGTATGTGAGGGGGAAGGAAGCACTTTTTTGGCTCAAGGGGGGGGGGGGGGGGCTGACATCCTGGCTTTCCCCGTGTGTTCGATTGCTCCCTCCCCCCCCCCCCCCCCCCCGCTTCCCTCTCTCTCTCTCTCTCTCTCTCTCTCTCCTTTACTTAATGATTAAAATTGAGGCATATATGTCTCGGAGCATTTTGCCCCCCCCCCCCCCCCCCCCGTTTCATTGGATAATATGTGTCGTGCTTCCGTTCCGATTCTTCTTTGGATTAAAACAAGCACTATATAAGCTTGCCTAACATTTCATCACAATTGTAGGGGTGAAATTATTCATAAAAATTAAAAGCTGATACACGCATATATATAAATTAAATAACAGGCATTAAAACTATTCTTATCCACATTTTGTGAATAATTTAGATTTGATCTTGTACAAACGATATTTGAAAAACTTAAAGTGAGGAGAAATCATTGCTGATAGGGCAATTTATAAATTGGCAACTAATTGCATGCTGATATTATTTCCTGCTTTCAATAGTTGTACATTGATCGAATGGGGAAATAAATTGGCAACGCTATGATTTGGATGTCGATTAAATTTCTTTATTTATATTTTATAAATTGTTAGAAATTTATTTGAATCAATGTTTATCATTAAATATTTTAATGACCTTTATATCTTAATTTACATCAACAACAAAAAATAATTCTATTTAATTAGCTTTGCTTAATTTTGTATTTTATAACTTTACGGAAGTTTTGATGCTGCCAATTTCAGATGACTCAAGTTTGTAAAGATGGCTTTGGATGCTGTGAGGATAAGGACTTGCGTTCAGGAAATTGTTAAACATGACTTACAGATCAATTCATATGCACAGGTAATTACATTAAACAGGTTTTAAAGTCAATTTCTACGATATAATTGAGGAGAAATTTGTGTTTGTTGATGCTTGTGTATTATATAGACGCTTTTAAATTTACTATTATAAACTCACTGTGATCGTAGTCCCACATATCCAGTTCTAACGAGGCATGCCTGGTCTGTAGTCTGCTACTGAATTTGATGGGTGAATGAATAATTTATTAATTTATAATTTTTTTCGGATCAGGACTGATTAATCTATGACTAGACTGTTTAAATTGATGTAAAGAATGAAAGAAAATAAATAGAGTAGACCCTACATGTTCAAAATCCAAAGAAACTCCCTTCTTGTTTTTCTAGACTCTAAATCTATTTATTTTTTTAATTTTATTAAAGTCTAAGATAGGCTAACGCATTCTTAATCTTATCTGATTTGTCTGCTTTCCTCTAGTCTAGATTGGTTTACTAATAATACTACCAAGGTTGGGTAAATTTCCCTTTGGAACATCATGAAGAGCTTGTACTACTACTAGTAGAATAAGTCTGATTACATTATGATTACATTGAATGAAGTTATTTTTTATATTTTTTTGAGGGGGGTCATATTTTTAAATTTTTATTTTCTTTGCTTTTTTTTCTTTCAGGAGCTCAGAAGTAGCTGCAAAACCATGGAGAGTCTGGACAGTATCAACACAAGAATTAAAGCAGAGACTGCCATCTGTAAAAACAGAATAGAGGTGATATTTCTAGGTTGATTGCTATCTCAAATCTCAATAATAGTCAATTACAGCTTCTCAGGCCCATGTGTAACTGAAAGAAATATTGTGATTGTTCATGTTTGTTCCATGGTAGAGATTGGTGAATTGAGAAATCAGAGCCCATCTCATATCTTGAAGATTTGTAATTGATTCTTATCAAACTTTAAAGGGAAAGTCCACCCCCAAAATAAGTTTGTTTCGATAGAGGCAGAATAATAAGAAAATCAGGTGAGTGAAAGTTTGAGCAAATTCTGAATGAAAATAAGAAAGTTATGAATTATTGAAGTTGTGATCAATCAAATACAAATTGGCAACTCTGTGACTTATTATACGAGCTCTCCTTCATTTGCTTTGTGCATAATATTCCATAAAATCATGTTTTCTTCGTTATTGATGACGGAATATATATTTGTTCCTTGCAGGGGGAGTATAGAAACATATTTGCAATTATTATATTTAGGGTGCATGTATGGTTGAAATTTTTCTTGAGGGAAAATGAAAATTTTAGATTTTTTTAGTACTGGGCAGTGGGCAAATGGAAGTTGAGCTCGCATGATATGTCATAGAGTTGCCAATTTGTGTTAGATTGATCACAACTTCAAAAATCCTAACTTCCTTATTTTTAATCGGAATTTGCTCAAACTTTCACTGACTTGTTTCTCTCATTTTTCTACTCCTATTAAAACTAACTTAATTTCAGGGTGGACTTCCCCTTTAAGTTACCAATGAATCACCAGTCAATGCAATTATTTATGATTTATTCAGTCAAAACTTTCATAAGACTGGGCTCATATGTGCTTAACCTAACATGTCTGGATGACACATTCCCTTCTTGCTTCATAGTGAATATTTTGTTTCTGAAGACAAAGTTTGCTCTTTGAGTAATGTGTCATTGTTGAGACATGAGAGGTATTTCAGACTTCCTTGCTTTTCTGTTTGCTTTCATGACTTTATATTTTCTCCCTCACAGGAGCTAGAGAAGATTGGCAAAGAGCAAGATAAAGAAACAGACAGAATAGGACTCCTCAAGGAAGCAGATCATTACAGAAAACAACTCAGAAAGTAAGTTCAGATTTATCCTTTAAGGCCCAAATTCACAAAGGAGGCTTGGATAACCCATGGTCTGAAAAATGATTTAAACCCCACCATGGGGGGGGGGGGGGGTGACACATGTATACTACCTACATGAAGGTTTAAGCCATGGGTTAAGATACACATCTGCCTTGAATTCAGGCAATATAGTCTCCTTTCCCTGGCATATAAGACTAGGATGTTGTTTGAATACAAGATTCAAAACTTTTTTTTATAATTTATACAATTTTGTGTATGTTTTGTAAAGGGCCATTTGATAAACATTTTTCTAAAGAAGGGGGCTATTGTATTATTTTCCCTTTCTTTGTCTTACATATATCAGAGTTTTAAAGTTCAGACAATATAATTGTATGAAATTGCAATCACAAAATAAAAATATTGACCTGTTTAACAGCACACAGACTGCTATTAGGCAAGCCAACCTCAGCTGCAAGATGGAGATTGATAGAAACCAAAGAAATGAGCTGCTGATAGGACAGGAAGATCCAGAGGTCAGGAAAAGGTGAGATCTTCTTAAATGACTTAAAGATAATGTTGAGTTCTGGTCAGGCAATTGCATTGTGAAAGAAACGGCGTGGAATCGATCAGAAAAAGTAGATCACGTAGCATAGAAGTATTGATGTGTACTGCCAGGTTCTGGAGTCATCAAAATGATAAGAAATTTGGCCTCTGATCAACCATTTGTGTGGAGTGTGGACACTCCTTTGGTTTTCAGCAGATGACATATCAATTGATCTTGTATTGCATTGAAGTTCCCTCAATGTAGGTTTAAGATGAGAAATATAAATTCTTGCAGAATTGAAAGAAAAAAATATATTGTCTTTTTGGAGCCTGTAAAGCATTTCTCGATTTGCCTCATATGATTTTACACCAAGTTAATGCTCTTCTGGCTCCAGACAGATATAGATAAATAATAGTTAGTTAAATGAATTTGTAAAAATACTGCACTACACCCAATTGTTAGCAGCATAATGATATAATATGAGTGATTTTCTCCATGTAGGGCATGAAAGTACAGTCACCTTTTTAATAAGGTAAATAATTTTCTTACTCCCTCCCTTTTCTTTTCCTACCCTTCATAGAAAAAATAAGGAAGACCTCGCTAAGACAGCAAGTGGCATCACAGAGAGTCTTCTGAGTCTCAATCGTATGATGGCAGACAATGTAGAGAGGAGTAATCTTACCAACCAAACCTTAGGTCAGTCAGTACTACTGCTATTCTTATACTCTCACATTACTTTTCAGATATTTCATTTTGCAATTCAGAGATAAAGATGTCTGGGGATATTTGATATTTTGATTTATGAATTGTTAATAAATTGACAAAATAGGCATCACATTCTTTTGTCGTAAAATGTTTCAAGAAAATGTTTTTTATTTTTAACTCTGTTTATTATAAATGACTGTAAAAAATATGATTAGAATCTTTTAGTCTCATATTTTCTCATTATTGTATAGGAACAAACTGACTGCGCATATGTTTGAGAATTTGTGTCTTGCTTTTCATTAATTTAAACCAAATCAATTCAAATCAAATTTCAAAAATAATTTGGGTGCTAGCATATTAAATGCACCTTGCCTCTAAAGGCATCGTTTAACAATGTCAAATCTGAGATGCACGGCCCCTACAGTGTCTGTGATATGGTGTTATATTGAAGCTCTAAAAAAATTGTGCTTCAAAATTATCATGAAGTGCCTCAAAAAAGTAAAATCTTTCAGTGACTGGTTTTACCATACTCATTTACCCCAATAGACTCTAGTGTTATGAAAACCGTTTGGCAAACGCAAAATTTGATTTCCATTTTCAATCATATATATATATCTTGATAATCAGACAGGCGATCAGCTTTCAAAAGTCATGGGGTTCCTGACTGACCTAGTTTATAATTATGATTACAGCATGAGCAAAATCAGGGAAGTTTTATAAAGGATCTAAGACAAAGTTACCGGATCCCTTTAAATGCACCTTGCCTTTAACATTTTTAACCTCATCTCTTGTATCTCCCTTCTATAGTGACCTCCTCCAACAGAATACAAGAAACAAATGAAGAATTTAAAGGAATGGCAGGCGTCATTCAGACCAGTCGGAATCTCCTCACCAAGTACGGACGTCGAGAAATGACGGACAAGCTGCTCATATTCCTTGCTCTTGCCCTCTTTCTTGCCACGGTCGTCTACATTCTAAAAAAGAGGATCTTTTGATCAGCCTGACATTAAAGACACTCTGAAGGGACTGTGAAACATTGTTAAAACTCTTGAAGATTGGTTCAAATTATGAAAGGAGAGCTGAGCAGCAAGAGATATTGTCTACATCCATCTACTTCAGACTCATTTAACTTGATCTTCAATGCTACAGTGGTCTCTTTTCTAAAGAAAAGGATCATTCAATGTATCTGATTAATGAAAAGACTTGTAAAACATTCTCCAAATGGCTTTAAATTGTGAAAGAAGAGCTGCACAGTAAGAGGGGATATTCTCTGCATACTCATTTACATTGATTTTCAGTGCCATCTCTATTCTGGAGAAAAGTATTTTTAAATGAAAAGAAAGAAATTGATATTTTGATGACTAGGAAAAGACTGAACACTTAAAAAATATGAACATTTTAGTAGAATATAAATTTATGAAAGAAAAGCACCACAGTGAGAGGGGACATTGTCTCTATTTTTCCATACTCACTTAGAAGCACCTAGAGTCATTTACATGTACATCTAGCTTTCAGGCATAAATCCCATTCAGTTGTCACAGCCTCACAGGCAACACAATATCTAAACTATCTGTAATTGTATTATTCCAATACTGTTGAAATGTGATAGGTGAAAGGAGCTTCTAGTTAGAACAATGATTTCAATATTTCATCTAATGGTTAATTTCGAGAGTTATTTCATTTTCAATAAACTTGCCATTATTGATGTATTAATCAACGAAACAAGTGCGACTGGGTCTCCTATATATGCCTCCACCCTAAATTCAGTATAGGAAATGGATGAAATTATTTGTGACTTATCACAATGGAAAAAAAGAATGGAAAAAAATCTTTTGTGGTTCTTTAGATATCGCAATAGCACGGTTAAAACCTGTTATTTCAGAAATTGACCTCTGTGACCTTTGACCTATTAACCAACAATCTTATCAGATCGTCTTCCTATGGAAATACATATTATCACCAAGTGTGAGCCTCATATCTCTAGTGGTTATTGAGATATAGCAATAACGAGACCTATACCTGAAATTGCAGAAGTTCACGTCTGTGACCTTTGACCTCATAACTCCAATATCTAATAAGATTGTCATCCTATGGTGATACATATTATCACCAAGTTTAAGCCTCGTATCTCTGGTGGCTCTTGAGATATCAAGACGGATGGACGTACAGCCTCCGGCACCACCTTCATTGTTCAAAGACATAAAAATCTACACAAAAATTATTGATATGATGTAATTTTCATATTTTTATTAAAATGTCTAGGATAATTTTTTTTTCTTCAAAATTGAAAATTCTGTGGAATTTCATTCCGTAATGCTTACATAGCAACAGAGTGGGGTGGATGGAACATTCAATATCTGAGAGTGATGAGGTTAGAAACACAGTGATGCCCTTTGCTCCATAGATATGATAGTCAGAATGATCTTCTCACATTGGTTTAGTTTTTTGATGTTCATGATCCCAGCCTGTATTCTTGAATGTGAAAGTTCTCTCTTTATATGTGACATGAAACAGCCATGGTTGCTGTAATTCTATGTGGATCAAGGTAGCTCTTAAAAAAAGTATGTATGTAATTCTGGTCAAGGTTCATTGTTTGGTCAAAGGTCAACCACTTGGTTGGGGGAAAAATGCAGTCATTAAAAAAAAGTGCATCAATCTGAACTTGCACTCTCTCTCTCTTTTCATTTTCATTTCACTGTTTGATTTAATTAATTATTTGGTTAGTTAAGTTGGTTAAAAAACAAACTATTTATTTTTCTCTCAAAATATTTGTGCATTAGCTACTTTGCTAACAGATATGTAAATCACTGCTTGAGACTTGCCCTCATCAATGTTTATTTTTGATTTTGGACCAATATTGTTTCTTGTTTATAGTATCTTTACCTTTACAAACTAAACAAGAGAGTTTTGAATATTCAGACTTACCTTGGTCATATCATTGATGTACAAATTTGTCACAGGTGCATTACAATAATTTATCTATTAGTAATCCTTACATGTACTAATCACATGCAGTATTCAATTTTATTTCATTTTTGGTAGGAGAATATTAGTTCTGCTGATATTATTTTCTACAGTGACTACAATAATTTTGACATTCACCCAGAAATCATTTGGGTCTGTGTTTCATAATACCATCTCGATCTGAAATGCTGTTGTTAAAATTCATTCTTATTATATTATTTTTAAGTTATTGCAAAATCAATGTCCTTACATTCCTTTATCAGGCATACTGTAAAACTGTAAACTTTTAAGTTTTGAGTGCTTAAAATGTTTGGAAATATTGCAAGTGTTTCGATTTTGCAATCACAAGTGACACAACATTATCCTGTATCAATTCCCAAATTCTTTATAAATATGAATAATATATTCAATTTGCCAAAATTTCTAGTTAAAATAAGAGCTGGTGAATAAAATTTGCATTATGCTAGCCCCCCTCTCTTACCTAATTATTTTCTCTGATTTACCATATTTTTTTAAGTACGGTACAAATTTGAAGTACAAATTTCACATACATGTCGTACTTGTAACATAAATTCTGTAAATCATATATCATGTGATATAATATATTAAATATTGTTCAAATTTACATATGTTTTTGTTTCATTAGTCTTTCTTTAGATTGAATGATGGAACAATTAATTCCTCAAAGGGCAATCTAACCCCTGTGATAAGTTACTGTGTATGAATGCAGAAAAATAAGAGGAACTGAAGGGCAACGTTTTGAAATAAATCGCTTTGATAATAAGAGATCTACGAATATTTGAATTATGAGATTACAATTGGCAATGTTGTCAGTGGATTGTGACGTACCGGTAGTCACAGACAACTCTCCTATTCGTAGTGTACAAAAATATCATTGATTTCTATTTTTCTCCCAAGTCCCTTCTCCCTTGGGACACTACTCAAAATATATTATGGATAGTATATTATTATAGGTCCTCTGAAAAAGACCCCCCCCCCCCCCCACCCCCACCCCCATTCATACTTTAAAAAAAATTAAAACATTGTGTGTTAGAATATATGGTGAAAGTGGTCTGTTACTACATCACAGTGCCATCACTGATTTAGCTAATTTGAAGGTCTCGTACGTATAGTGATTACAACTTTCATTAATTTTAATAACTTTTTTTTTATTTTCTTTCTATTTCTTTTGAAATTTCGCCACTCAGCTTCTCTGATTTTTCTGTTTTCTCTTAGAGTTGTTTGTTTTTAAGGTTGGATTTCCCTTCAATGAACAATGTAAAACTTTATGATGATGGTGATAATGATGATGATGGTGATAATGATGATGATTTTTAACATTATTTTATTATAATTATTATTATCATTGTTGTTGTTATTAATTAAATCATTACTTAATTAATCACTACATTAAATAATCAATATTTGTGATAAGAATATGAAACAAAATCATTTAATGCTGCAAAAACTTGATGTTCATGTTGGGGACATTACTGTTGCAGTTGATAATGATACTTTTGATTTTGTTGATAGTGATCATGATGTTGATGATGTTGCATGATTAATGCTGGCATAACTTTGAGTATGATGGTCATGGTGTTAAAAATTGTTTGCAAGGATAATGATAATTTTGATGATGACGATGATGATGATGATTAGCGCTTCATGATGAATATTTTTTTAATTGCGACATTTATGCTGAAATGATAGTGATTTTATTCATAATGGTATGTATTGATTAAAAATATTATGTTGATGATAGTTTCAGTGTTGATGATATTGGTGTCACATTTGTGGTGTATAGTGATTCATAATAGTGATGATGGCGCCCCTGCAGCATTATAATTCGAAATATTTTCAATATGACATAGGCCTACTTACTTTGCATTTGACTGCTGGTTTATGGAATGAAAAATACTCTAATCCAAGGTACTGTCAGAGTCTGAATGAGAAGCAAATATGTAGAAGATTCAAGCAAATTTCTTTGGATGTATTGTAATTTAACGAATTTTCATTTTTTTTCATTTTGTTGTTATTGTTTTCCTCTGTTTTCATAAATAAATTGAAAATAAAATTCTTTAATTTAAGCCTTATCGACAGAGTTCATCTGAAAAGAGAGAGGGAGAAAAGGAGAAAGAAAGAGAGAGAAAAGAGAGGGAGGGAGAGGGGAAGAGGGGAGGGGGGAATTCGTGTGTCTTTTGCTTTCTTCATCATTTTGGAATTTATATGTCTAGTCCAAAACAAATAAAAGATTTGTGGCTTCATGTACTCATTGACTATTGGCTTATTGTTTGTGAACCTTTACACAAAGTATTTTTTATTGAATTGCATTAATTTGAAAGTCTTTTGTTAAGTTCAACTTCAGAAAGTGAGTTCCTTGAAGAAGAAAAAAAAACTTTAATTTTCAGTGTGCACAAGACCTAGTGTCCCCTAAATGCACAACTAATAATTTTAGATTTGCTGTAAACTGTGATATTTAATTGTAATTGTAAATTTAATTATAAAAGAGGCAAAAATACAGTTCTTTTGGGCTAATTTAAATTTACATTATTAGCTTGTTTGTACTTATTCATATTTCATCTAAATTTCAGGCAAAGAAAGCATTAATAACATTACCAACCAGGATAACATTTAATCAGTTTCATGTATTTACAAAAAAAAATGACAGTGAATGAGAAGAATTAAAGTTAAACAAAAACTAGGGCCTTTGATTTTGCTTTTCCTCATTTGGGAGAAACAAAACAAAACAAAACAAAAAACAAAAACAAATACAATGAAAGGTATTTGAAACAAGAGCATTTCTAAATCTAGGAAAAAGCTACTCATATCTTCACTCCTCAAGAAAAGTGAAATTCAATATACCCGGTAGGCTTTTATTCTGGGTGTTTTAAAGCCCCACTGTCCTACTTGTAGCTATACCTGCTCCATATATAGAAAACTTCCCAAATCGGTGCCTGTTGGTCCCCCATGATCCTCTTTTTGTTATGTTAGTTGAGAGCTGAGTTAATGAGATAGCCACCTGTCAGTGACCTCGCTGCGTGGTCTAATCCCTTCTGGCCCAGTAATAGTGACGGTCTTTAATTTTTTTTAAACGAAAACAAAAAAATTAAATTTTTTATAAAGTTTGATCTTTATTTAAAACAAACATTTTATGATAGATTTCTGCACATATTTAATCACTTCCATTTGAATATGTTATACTTTTTGTGTAGGCCTAAGCCTAAGTAGGCCCTACTTTGTACTATACATAGGCGATTTCTATGAATTTTTACTTTTCAGGAAAATCAGCCAATCTGAATAAATTAATATGATTTTCTCTGATAAATATCACTTTTTTTAATTAAAAATTAAAACCAAGTAGAATATATTTGATATATTTTAGTGATGTGATTTTAAGCACTACGTTTATCTGCATTAATGGTGGGGGGTGGGGTATATATATATATATATATATATATACAATGCAGTCATTTTTCAAAGATCATTGCTGCTCATAATTAATCTGACACCATTTTTATAAAGCCCGAAAAAGTAATATATATATATATTTATGAGACGGTTATTAATTCAGAGTGTTCAGGTGAGCTTGGGGACTCGTTCCATGCCCCACCCCAAGCCAATTAAATCCGATTGCAATCACATGATACTTAAATTTAGACCTATAAGTGAAAGGGTGAATGATGATTTCAGGCATACAATATGTGGATCCTAAGTAATAATTATGATTTTGAGATATTGTCTTTCGAAGATCAAGTCAAAGGTTACCTTCTGCTAAAGAGGTTATACCAAACAGTAGATAAAGCATATATCCTATACAGACAGGAGGGATGATATTGCATGGGGTTGATTACATAATGATGGTATTTCAATTTTTATACATGAATAAACAAGCCCATTTAGATGAAAATTATATATTTCAGGTTGAGATAGAAGAGAAGAGAAAAAAGGAATTCATTAACACAACCATGTTCATGATTTGAAGTGAGCTGGTAAATGTGAATTGGTGTTTTTCAAAATTATTTCCAGTTTCTGTGACATAAAAGGGCAATCTTTATTGAGCTACAAGAGATTGAGTCTTCCGATCGTAGCTTCCGAAAGAGAGAAGAGATTTCCGAATGTCTTCGTGAATTTAGAGTCAAATTGAGCATCCAATCGCACGCTTTTAAATTCGCGCCGCTTTGACTCGACTATTTCCGTGAACACTCGTGAGTGGTTCGTTTACCTTTTCGAGAGAGAACGAGCGAGCTGAGCTGACTTTCCAGGCATAATGCACGCATTGGTTCTGCGCGCGTAAATGTACCCATACTACCAGGCCATAGTATACAGTGCATATGCGTTATGCATGCATGCAGTATACATACACACGTTTTCTCATAGACCAAACGAACTAGCCGCTGCCCCCGTATTTTGAATGGGGACCCAGACGGAAGGTTAGTGAAATTTTAACATTTTGAAAGCTTAATTTTACTAAATGAGTAAGTCCTTGAATTCGAAAATTATTTGTCTATGTATTTATAAATGCAACTTTCAATATTAATGTCAAAATCTCTTAATTTTCAATTTTATATGACTGATTCTTATCTCTTTATCTCCAATTTTTAATTGAGGCAAACACGAAGACAGTGCCCTGTCAATGAGAAAGCTCATAATCTTCATGTTGGCTAAGGTTTTGTCTTTAAATCGTTTGGTAAATCTAAATCTATTAATGAGGATACAAGACTATGCAGACCTATTAGTATGTGTTCAGATATTATTGTAGAATGATAATCTACAGAGATTTTTATGAGCGTGAGAGGTGAAATTATGACCATGATTCATGACTGAGCTGAGTAGTGAGTGACAAACCTGATTGGTGAAGATTAACTTGTCTTGACGTCTTGAGACTGAGTGAAAAGTGAGACTGACATGATTGAAATTATGTTGTACCTTGTGTTCTTCTCTTTCGAAAGGTCCGCTAGGAATTATAACTGGAAGTATAACTTGGCGTGTGGACGTGCGGAATAAAATTTAAAGATTTTTGAGATAGTTTGTCGAGTTTTTCCGAAAGTTTGTGTTAGTGAGCTGAAATGATCAAGGTTCTTGAACTTAAATTTTAAATATAAGAAAATGTCCAGGTTTAGCACATCTTTTCTCTTAAAATTACTTTAAGGAATGTATTAATGATTTAATAACTTGCCCGTCAATGTCAGCAGTGTGTTGATAATGATGAACTCCTTTTTTGTGGGGGGGGGGGCTCTAATTTTAGGTTTGTGGTCAATTTTGACGATATTCCTCTGACACTCGTTGAAGTTACATGGCTTTTAGCTGCATCACGTGGTAATTATTTCAAGAATGAACCCGGTAGGTAGTGTACCAAAACTATACTAGATCTAGTATAGACTGTAGACCTACCAAAGTATTAGAGCTTGGCTTTTGCATTTACCCCAATGTTTTGACATGTCTGGCATTCAACACTGAGTGGGGCCTCTAGAAGGCCACAGCAATGTCCAGACAAAAGACAACGCTTTTTGTCTTATAAATAAACATAAATAAAAAAGGTTTTCTTCCAGTGGTCCATAAGTCTATGTTTACAAAGTGTCCAAATATGGACATTGTTCCAAGTTATTAAAAAGAAAAGAATGAACAGTGGAAACCATTTAAGCAAACACAAACTAGAGGAAGCTATCACTCATGGAACCATGGGACTGCCCGTTTTGACCACTGTCGACCTCTAAGTTGCAGAGGTAACAATATGACAAAGAATCTGTTATAAACATCACATGCTCTTAAACTTATGATTGAAAAAACTCAGTCATATTTAAATCTATTTTTATGATGAGAACTAGTGTGTCTGAGCTCAGTCTTATGAGGAAACTACAGTAGGCCTAATAAATGCAAGTTATATTGAAAAAATAATTCATCTTAATCAAGTTTTTTTAATCTTTTCTTATGTCTTGAATCCATACTATTTCTTAGGAGAATTTAATTTGAGGTGAAATATTTTTGTCTCCTTTGCAGAATATTTGGTCAACATTGTTCAGAGAACCAAACCAACTCTATTAAAAAGGATACCGGTGATCCAAAGGGTGCGAGGCTTGGAGTGAATAGGATGAATTCCTCTGATCCTCCGAGTCAACTCCCTCCTCCACCACATCTCTACAGCGACACCCCTGTAAGATCATCCAGCCTTCCTACCATGCAGGAGGTGATGGGAAACTCCTCACCATCAAAGCTCCTTGGCCTTGCGTCGTCTGCACAGAAGCCTAGTCCTGCAGCAGCTGCATCCTTTACTAGTCACAGTCACATTCCGGTCAACCCTATCCCAGGCCCTATCCATCACAAGATAGCACAGCCGATGCGCCAGGCTGAGCCACCACAGACGCTCCACCATACATTCCCCAGCGGTCCTCAGGAAGAACCGGACTCTGCACCACAGCCTTCTTCTCAGCAGTCCTTTCCTCACTCAGCTGCACAGCCCTTCATGCCGCAAGGACAATCGACTCATCCTAGCAATGCATATGAAGAAGTAGTGCCAACTCCAGACCCATCTGGCTCCCCTGTCAAAATGCCAATCACGGATGCATCAAACTCTATCGGAACTGATTCTGATCTCGATTTGCAGCCTGTGAATGTACAACCTGCTTCAGAATCCCTCGGACAGGTATCCCCAGAGCCTTCTGGTGATATCCCAGTGACAGGCACACCTCCTGATCAGATGGGCACTCCTATAAAACAGAGTTCAGTTATTCCAACTCCGCCTTCTGATTCAGGACCCTTTGACACTTCAGAAGCGATGTCACCCGAGATAAAGATTAAAATAAAAAAGACTGTTAACAAAGGGAAATCGAGCCTTACTGCGACGTTACTCACCAATGACGGATCCCCACAGAAGACATCGCCTAGTGCCAGTGACATAGAATCTGTTGCTGTTACAAAGCGCAACCTGATGTCCAGTATTGACGGAGAACTGCCCGGTGACCCGACGCCCACCAAACCCCAGACCGTGGCTCAGAGGAGGGATACAGCCAAGGCGGTCAAAGGGAGTAGCATCCCAAAGGGGCATTTTATCAAGCAGCCACTACCAACCAATGATGAGAAGCCGTGCGAGTGGCTTGTTGGAGATCTTGTCTGGTCAAAAGTCAGTGGACATCCATGGTGGCCATGCATGGTAGCCTATGACCCCAACCTGGGAATCTACACCAGAATGAAAGGTGAATAGTTACTTAGCTGCCCTATCATTGAATGCTTGTAAAAAACGGATTTGTATTAAGTGAAATAAAGTTTTATTTCACCTTCCTCCCACCCTATGAACTTTGTAATAATATGTCATTAATTGGATAGGAAACCCTGATAAAATAAAGACAGGAGATGCAAAACAATGTTGTATACTAAGTGAATTTGGTTTAATTGGATTAAGTGGAATATTTAAGACATAAAACAGGGCAGGATGATATTCATTCAACAAGATGTCCTTAAAATCTGTTGTAGAAAATAAACTTGAATTGCTGTTGACTTTTTCCATGTTCAATCTCTTGGGTTTGTACCTTACAACTTTCTTGTGCCATGGCGAGAATGGGGATAAAATATTTATTGTTATTTTTCTTCTTTATGCTCACAGGTTCCATTGGGAAAACATACCGAATGTACCATGTGCAGTTCTTTGGAGAGGTCCCGGAGAGAGGCTGGGTGAGCGGAAGTAGCATGAAGAAGTTTTCAGGACGTGACCAGTATGATTCTCTAGTTGAAGAGATGGTCAGCAAAGTCCGTAAGGCAGAGAGGTCGCGCATGCTGAGCAAGCTAGCTGTGAAACCGTGCAGGAGAAATGCTTGGGATGCCGCCATTTCAGAATGTGAGAAGGCGCTGCCTATGAGCAGACACGAACGCAAACTAAATTTCACATTCAAGTATGAGATGCCCAAGGCAGGTGCTGGTGCTGCAGCTGAACAAATCGACATAGTGTCGCTTGGGGATTCCCCAAAGATGAAAGCCAAGAGGGCGTACAAGAAGCAGAAAGAAGAAGCTCCAACTCCTGATGCCAGTGGTGATAAGCAACTGCAGATCGACCAAACTCCAGAAGCAACCAAGAAAGAAAGCAAGAAAGAAAAACCTGAGTCTGATACACCAAAGAGAAAACGAGGTCGGAAGACGAGTCAGTTCTTAGAGTTCTCCAAGCATTTCAAGAAGGAGATTGTGAAAGAGAATCCTGGCATCGGCCAGAGGGAGATCTATGAGAAACTGCAAGAGAAGTGGGAGAGTCTGTCTGAAGAGGATAAGGAGAAGTATGTGACCAAGCCTCCAACCCCACCCTCCACTAAGAGAGGTATGTACCATCTAGTGGCACAGACCAGAGCCATTTATACACAGAGTTTGGCCAACCTGGTTCGAGTTGGACACTATGGCGACTACTGCTTTGTTGGGCAAGCACAGAATATACGCCATATTGTGACCCAGCGAAACCAAGTTGACCAAATTCTGTGTATAGATGGCTCTGGCACAGACTAACAGAACGCATGATATTTTCATTTGTTTTGTTTGAGGAAGGGGAAGTTGTTAGCCTACAAGAGCAGCATGACATAGCCCTTAACGTATTTTTATAGAATAGACGTGTAACTAGTGTAGCTAAATTTTGACAAATAAGAAAGTAAATTACTTCAAGGGAAGTGCAGTGTGCATCCAGGATGGGAATAGTGTATATGAAAATGTAAAAATATCATAAGTGTTAGTCTCTTGCTCTGGAACCAAATTTAATACTGCAGATGTCGTGGTCAAGTGGATACGTCGCCAGACTGTCGATCACAAGTTCGCGGTTTGAGTCCCGCCGCGGCACTAATGTCTTTTGGCAATACATTGATCCACATTGTACATTTGCCACACTCAACCCAGGTGATGTAAATGGGTACATGGCAGGAATTAATTCCTTGAAATGCTAGAGCGCTGCAGGGGTCGCCTTGCCAAAGCCAGGGTAATAATCGGGGCAGCGCCAGGAGTGTCACAATGTGGCGGACATGTGCGCTATATTAGAAGCCATTATTAGTATTATTATTTATATGAAGAATGCAGATTGAAGTGTGTTGTTCATGTTTGCTTCTACAGAGAGGAAGAGGAAGGGTTCTCCGGAGCAAGAGAGCGAGACTGCTGCACCTGTGAAGAGATCCAAGCGAGAATCTAAACCATCCAAGAAACTCCAAGAAGCAGACCTGTCCAGCCTGGGGTTTTCCCCCAAGGTTGTGGCTTCCATCAAGGTATGTATGCAGCATTATAGTTTGATAGACTAATTGATTATTACCATGAGGGAGAGAACTTAAAACACTTAAACACTTAAAAATATTGGCACCTCATACCGGAGCGCGAAAATATCTGCATAAATTTATGTGCTTGCGTCCTCTCTATCGCTAGCTTCTGAACTAGTAACTGCCTTATGTTCGTAATGCGATGCTGCGCCTCCCGCCCCGCACGTTTCTTCTCTCCTCGCGCGTATATTGCATGAGGCATGCAGGCATGTAATCTTTGTATGTACGTACCGGTATGGTACTCGGCTAGCTAGCTTGTGTGTGTACTTTCCAGAATGGTACTGTTTTTGGTCCAGATGTTGTTTCAAGTTTCACGCCATGAAAGAAATTCACCCTAAAACTGAATTCTGCAATCTTCAAACACACCCAGGGGTGTCCTGCTATTAAGTGGGATTTTGATATGAAAGTAATCACACCAAAAATATTGCCATTGATTTCATAATGATTTCATAATGTTTTCACTCTCTACTCTTTGATCATATTTGATCATATCATGATTAGAAAGATGATTCCCCAAATTTTGTTATGAATGGATTGCATAAAACATACTAAAAATTGGAAGTATGAATAGTTATGCTCAACTAGATTATCCATTTTATCATGCCTTCGCTACAAAGTAGCTGGAGGCATTATGTTTCGGGTTGTATGTGAGAAAGAATCTTAACTGATTTTCTTTATCGATCATCATGTTTCTCAAGGCTTCTGATAAAATGTTGACATTCTCAGGACATTTTAGTAAGCATGAGGTAGAGTAATTCTTTGACAAAAAGAATACACATTCATCTTTGTTGGGTGTGTATACTCCGTCGAAAGAACAATTGAAATATTAACTGAAGGAAGAAACTTTTTAATGGTATTTCAGTCCTATTTTTAGGGGGGCTCTATATTGTTGAATTAAAGGGCAAGTCCGCTCCTATACTAACTTCCTTTCAATAGAAGCAGAAAAATAAGACAAACACCTATCAAAAAAAGTTTGAGCAGTCGAAGATCCAATTAGTTATCCATGTGATACCTTTCTTAATTCCCTCTCATCTAAATTTACTATTTTATTCTTTGGCGATTCCTCTCATATTTACCTCTTACCTCAGAAATATAGCGAAGCTTCTCAATCGGAATCCCAAACTTCTGACGGCTTTCTGTCCCCGTCAAGAGAAGCAGTTGCTCCCAAGAAGAGCAGGGCAAAATCGTTAGATGCCCAACCCCAACCTGTTCCCACGGCCGAGGCTTCAAGCACCAAGAGGGTGAGGTCTAGGAAAAGCTTGCAAACTCCTGCTGACGCCACGGACAAACCTGGCAAGAAGAAGAGGTCAAGAAAGGGAGAGAGTTCCGTCGTCGAGAGAGGATCAGGCACCACCAAACCAGAGGCTATAACATCAGATGTAAGATATCACACAAACTAGGACTGACTTCACTGTTCATTAAGTTGGAAATGAAAACCGGAGCTGTATTATAAAAACTGTTAGGAAAACAATGTTAATGTCATAGTAAACTGGAAATTGCGCAGAATCCACACTTGAGTTTGCGCAGACAATGTCCTGACTGATACAGAAAACTTTCATCGGTTGGGGAGAAACATAAAATGTATTTTTTAAAGCTTCTACCAACCTTGTATTTTGTGGGCAAGCTTTCCTCCACTCCTGTGCACTTTCTCAAGCTAAGTGATCAGTCATTGAAATGTCCTGACTTGTGCTACTTTTGAAATGTTATGACAAATAACATACATTTATTTACTAACATCAAAGATGACATTGTTTTCAAAATACCACCCCTGATAATTTGAAGAAAAACCTATATGATAACAAAGTATTTTATTCATTATTTCACCAAATCCATGAACTTGCCATTAATCTTATGACAGACCCTAATCCTGTAAACAGACAGACGTAAGACTTAAAGCTACTTGCACCCTCTATATAGCAAACTAATCAGTGCCTGTTGGTCCCCCGAGATGCCCTTTTTCTTATGTTAATTGATAACCACCTGTCAGTGACCTTGCAGGGAGGTCTAATCCCCCCTGGCCAAACTAGTGCAGGCGGTCTTTAAAAAAAAAGAATTGCAAACCATGTCATGTTTTATCAATTTTCCAATTCTTCCTACTTGCAGATGAGTCAGGACTTTGCTGAGATGCAGGAGGATGATGATGAGGGCGGTCTTATCATCGATACAGACCTCATTGCTGATGCCATCCAGTCCGTCGGTGAAGGCCGAAAGGCGATCCTCACAGTGGTAATAATCATCACAATCATATTCCCTAGCATATAGACCAATGAACCTCCAGAAATACTTTTACCCTCCTGTGGTAAAGTCATTCATTTAGAAATGGATAAAGAAAACTTTCTTCCGATATCACTGTTGTAATCTGGCTTTCATTTTGGGTGAACGGGTGTAGAGATCTGTGATTTGGAGGAAATTGGTCCAATGTCCTTGAATATAGGTCAAATTTCATTTTACAGCAATCACTTTCTGGTGCTTCTATCATGACCTATACTAAGTTATATCGTTAATAACATTAACCTCGCACTTAACTTGATATTACTTTACAAGCAAGGGTTTTAGTTAATTTAGCTTCAATTACTAAAGCTATTATAATAGGCATATTGAAGGAGTAGCCGATTAAAAAAAGTTTTGTTTGTTTTTAAATCGCTTTTGCCGCTGCTTTTTATGCCTCCTTTACAAAGTAGCCGGAGGCATTATTTACTTTAGCACCCATCCACATTGACAATTTGAAAAGCATCCTGAAGAATACTTTCTTTTTTTAAAGCACATGCATTTATTGAACCAATGTTTTGCTCCATATGTAGTTGCATTCAGCAAAGGTACTCTTTGAACCATGTTTGTGTCAGTTTTGCCATGTTCTTTTGTTATCATTTAATGTGATTTGCCCTATGCGCCCTTCCAGAGACCAACAACGGCTGCCTTTAAGGACGTTCCGCAGTAATGTTCCTGCGCACCATAGCTACACAGGACCAGCTGATCTTGTATTTACCATGCACGATACCAGAAACTCTGGGCATTGTGCATAACCAGCTGGCCCTGGGCACCTAAGGTGCACATGAACATTACTGCATAATGTTGAAAGTGATGTCCTTTTTGAAAGTACATTCTCTGATGTCTTGCTGTGTCATGCTCATGCTTGAAGCCAGAATGTATGTTCAGTCTGAATGGTAGAATGACTGTGTTCTGATGAAAGAAGGTAGATTCAAGGTCTCTGGTTGTATTCTGTTGTGGTCTTGGCGTGTTGATGATTCGTTCGTGATATTTTGCAAGGATTTTCCAAGAAAAACTGGACTGAAGTGTCGTCATTGGTTGTGTTTTGTTTTGCATTGCTACAACAGTGTTTAAAGCTATTGGAACTTATAAAGTGGACCAGTCACTAAAATTTGACTCTGTATGTTAGGTGTTCTATGCCAATATATTTTGAATATAAAATATCAGCTTCTAATATAACATTTTGCAGATTTAAATACCACAATTTCACCCTGAATAGAGGTAAAGGTGACTTTTGAGTAGACCTTAGTAGACATCACGATTATGAGTGAATGTTGATTATTCCTCCCCCCCCCCCTCGCAATGATTTTCTTTTATTGTTGGGGGGGGGGGTATCTGTAGCAATTTTAATGTCTCTTGCAGAGTTTGGATGAGATTTTTTTTTTTCTTTGTTATGGTGACTGGCCCCCTTTGAACACACCTTTTCTCTCCCTGCAGAATTAGGAAAGAATATTGACTTTTTCAACTAAATATTTCTGTGTGAATCGGTAATGTATTAGATACCTAGAGAGCCATTTCTTTTATCTCTAATTTAAGACAAAACTTATACTGAAACTGTCAAGTAACAAACAATCTTTGTATTGTGCAATTATAACAGGAGTGAGTACTAAGATAATTAATTACAAACGAAAATCTGCTGGCAGATTGCTATATGATATGTATCTAGTCATCAAGCATGCTCACACTCCAAGGCTTATTCCAAACAAAAAGTCTTCATCTTTTGAAACTGCATTTTTGTGTATGATATGTTCATGACTTATCATATTTAAAGCTCTATGCCATCATGGTTCGCCGTAGCATGATGTTTAGGAGGAGTTGATATTCCTAAGGTCATCATTTTGAATGTTGAATGACTCTCAAACTGCAGTTCATTGACAAGTCCTCAAGACTGACCGACTGACTGTTCTGAGTTTTGATTCTATGAAATCAGATAGATTAGTTATTTAGTCAGATATGATTTTACTATGGATTTTGGAAAGGAATGCAGAGTTCCCTTTGTGTCGTTTATCTCCATATCATAGTATAATAGATCCTAACTTTGAACTTTTGTTGTTGTTTTTATTTTGTTTCAGAGATATGTCCATACCCATAGACTGCCCCAGTGTCTATCGAGGTATGCACATTGAAGGAAAAGATGGCTTCTTTTTATCGGTGCTGTTGCATGAAATACTTTCATATTTATAACAAATAGAATAGGAAGGAGATACTAAATTTATTTAGAGAATATAAGCGGAATACAGATCATTTGAATTAGGATTGGTCGCCAGCAAGCAAGAACAGTTCGCACCTATTAGTTTATTGAAATGTGTGTTTATAGAGAATACATTTATTCAAGAACGTCCTAAATGCACTTTAAATTTAGATATAATTTACTAGATGTGTTGAATTTAGCCTAGGATTCTCTTATTTTATTAGTTGCGGACCACTTTCAATATGAAGTTGAATTATGAAAGCAGTTAATGTTATATAGCAGATTAGTATGTGCCATTCTGCCATTGATTAGTCCATATGTTCCAGTGCAGTGAGTGCACTATTTGTTCTATGTTATGATCATATGTGCCTTGTGCACTGTAAGGATGTATGGTGAGGGGTAACCTAATCCTATGTTAACATAGGACCAATACTGCATACAGTTCCACCGGGATTTCACCGTTACTGCTTACTGCTTACTGCTTACTATTACTGACTTAGCCAACCTTTCGTGTCTGGCTCAGAATATAATGGGTCATTCTTCTGCAATGAAATCAATTGTGACAGGTAGATACCTGCTGTAAGATTACCTAGATTAAATGTTTTTGTACTTTATTTGAAGAGTCATTTTGATTTGATTTAAGATTAGATTTTGTCATATTTTTTCTGGTCATATGTTATGCAAGGATCATGTAGAAACCACCCTTATACTTTTAAGCCAATTAAGTTTGAAGCACTCATTAGTCTTTATGAATCTTTGAAGTTTAATAATTACAAGTTACAGAGGACACATTTATCTAATATCTTTTTATCTTAGCTAAAGTTTGTATTCATGACAAAGGGGTTTGGGCGGGGGGGGGGGGGGGGGGGAGACTTTCAAGCAAGGACCTTGCAATGTCTAAGACAGTTCCATTTCTATTATTGCTGGAGGGGTATGTTTGGTAATAGCAATTATGTACTTCGTATTTATATAGTTGGAGGTGACATGATAAGAGTAGTTCTGCCTTATGCCAGATTGCCTTTGTTTAAGATTAAAAGATGCCACTGGAAGTTTGGAACAGGTTTTCATGCATAAACTGTAGAGAATTACTTTATTTGTGTATTTTACTACCTAATTGAAGAAAGATACAAAAATGCTGGGTTGTGCAAATGTTGAGAGATTGTATATCTTGTTATTAAAGAGATTCTCATTTCACGATTAAAGTATTTAACCACAGTTTTTACTAGCACATTGTGAATTAGTATTGTAAAAAAGAAGCCAAATTTGCCTCGACCAGTACTTGATATCAAGTCTTATAATTGCAAGGACAGATTGAAGATCATTTGTAAATATATTTAATTATAGATTGTCATGCCGATTTAGTGAGAAAATAAACTTCCATTAAACTCTTCAATCTATTCAAACAGACACAGTTATGCTTGCATTGTTTAGTTGTCTCTCTTTCTCTGCAAAAAGGTTGCTTTTGTTTGTTGGTGGCATCTTGTGTCAATATTTTAGTTTCATGGCTGCTCTTTGCTTGCTATCTTTTGCTTTTTGCATGTTGACTTTTCGTTTGCTGCTTCGCTCTCATCATTGAGAAAGATTTTTCCGTCTTGGCTCGGTAGTAGTAGATAAAAAGCACGATTTTGATGCAGCATGTTTGCTGCCCTCTAAGCACGAAGCCTTCCTTGAGGCATCCACCTTTGCAATACTACAACACAGGATGTGGTGCTTCGTAGTCTAGGGGGTGTTTCACAAAGGTCCTAAGTCTAACTTAACTCTAAGTTGGACTTAACAATTATGGAGGGCCATTTGTAGCCTTAAAATAAAATACTTTCAATTGAGTATGTTATAACACACCTTTCCCTTTATTTCTATCCTTGTTATCTCAGGTGTAGAATTTCAAAAGGTTAATGACATCTCTAGCCAGAGCTGCTTTTAGCATGCAACTATATTGTAGGTAGAGCAGGACTAGACAGAAATAACCGTCTGATATGGGTCATTTCTTTAATAAAACTGACATTTGTTGACATTCCCCAATACAGACGGTACTCCAGAGGTCTCGCACTGTGGGGGTAATCTACATGTATAGCCAATTCTGAACTTTTTTTTGTAATTTTGGCTCCCAACATTTTCTTCCCCGATTTTCTTTATCAAGATATATATATTTTTTTTTAATCTATAAAGCAGATAAAAAAATACTATGTATTTGTATATTCCTATATGGAGTTATTCAATTTAGATTAACTATTTTAAAATGAGAAATTTACGGACTTACTTATAAGAGTTGTCCCATTTTCGTCTCAGAACCGTGAAACAGTACGTTCATGCACTCGAGCCCTATGTAGAAATTCTGAAACATTTGGGCCCAAACTCACAAAGGAGAGTTAAATTTAACCCATGGTTTAAACCCTCATTACATAACCCATGGTTTAAAATTAGCGCAAATTAAGTGTACCTTGCCTTGCGCGTGTCTCATATTGGACCTCTGACTGTGTCACGCTTATTTCGGGCTAATTTTAGGCCATGTGTTATGTAAACGAAGATTTAAACCTCCTTTGTGACTTTGGCTTTGGGATCCAGACCTAGATTATGGGCGCCATGTGTCCTTGGTACCTGTCAAGCCCTGAAATAAAGGCAAACAACACTAGGATATATACTGGATATATTGGTCGGCTACACTTAATTTGTGATCGCCAGACCAGCTGAGCTTTTCACTTTGTAGAGGAACCAAGAACGGAGCAAGTCTCTTTGTCCTTGTTATCAGATGATACAAAGTTGTTATGAATATTCTGTGAATCCACACATATGATGGTAGTAAATTGAAACACAATGGCAGTTATGAAGTCTGCCCTTCATATTACTGACTTTAATTTGATTTTTAACAAGAAAAATGAAGGGGGAAAAAGGAAAAAGTAAGGGCGAAGAAGACAGTGAACATTGTACTAGCATACTGTCCCCAGAAATTGCACTTCGGAGTGATGAAACCAAAACAATAAATGAATAAACAACCGAGGCATGGTGCACGCAGGACCTGAAATTCATTCTAGACCACTAGTCATAAACAAAGGGAGAACAAGAAGTTTTTTACTCGTGTAAGTGTTGCATGATGGCCATCTCTTCCAAAGCAACTGGCAATTTTAAAAACAAGACAAGAAAAACCACTTCAGACCACTTGTCTGTTTCACGTCATCTTGTGTTTCATAACTAACATCTTGCATTTGTATGTTTGCTCTCATTTTTAGTTTCATGCCTGAACATGTGAATGTAGACTGACGTTTGGTGTGCCTGATGTTTTGGCTTGTGTTTATTGCCAAGGTTTAAAGGGAATTAGTTTGTGTGAGTGTGCTTAGATGCAATTCTTCATAAGGTTTGAAATGGATGAAAGAAATAGATTGGGAAACTGGAAAGTGACATAGAGAGGGGGATCAGACAGACAGAGAAAGAGAGACGAGACATACAGGCATACAGAAAGAGAAACATGGACGTTTAAAATAAAGAATGGAAGGGTAATTAGATGCAGAAGAACCTAGTTAAAGTGTGATTCTGCAAGCATGAGATATAAGAGAAAGAGAGGGGAATAGTTTGATTTTGCAAAATGGATAATTTTATGAACGTTTTTGGGACAGTTATCATCTGGACACCAGCTTACTCACCCCCCCCCCCCCCCCCCCTCCCAACCCCGATATTTATCACCTCAGAAGCAACGTTGAATATTAAAAAAAACATTATTTGATAATAAACAAATAAAATCTGAAACTGATGAAGTTTGATTAGCTGGTCTCAATCCTAGTGAAACGTTTACGATGAGAAGGTAAGATCCATACAGCTCGCGTTAGAACAGCGATGGTATATCCTTCAGAAACTTTTAATGTGAAGACAGTAGAAGGTATCTGGAGGAGAACAGAAAGAGCCACGGTACGGAAGATGTGTGGTGTGAAACTGTCCTATAGAAAAAAACACGAGGGTCTAGAAGAAAATGTGATGGAAGTGGTAAAGAAAATTGGATTGAGAATGAGATGGATGGGTCATGTGTTGAGAAGGGAAGATGATGAACCTGTGAAAAGAGCATGGGATCTGGAAGCGGATAGCATAAGAGGGAAAGGAAGACCAAAAATTTCATGGAAAGATATGGTGAAAAAAGAAAGCAGTAAGGTTGGTCTAAATGAAGAGGATACTGGAGACAGGAAGTGGAGAGACCATTCAGTAGTCTATAAATAATGCACAGCAGTGAGGGCATTAGTAAGAATTACCCACACAGGGTACCATTGGAACAGTCTAACATGCCCGAGGCGATAGCCGAGGGTGTTTGGACTGTTTTGAAGGTACCGAGTGTGGATAATTTTACTAATGCCCGAACAAAATGATGTGTATTATTTGTTTTATAAGATTATGTTTTGTTTGTTTTATAAATTGATGTTTTATAACATGATTTTACTAATGACCGGTCATTAGCATTAAGTGGAGGGATCATTCAATAGTTTCATTTATTTTCATTTGTGCACAGTTGCCAGCTCCGAGACCGATGTCTCATCCCAGCATGGGGGTAGTACTACTGGAAGCTCTAATGGCGTAGCTAACGGCAGCGGTAAGGAACGACCAGCCGGAGGGGGCGGAGCTGCCAAGAAAGAGAATGTGTGCCAGGTAAGAAAACTTGTCATCTTCCCCATGTCGATGCTAACTCGCATACGTGCAGGAAAAAACTAGATGCTTTATATCCAGTACAGTGTTGTCCAATATCCGAACAATATCACCTTCAAGAACTAGTAAAAGGAATGTTGTTTGACGATGTCTGCTTTGATCCACCACTTCGTAGAAAACAAACTGATATTATTTTGAAATTTTGTAATGCTATTTTAAGAAATAATGCAAAGTTAGATGGAGATCAAAGCTTTTCCAGGATAAATATTATAGGATCTATCCCATACTGCATTAATGCATTTTCAGAGAAGGTGGTTATTATTCAGATAAAGAAAATAATCAAACTTAGATTTCATTGTGTGTAGTCACAAAAAATAACTAACTCTTAAACTTAACACAGGGTTAACACATTTATGGCTCTAAACACATTCTGGGAACTTCATCACAAATTTGATAACAGGATTTGCAAATATATCCAAACCACTCTTTCTTTTACTTTCAATGGTTTAGGTCTGTGAGAGAACCGGTCAGTTGCTTCTCTGTGAGGGGGGCTGCTGCGGAGCCTTCCACCTTGACTGTATTGGACTACAGGTGGCGCCCTCTGGCTCATTCAGATGTGATGAATGTATATCAGGTGAGACCAAGTCGTTCTTTGCATATCTTGATTTAGGTTCTATGACACCTGCTCCAGCGACAATAAGCTAGTTCATAGGTGCAGTCTGAGCATGAGCTGATAAAGGTCATTGCAGACCAAATTGTGAAATACACAAGACAAAATACTGGATACGTGCTCATGAAAGTTATGTAATTATTATTCATTTATGCACAAGCAGTGCACTCCATGATACACAGGTGGAAGTATTCTTTGAAAGTGATTTCAAAATGTTCAAAGTGGATGCTCTTCATGTTTTGAAGATCTGTGGATATTTGGGACATGTGCTAACCGTGAACTGGTCTATTGCCTCACTATCAAGATCTTACATATACTGAGGACCTAATACTACACCTAACAATATGTGTACCCCTAACCCAAATCCTAACCCAGGGCTCTGCTTAAACTTCTTTTGAAGGGGATCTGGATTGAAGTATTTACAGTCTCTATGCATGTGCCCTTTGTAAAAACTTCAGAATCTTGGGGGTCCAGACTTAAAGGTAATACAAAGTTTTGGTATGGGGTCATGAATTTGGTTCAAATGCACATTATTGGAAGCATATGCGATCCTACAATATTCAGTGATCGTTGTTGCGGTTGAATTCGAGCCTAAAGTTATGAAATTATAAATAATAAACTCTTTATGATGTATAGCTCACTCTCAAGGTCAAGATATTAATTAAGCTATAAAACCATGTTTGTTGACTAAAATCGACCGATTAGCTATTCCCATTTAGAAATTATATATCACAACTAAATATTCTGAGATTTTCATGGTCGCAGCTACTATTGTACGGCCGGCGCTATTTGAAATTTTTATATTAAATTTTTCTCGAAAGCAGCAGTGTTATGGGGGCTAATTTTTCTAGTGGTTATAATACATCTACAGGGGCATCCAAATATATCAAAATTGTAAAGAATCACTATCTACCCAATTTTCTAAATTTCCCAAAACTTTGTATTACCTTTAAGTTTTGGGCGCCAAGATGTCCCGGGGAGCCCTGCCTAATCTGACACTCTATCACCACCCTAACCCTAACCCTCTGTCTTTGATGAAATAAAGCTTGTAGTTTGCTTTGGATCACCTGAGATTCAAACAAAGGATGGCTTTCAAATGTTGAGATTCAATATCTTCAAGCAGTGACAATGAAAACAAATTATAGGAAACCTCAATTTTCTGTCATTATTTCTATGTGATACTGTTTATTGAACAAAATGGAATAGAAAATCAAGTAGACATTCAAATTTACCTTATACACAATCAAGAATGATTTTCTTTATCGCTCGTTAGTGACCTGTTCCTCAAGGCTTCTGATGAAATGTTGACATTCTCAGTACATTTTAGTAAGCTATGAGGTAGAGTAATTCTTTGACAAAAAGAATACACATTCATCTTTGTTGGATGTGTATACTCCGTCGAAAGAACATTTGAATGATTTTACATTAGTAACTTCCAACGAAGAGGACTACATAGCAAATGTATGTAATGTCAGTACTCTGAAAAACCCACTAATGTGCTCTGATACTATTATATCATTTTAAAGGCTGCTTCTTGTTTCTCTACAAGATGAAGAAACATTCATCCATGATTGTAAAGAAGGTATAGGATTTTTCAAACAAAGCTGTTTTAATAATCGTTGTGTATTTTTAATTTCCTTGGTTGTAGGCGTACATTCTTGCTTCGTGTGCAAGCTGTCCGATCAGGAAGTGAGGCGATGTCATGTCCCAGTCTGTGGGAAGTACTACCACGAGGGATGTATCCGACGCTTCCCGCTGACCAGGTTCGATAGTCGCGGATTCACCTGTCCCCTTCATGCCTGTGTAGCGTGCTTCGCTGATAACCCCAAGAGCACAAAAGCTTCAAGAGGTAAATCATGCGATTTCCTGTGTAATTAGAGCTCCTATTTTCATTATTATTATTATCATTATTTATTTGACCAATCGGAAAACATACAATGAGTATAACAATCAGATAATACATAGACATTTCATAATACATTCAAACAGCTTTATGAAAGTGGAGAGGAGATAGAGAGAAGGATACAATCTGCTGGTCAGGGGTGACAAAAGCAATTTAAATTACTATTACTCGAAAGCATGTCACCCCCCACAGTCTGCATCCTGGAAAATTAAGAGTAAAGAACAGAATAAAAATTCACAATATGAGAAAATAAATAAATATATATATATATATATATATCAGGATAACAATAGTTGGAGCAATTACTATTATATCCTTGATTACTTTCATTACATTATTATGTCATTACCATGGCTTTACGTTCATCACATAAATATATAAATTTTCAAATTAATAACTTAGTGCTTACATTAGAAACATTTGATATGATTATTATTGGGGAAGAAAGTTACATAATGGTATAAAATGCTTAACAATAATTTTTAACTTACAAAATGAAATGAATAAAATTGTAATCTGAAGCCTAATATGTACTGAACGGAACGAAGAAATGAGCTTGCAATATTGATATTATTTCTAAGTGACAAAATAAACAAATTAGTCAGTTATGATCTAGGTAAGATGTATAATTAATCTTAGGGTTTCCAAAAAGGCACAGTGAAAAAATATAACAGTGACGATCAGCTTGAGAGAAATGGACAGAATTTGAAATCAGACACGGGTATGAAAAATATTACCATTAATAATTATCAATACATTGTTTTACATTGAATTTAAAGAGTTCAATGAACAGTGAGAAGAGATTGTTTCAGTGTTGAAAGGAAGGATGGAATAGAATTAAGTACAGCAGTATCTTTTATTTCTGTGGGAAGGTTGTTCCACAGTCTTGGAAAGTGGTGAGATGGAGAAAGAAAAAGTGCCTGTGTCCGAGAAGGAAGGTGGCGGAATGTAAGTACCTCTTGCCGCCTGGAATTGATCTGGGTGGATTCAGTAAGAGCCTCACAAAGGGTGAGACCACTGAGGCATTTGAAAGTGAATGAAAGAAGGAGAAAGTCTCTCCTGGAAGATAAGCTTGACCAGTGAAGAGTAGTGAGTCTATCTTCATAGGACATGTTGCCTCTCCGTTGTTTAAGGGCAATACGTGTGGCTGTGCGCTGAACGCGTTCTAATTGCTGCTCTTGTTTGAGGGTGTGAGGATGCCAGGCTGGACATCCGTATTCTAGTATTGGAAGAATGAGAGCTTTGTAAAGAGAGAAAATGGCTTGTGTTGAAGCTTGACCTGCCACTACTCTAATGAACCCGAGGAGACGGTTGGCCCTTTTGACATTATTATCATATTTCATCTCACTTAACGTTATTGTGTTTGTGTGTTTGTTTGTTTTGTATATATTGCAGGCTTGATGATTACCCAATTTAAATCGGTTTCCAGATTTTATTTTTTATTTATTTATTTTTCTTCCCGATTTTACCCCTATGTTCCAAATTTTTCCCTTATTTCCCCAATTTTCTTACTCAAGGGGGGGGGGGGGGGTAGTTCACTATCACCCCTGATATTGTGCGATTTGTTAATGATAGACACTTGAGGTATAAACAGATCATTAGTGACATCTGATCACCCAGCAGTCCTTGTAAAGTGATATTAAAACATACCTTTTTTTGGTCAGTTAAATTTATTTCAAGGTCCATTAAGCTATATCATTTCAACGAAGCAGCTGAATTAAATTATTTTACAGTTTCAGAACTTGCAAAATTGACAGTACATTTCCAATGAGTAGAATTTTGTTAATTTATTCATTCATTTAATTTATTACAAAAAATTTAAGTTACATTTGAGCATGATAATAGTATTATGCATTTGGTAAAAAGGAGCCAACAAACAACAAGACCATAATTGATGACAATGAATCCGTCATAAAGAGTAGTTATTGAATCATTAAGGATTGTTATTGGTTTTCACTAAAGTTGAAACAATTCTTGTGTTATCAAAACTTTGACGTACAGTATTGAAGAAAAAAAATTAGAGGCTAAAATGAAAAGACAAATGTTATACTAGGTTTATTTGTAAAAAGATGTAACAAAGGTTAAATGACAAAACTGGCTGATTTTAAGTAATTCTATGGATTTTGAACTGAATCAAGTAATATCGCCTCCATGTTTTGTTTTTCAGGTCGTTTGATGCGCTGTGTGCGCTGTCCTACGGCATACCATCAGGGTGACCTGTGCATAGCAGCTGGGGGTATCGTCCTAGCGGCAAACTCCCTCGTCTGTAGCCGTCACTTTCAACCAATCAAATCACACAAGCATCATACCCACGTCAGCGTGAGCTGGTGTTTCACTTGCTCATTAGGTAAGTGATGATCCAATCCTCATCAGGTATGGGGTTGCAGGAGAAGTGCAGCATCTAAGTTTATGTCATTTTAACAGATACACCTTTCATTTGGTTTGGGTTAGGGTTTAGTGGACATCATTTGAAAAGGGAATACTTTTTTTCTCTTTTGACCTTTGAAATTTTGACACCTATTCACAAAATAGTTGTATCCTTTGGTTACTCGGTAAGTATTCCGTCACCGTCCGAAATACCACTGTTTACTGATTAGGACTTTATGACACATGCTCCAGCAACAAATGCTCTGCTGTAAATTGACTACACTAAGTGAATTCCTAACTTCGACCCTTCAACGCTCTATGTCTGACCCTAATCTTTGACCTAACCTGAAAGCAAGTTGCAACCTTATCTCTACATCTGACAAGGCCGAAGCAAACCTCACTGGCGCAAATGTCTGGTTAACCTATTGGGATGGCAAAAATTTCATGAGAGTATGTTACTCCAATTTTGTAATGTCAGGTGTCTGGTCAACTCTCTATTTAAGTGACCCTCAGGTACGCAAGTAACATTAAAAAAACCATGTCCTTTATTTTAATGCATGTAAAAAGTTTTTATGGTGAATAGAGTTTCATGCTGAGGTCTTATGTAATGTCCAGTTTGAAGAATCTATGAAATATGATCCACTGAACAGCATATTAGCTCTCTCCAGTTGACAAATGTTTATGTATTTTAATAATAAACAAATAAAATCTAAAACTGACTTCAGGAATATTTACAATTTTCATGAATCAATCCTATCCTAATTTGATTTTGCGTGAGAAAGAATCCTAACCATTAGTGTAGGGTTCCTCAAGCTTCTGATGAAATGTTGACATTCTCAGGACATGTTAGTAAGCTATGAGGTAGAGTAATTCTTTGACAAAAAGAATACACATTCATCTTTGTTGGGTGTGTATACTCCGTCGAAAGAACATTTGAAATATTAACTGAAGGAAGAGACTTTCAATAGTACCGTACCATATTGTGTACGTTACTCCAAATTTGTAATGTCAGTAGTCAGGTCAACTGTCTTTTTATGTGACCTCCAAATGGTTTTGATGATCTTTGTAAGACCAAGTTTAAGTCCGTTTTGGTTTCTCCTTAGGTGGAGATCTGATATGCTGTGAGAGCTGCCCTGCAGCCTACCATGCTAAGTGTCTAGGCTTTGACTCTGTCCCTGATGGAAACTGGTTCTGCAGAGACTGCGTCAATGGAAAGAAGCCACGCTATGGGGATATCATCTGGGTCAAACTCGGCAATTACAGGTACTTGCAAGATGATTTCTCTTAATTAAGGCCTAAAAAATGTTGTATTGCCCTTTAGGTGCCAAATCGTCGGTCGGTCAGAAATCTTCTCTTTTTTTTTCTTTTTTTTTATGCTCTGCCTCTTTGGGCTGATATTTCTCAGTTTTCTCTAAAAAAAAAAAGGTTTAAAAAAAAATGAAAAATGAAAAGCCGACAGTAGATTTCAAGATTTTTCGGTCGGTCGCAAAGGGCAATACAACATTTTTTTAATTTTATAGACCTAATGGCATTTGTGAGTTTTAGATGAGAAGGACCCTCTCTCTCTGTCAGTTTGTCTTATGTTATGAATACTGGGGGGGGGGGGTGTTTCACCAAGACTAAGATCAACTTAAGTTGGACTTGAACTATGGCAGGCCATTCATGCCACTGGTTGCTCTCACCATTGGTCTGTCAAAGGACATCACACATCTACAGAGTTAACATTTGTGATAATCCATTGTTGAAGAAAAAAGTTTACTTACATTGTGAACTTAAATTATATCTAAGACTTGGACTTTACTACGGTAGGCGATTTTTGCCCCTGAAAAATCTTGAACCAGATATAAAATCGTAGGAAAAAAACCTTCAAAATTATGATCTTTAGATAATATATCGAAAAAATATCAACTCTGACGATTTGTGACCACGATTTGTACGTCCCTTGAGAGACCAATGCCAGGAATGGTTAGAAGAACTATGGCCTGCCATAGTTCAAGTCCAACTTAAGTTGACCTTGGTCTTTGTGAAACATCCCCCAGATCTTATAGTATGAAAGGTAGAAGAATTGTATAGTCTTACATTGCTCAGAAGGAAATGTCTCTGAGCCTTTTGAGTGAGCTTAAATGAGGTAAAAATGAATGTTGGATGAAAAGAATAGGAATCTAGGAAGCTGTCTTCCTTTATCATTCGTGTCATGTTCCCCAAGGCTTCTGATAAAATGTTGACACTCTCAGGACATTTTAGTAAGCTATGAGATAGAGTAATTCATTGACAAAAAGAATACACATTCATCTTTGTTGGGTGTGTATACTCCGTCGAAAGAACATTTTAAATATTGTAGGAAGAGACTTTCAACAGTATTTTATTCCTTTTGGGATTGGGGGGGGGGGTGTTACTTTCACAGAAATCTCTTCTATAAAGGAAATAATTTTAGTATACCCCAAGACAAACAAAAGTAATTAGGCATGTGATCTGTCTTTGCTTCCATTCTTTAGAATACTCAACCCTCATAACATCTGCAATACAATTTTATTTAGTTTTCAATCTTAAAATTCTCACAAAAGTACATATACAGTATTGTACATTACATGACACTGCATTAGAACCTACTACAGCAGCCACCTGCCTATGAATTTTGATTGGGACAAAACTATCAGGATATTTTCTCTCTCTTGCTTTGGCAGGGGGGGGGGGGATACTCAGGAGGTCATGCTATGTATGTAGTCAGGTCCCTTACAAAAATTGGATTCAATTTTCATTCCTGAAGGTCCTGATTTCTCCCCTTTTTGATACTTTTGCCATCAGGTGGTGGTCAGTTTGTGTCTGTAACCCAAGCACGTTCGATATCATCCAGGACAAAAATCATCTTTAGTAATTTTATTTCTGCATTTATTTGTATTTTTTATTAAGGAAAACAAAGTCAATTAAATCTAATCGATGTGACACAGTGTATTTTTGTGTAGTTAAGATTCCAGTATGGTAAGCAGTTACATTTCTGCAATCTCACTTTGCCCTCTTGACTTTGACTTCCAGGTGGTGGCCAGGTCGTGTGTGTAACCCCAAGGATGTCCCTCAGAACATCCAGGACAAGACTCATATAGTAGGAGAGTTTCCTGTCCAGTTCTTTGGATCCAATGACTACTTCTGGACCCATCAAGGAAGGGTCTTTGAGTACCAGGAGGGGGACAAGGGAAGCAGGGAGACGGCCAACTCCAAGAGGCTGGCCGCAGTCTTCAGCTTGGGTATGCAATAGATCTTGGGGTTAAATGTCAGGCTATGTGTTCTTGCTTTAAAAAATATGTTTTGTAAAGAAACAGGCACATAAACATTTTTCCTTCTTTCTTTCTCACATGAGCCAAGTGTTTTTCAAAATTAGGCAAAGAGGTTTTAAATGTCAAACTGTTCTATAGGGGAGATGTCACCAATTCTTAGCCAACTCTGAGCTGGTGATGTGGATGCATGTTCATCCTTTAACCACCAGCTGATATTAGATTACACTTGGGTGTAGAGGGGGGGGTGTCATGTTTGAGAAGAGTGCAGAGAGCTGTGTGACGTGGGTGCATGCTCACCCCTTTACCACCAGCTGATACATGCTTACACTTGTGTGTAGGGGGGGGGGAATGTCATGTTTGAGAAGAGAGCTGGTGATGTGGATGCATGTTCATCCTTTTACCACCAGCTGATATAAGATTACACTTGTGTGTAGAGGGGGGGGGGGGGGGCTTGTCATGTCTGAAAAGAGTGCAGAAAGCTGTGTGATGTGGGTTCATGACACCCTTTTACCACCAGCTGATATAAGATATCACTTGTGTGTAGGGGGGGGGTATCATGTTTAAGAAGGGTTTAGAGAGCTGTGTGACGTGGGTGCATGTTCACCCCTTTACCACCAGCTGATACATGCTTACACTTGTGTGTTGGGGGGGGGGGGGGTTGTCATGTTTGAGAAGAGTGCTGAGAGCTATGTGATGTGGGTTCATGACACCCTTTTACCAACAGCTGATATAAGATATCACTTGTGTGTAGGGGGGTTGTCATGTTTGAGAAGAGTGCGGAGAGCTGTGTGATGTGGGTTCATGACACCCTTTTACCACCAGCTGATATAAGATATCACTTGTGTGTAGGGGGGGGGGTATCATGTTTAAGAAGGGTTTAGAGAGCTGTGTGACGTGGGTGCATGTTCACCCCTTTACCACCAGCTGATACATGCTTACACTTGTGTGTTGGGGGGGGGGGGGGGTTGTCATGTTTGAGAAGAGTGCTGAGAGCTATGTGATGTGGGTTCATGACACCCTTTTACCACCAGCTGATATAAGATATCACTTGTGTGTAGGGGGGTTGTCATGTTTGAGAAGAGTGCGGAGAGCTGTGTGATGTGGGTTCATGACACCCTTTTTACCACCAGCTCATATAAGATATCACTTGTGTGTAGGGGGGTTGTCATGTTTGAGAAGAGTGCGGATAGCTCTTTGATGTGGGTTCATGTTCACCCCTTTACCACCAGCTGATACATGCTTACACTTGTGTGTAGGGGGGGGGGGGGTTGTCATGTTTGAGAAGAGTGCAGAGAGCTGGTGATGTGGATGCATTTTCATCCTTTTACCACCAACTGATTGAAGATAACACTTGTGTGTAGAGGGGGGGGGGGGGGGGGGGGATGGTTGTCATGTTTGAGAAGATTGTAGAGAGCTATGTGACGTGGATGCACGTTCATCCTTTTGCCACCAGCTGATATAAGATTACACTTGTGTGTAGGGGGGGGGGTTCTTGTCATGTTTGAGAACAGTGCAGAGAGCTGTGTGACGTGGGTGCATGTTCACCCCTTTACCACCAGCTGATACATGCTTACACTTGTGTGTAGGGGGGGGTATCATGTTTGAGAAGAGTGCAGAGAGCTGGTGATGTGGATGCATGTTCATCCTTTTACCACCAGTTTATATAAGATTACACTTGTGCGTGTGTGGGGGGGGGGGGGGGCTTGTCATGTCTGAAAAGAGTGCGCAGAGCTGTGTGACATGGGTGCATGTTCACCCTTTTACCAACAGCTGATACATGATTACACTTGTGTGTGTGGGGGGGGGGGTTCTTGTCATGTTTGAGAACAGTGCAGAGAGCTGTGTGACGTGGGTGCATGTTCACCCCTTTACCACCAGCTGATACATGCTTACACTTGTGTGTAAGGGGGGGGGGGGGTATCATGTTTGAGAAGAGTGCAGAGAGCTGGTGATGTGGATGCATGTTCATCCTTTTACCACCAGTTTATATAAGATTACACTTGTGTGTAGAGGGGGGGGGGGTTGTCATGTTTGAGAAAAGTGCAGAGAGCTGTGTGATGTGGGTACACCCTTTTACCACCAGCTCTGATATAATTGTAGCCCTATGCAGTATGCAGATGGGGTACTTTGGATTCAGCAGCTTCATATTCTTGCGTGCGCTCTTACTGCCACATTCCTTGACGGATTTCTTTCAAATTTGGATGGAGTTGTATCTTGGTATAATGTACAAGCCAATAGATTTTTGTGATGCTGCCTCCAGTGTTTCGTCTTTTATAGAGTAAAAGGCCATATTTTGGTGACTGCCTTTTGTGTGCTCTAACTGCCACATTTCTTAACAGATTTCTTTCAATTTTTTTTACAGAGATGCATTATACTCTAATGATCTAATCTACACACATATTGTTTAGGTAATGTTGCTTCTAGACTTGACGATTGTCCGAGCCACTAGTGGCGACCTCTTTACGTCATCCTTTTGTTTCAGGGAGGGGAGAGGGGAACTTTGTCCCTCCTTCGAACATAAGGAGGACACAAAATCACTGCCACTGCCGGGGAATACATTCGCATTGTGCAGCAATACAGATTGCAATATTTCTAGTTTTGATTGAGCTCATGGGGAAGAATCAGTCTTTAATATTGGACGGAAAAAGAAAGCAAATACCCAGTCATCTTTGTTAACTGTGTTTAATCTGTTCCTCAAGGCTTCTGATGAAATGTTGACATTCTCAGGACAGTTTAGTAAGCTATGAGGTAGAGTAATTCTTTGACAAAAAGAATACACATACATCTTTATTGGGTGTGTATACTCCGTTGAAAGAACTTTTGAAATATTAACTGTAGGAAGATACTTTTAATAGTATTTCATTCCGTTTGAGAGGGAGGGGGGTGTTACTTTCACAGAAATCTCTTCTGTAAAGGAAATAATTTGTAGTAAACACCAAGACAAGGAATTAGGTGTGTGAATAAAAGTGTGATCTGTCTTTGCATGGATTCTTTAGAATACCCAAATCCCCATACTATCTGCAACACAAGCTTGTTTAGTTTTCTATCTTTAAAAAATCTCTCTTATATTTAGAATTGGAACCAAAAGCTGTGACAACTTGTGAAATAACCCTAAATAAAGTTCAATTTCCTTATCAAAATGCAATATTTGAACAAATATTAAATAAATGGTACTGCCCATAAAAATTAGGGCAATGCAAATATCATGTCTACCTATTTCTCCGAATATTGAAAAAAGAAATCCAGGGGGGTGTTCTATAAAGCTGTTCGTAAAGTTACGCGTGACTTTACGAACGACTTGTATATGAAAAGCCAAATGAGATGCTCAATTAATATTGATTATTATTTATTAAGTTGGAACTGTGCAGATGTAGATTAACATTCTTATTATAACAACCATTTTTAATGCAAAGTATATTTTTTGCCATAATTTGATTGAGGTTATTGGAAATATAAAAAAAAACTTTGGGCATCCTATCTGGCACTTCATATACAAGTCGTTCGTAAAGTCATGCGTAACTTTACGAACTCTTTATGAAACACCCCCCAAGTCATATAAAGGGAAATAGATATTTCGTAACTGTCGTTATCAGTAATTTCTGTTTTTCACTAGTCAACACGAGGTGCTCCAATAATAATAATAACAATATTTATAAAGCGCAACATATCCATCTCTAGAGATGCTCAAGGCGCATACAAATATAGATTATAATTCCATCATGTACTTGATGAAACTTTGTATGTTTGATAGAATTGAGAGTTGTAATGAAAGTATTTGTAATGCTCTTTCTCATAGCTCTGAAGGAAGCCTCACAGAAGTACAAACTCTGGAGGGCATCGAAAGAACAGAAGCTCGCTAAAGAATTAGAACACAGCAACAAGAAACCTGCACCATTCAAGTTCATTAAGGTTAGTAATAGTGCTGCAATTCAGACACTATGTTTGTGTTCTGTTTGGTTCGGCAGAGTTCGGCAATTTTTCACCCGAATTTGGTTCAGTTCGGGGTTCGGTAATATAATAGCAAGCAGCGTTATAGCCACGGCGGTCGGCACTGTGTGGGCTGGCTGGCATGCCGGGCCCGACCACCACGGAGGACGTCTGCACACTGCTTCTGACCAGCACGAATTTCACATTAAAAAACTGCTCTAAACATAATTATTTGTGACGAAAAATACTACTTACATTTGTATTTCCGTCTTGAATCGTGTTTTATTTTCAATTTTAAAAGAATCATGTTTTCAATAGGTCAATAAATGATATTTTTTAAAGATTTTCCGAGACGGTGGTTGTCTAATGTTAGAGTCATGAAAGCTGCCATCTTGAATAGAGATTCAGGCTCGTCAATAACTGTTTTTTATTTTCAATGGGAAAAATATAAAAATCCCTATTTTTCCTGAATAAATAAATACCATACTATAATATATATTTATTTCATTATTTATATTGTAAAATTTGTCAGATATTGTTACAATAAAAATATTAATTTTTGTTGAATGGGTTTGAGCTGAACTTGTTTTGATCACGCACATGTATTCTTGTTTATGGCGCCAGTGAAGTCGCGCCGACCACTGGATAGGCATAACTCACAAAGGCGGAAAAAAGTAAATATAAAATGAGCAATCATGACATGAAAATTAGGTACAAAATGACAAGTTTATTAGCTTGCAAAAACGTTTACATTTTTCTGCCGAACATCCGAACCAGGCCTTTGCATTTGGTTCGGTTCGGTTCAGTTCGGTTCGGAAGTGCCATGTTCGGCGAACTTCCGTTCGGTTCGGCGGTTCGGCTACAGCACTAGTTAGTAATGTGTTCCTTGAGACATGCTCCTATGACGATTGCTTCACAGTCGATTTTGAACTCAAAACAACGAACTATAATAACTAAAACCTTGGGTCCACATAATCCTGAAGCCAATTGTACTGTATAACTCAATCCAAACCCCCACACAAGCCCTTCATATTTGGTGAATTAAGGCCAGAAGCAATGATTTGTATCACCCAGTAACCGCCCTCAAATTATCTTTTCATCTTTGGGCTCCTGTCAGATAGTTTAATCTGTAATCCCCATATTACACATCACCAATCATTTTTATCCCACAGACACATAGGCCCGAATTCACAAAGGAGGTTTAAATTTAACCCATGGTTTAAATTGTCACTTACATAACGCATGGTAAAAAATTAGTGCAAAAAAGGCGTGACACAGTCAGAGGTCCGATAATATACGTGCGCAAGGCAAGGTACATTCATTTTGCGCTAATTTTTAAACTATGGGTTATGAAAAAAAGGGTTTATACCATCTATGTGAATTCAGGCCATAGTGATTTACCCCACTGATTGTTTTCATTTGTTTTGTTTTTTAATGTTGCAGACGAATCGTCCTGTTGGTAATGTAGTGATGCCAGCCTTTGACATCACCCAGTGCCAAGCATGTGAGTGTCGGCCAGACATGGAGAACCCGTGTGGACCAGACTCAGACTGTCTCAACAGAATACTCCTCATAGAATGCCACCCACAGGTACGCACGTTACATACAGTTGCCAATTTGAAGAGCGGGATATTTATTTATTTTATTTTATTTTTTATTGAAATATATTTAATCAGAATAACAACAATCAGATATACAAAATCTGTTTAACATTATGGTCCTGAACATTATAAATATGTGCATTGAGAGACGAGTTTCACAATGTGTTTTTCCATGTCCTTTTTCTAGATGCATGTACATTTTTTTATGGTGAACGAAGAATCGTACTGATGTATTATGCAGTATCCAGTTTGAAAGATATAAGAAATATGATCCACTGCACAGCATATTATCACTCTCCTGCTGGAAAATGTTCAAGAATTTTTATAATAAAAAATGAAATCTAAACTGATTACAGTAATATTTACAGTTTTCATGAATCGTCCTCTCCTAAATTGATTTTGCCTGAGAAAGAATCATAACTGATCTTCTATATTGATTGTTAGTGTCATGTTCCTCACAGCTTCTGATGAAATGTTGACATTTTCAGGACATTTTAGTAAGCTATGAGGTAGAGTAATTCTTTGACAAAAAGAATACACATTCATCTTTGTTGGGTGTGTATACTCCGTCGAAAGAACATTTGAAATATTAACTGTAGGAAGAGATCTTTCCTCTCTCAGTTAAATCAAGGAATATAAACTATTTTGTCTTATTCTCAAACTGAAAATGTACTCTGTAAACTTATTTTATTTCATACATTCTTATCAGTATTTCGTTACTTTTATAATTCATTTGTTCTATTATATATATTGTAATACTGTATGGTTTATATATGTAATTTCAATTTGTGGATATTTGATCCAAAAATCTCTTCTGTAGAGGAAGTAATTTGTAGTAAACTCAAAACAAACAAAAATGATGCATGTGAAAAAAGTGTGATCTGTCTTAATGCCCCATAATATCTGCAACACAAGCTTGTTTAGTTTTAAATCTTAAAAATCTCTCTTATATTTAGAATTATACAGTAGGCTTACAGTTGCACCATGTGAGTAAGCCTACTGTATATCTACATCACCATGCACGTCGATACTTATAAGCAGCATCTTCATTTAGAATTGTAACTGAAATCATCCAAATTCTAAAGAAGTACACTTAAAGGAAAGTTACATTACATTAACATTACATTGGATCTACAGCAGCAGCCACCTGCCTATAAAGACCACGTCTCTTGACTACTGGTAGTCTTTATGCACAGGTTTGACTGTATTATCTTTGCTTCTTTAGATCTGTCCTGCCAAAGAAAAAATACATATACAGGAATGTTACATGACTTGACATTACATTGAAACCTACACGAGCAGCCACCTGCCTTTCAAGACCACATTTCTCATCTCTCTTGACTAGTCTTTATGCACAGGTTTCACTGTACAGTCAAACCTGTCTATAGTGACTGCCCAAGGGAAACATAAAAAGTGGTCTTTGTAGACAGGTTCCTTCAGTGCATGTTTCAATGAAAAACCAATTTCAAGGGAAACAACAAAAAAATGTGGTCTTTGTAGACAGGTGGTCACTAAAGCAGGTTTGACTGTATTATCTGCTTCTTTAGATCTGTCCTGCCAAAGAGGAGAAGTGCCAGAATCAGAGATTTCAGAAGAGAGCTTACCCAGACTCCTGCCAGATGAAGGTCAGCCATAGAGGATGGGGTCTGGTGGCCATGGTCGATATCAAAAAGGTATGTCAAGGATACTCTCAAGGCACGTTACTAGAGGAGGCGCGATAGCTCAGTTGGTAGAGCGGTGGTCTGGACATCCCCACGTTACTAGAGGAGGCGCGATAGCTCAACTGGTAGAGCGGTGGTCTGGACATCCGCACGTTTCTAGAGGATGTGCGATAGCTCAGTTGGTAGAGCGGTGGTATCGTAATCCGGCGACCCGGGTTCAAAACCAAGGCGATGCACTAGTGCCCTTTGGTAAGGCATTAATCCTCATTGCCAGGTCCCACATAGAGGACCTAAAGCCGTTGGTCCGCTAAATACTTACTAACAAGCATTTATGTTTTCTTAGCAGTCAGGTACAATAACCACCACAACAAGGAATGAATTTCATCCTTTTCGAGGAGATTCAAGAAGTTCAATCAGAAAGGGAAGGGTAGGAATGCGATGGTTAATGTCATGAATGTACATGAAAGATTATATCTAGTTATGACTTTTGTTTTTAAAATATTTGATAGAATTGTTGATGCTATGTAATGATATGATATGTATAGGTTTCCATAGTAATGAATTTTGTTTTTAAATGAGAGCATTATAAAGGTCATATGTAAGCCTTTATTTTTGTATAGAAGATGTTATGTCCATAGCAATTTGTGTATCATTCGCAGTTTACTGTGGTGGCGAATGATTAAAAAAAGGCTGTTCTATAGTTTGGAAAAATGTAAATTTATTTTTCACAATCGATCATTAATTTTGTGTTCCTCGATGCTTCCGATGAAATGTCGACATTCTCAGGACATTTTAGTAAGCTATGAGGGAGAGTAATTCATTGACAAAAAGAATACACATTCATCTTTGTTGGGTGTGTATACTCCGTCGAAAGAACATTCACACTAACATGGATACAAGATGTGGTGTGACCCTTAATCCCAATAACCATCGTAGAGAGTAGAGTAGAGACAGGTATATCAACGGAAGTCATGCTTGTTCAGTAGTCCAATCCATGGAGTGTCATAATAGTTCCCTTCCATAAAAATTATATATGGGATTGAACTATTTGAAGCTCTATGGATTGATCTTTGAGCATGTACCGATACGTATGTCGCAATTATCTCTCTCCATGCTATGAAGTTACCCTTCTGAACACTGATCAAATTGATATCTCATTTTAGGTCTTTTTAAAAATGAAATTGGGTATGTATCACAAATATTCTAAATCAATCGAACCTTCATGTCTCATTCTCTCACCCTCCCACCCTTCTGCAGGGCGACTTCGTCAATGAGTACGTGGGCGAGTTGGTCGACGAGGAAGAATGTCGACGACGGATCAAGCAGGCGCACGAGGAGAACATCACCGACTTCTACTTCTTGACCCTGGATAAAGATCGCATCATCGACGCCGGTCCCAAGGGCAACCTGTCTCGTTTCATGAACCATTCGTGTCAACCCAACTGTGAGACGCAGAAGTGGACAGTCAACGGAGACACCAGGGTGGGGCTCTTCGCTATCAGGAACATTGCTGCAGGTACATCTCACGTGTCATATGACTTACGGGGTGTGGCAAGAAAGTTGCGATTGATTGCAAGTTGCAAAATTTGCAACTAATATTTGCTATCGATTGCAACTCAGCTTTCTTGCAACGCCCAACTAGTCTCCTAAATTTCCTAGGATTTTGTGAGGATTAAAGTTTTAACAATTAAGTTAAGTTAGATTTAGCTTTTATTCTCCCCCTCTCTTCATCTCTCTCTTACTAATGGGGCTTTGCTAGAAAGTTGAGTTGCGATCAATTGCAAACTTGCAAATAATCACAAGACTTATGCTTGATTTTGGGGATTTGCAATTGATTGCAACTTTCTTGCAACGCCCCATTAGTGTTTTGTGTAGCCTTGATGCATGTGGATATGCTCACTCTACCTTTACCAATATTCAAACAGCTGCCTAATCTCAAGCACCCAATTTGCAATTTTGCAAGCTGACTAAAAGAGCTTAGAAGCGCTAGCCCATCAAGTAAGTGGAATGATTTTTCACGGCTCTCAAAGAAAGTGATGGACATTGTTTGGAGAGGGTACGCTAAAAAGGGAAAATTAGGCAAGATATTTGTTTGGAATAAGTCTACTTCCTATTCATTTAAATATATCATATTTCAACATTTGAAAAATGGGTGCCTATTATAAATGGTTTCGAATACCACCAATCACAACCTTTTATTCAAGCTAAAGCTAGGGCATGTTAAAAGAATGATTCACAGTGATTATTATCTGTTCCTCAAGGCTTACAGCACAATGTTGACATTCTCAGGACATTTTAGTAAGCAATGAGGTAGAGTAATTCTTTGACAAAAAGAATACACATTCATCTTTGTTGGGTGTGTATACTCCGTCGAAAGAACATTTGAAATATTAACTGAAGGAAGAGAACATAACACATTTTGAACCAGCAAAGTTTGCAGAAATTCTTATGCCTGTAGTCATTTACACCACACTTTATGACCGACATCATGTTTAACAATGTGAACACTGAGACATTGGTCTGTCCTTTGTTAAACCAGACTCAACACCCAGCTTAACTCTAGCATAGGGCATGATATGTTTAGTGGCATGTTGACCATTGGTGATAATCAATTTATCTTTGCCTGCATAATATTGTGGCTATTATACCAAAAATTGTAGCTTTCCTAGCATTGCAATTACGATTCCCCCTCTTGTCTTGTGTTTTGTTTTGAAGGTAATGAGATAAGCTTCAACTATAATCTGGATTGCCTGGGGAATGAGAAGAAGAGGTGTGAATGTGGGGCTCCTAACTGCAGTGGATTCATCGGGGTCAGACCTAAGGTAAATCGTCAAGCAAATTGAAAGTAGATTTATAATGATTTGTAACGACTTGAAATGATTTATACTGATTTGTAAGGATTTATAATGATTTGTAACAATTTATAAATAAATTTGTCATGATCTGTGAAGATTTTTAATGATTTCTTACTATTTATAATATTTTGTAAAGATTTGTAAAATGATTTGTAATGATTCATAATGATTAATTATGATTTGTAATGGTTTGTAATAATTTACAATGATTTATAACAATTTATAAAGATTTATAATAATCTGTAATGATTTATCATGATGTGTAATCATTTGTAATGATTTATAATAATTTACAATGATTTGTTAAGATTTTTAAAAATTTATAAAGATTTATAATGATGAAAATGATGATAATGTTTCTCGGCTTACTGAGGATTATGAAATCAAAATAAACTGTACTGTATGGCACCTACTGGATTTTGGAATAGATTGTTCAAGGGTGGATCATGCAAATTATTGGTTGGTCTGCTAATAATTTGTGCTTTTCTCTTCTTGATCTTTTGACAGACTGCTGCAGCGGCTGCTATGGAGGAGCGATCCAAACAAGCCAAAGACAAGAAGAAGAAGCGGGTCCGCAAGAGGAACAAGCTCCAGGTTGTCAAGGTCAAACATGAGGACTATTGTTTCCGATGCGCAGAGGGCGGAGAGCTGACCATGTGCGATGTCAAGACATGCCCCAAGGCATATCATCTCGACTGCTTAGGTCTAACGAAACAGCCCTATGGTAAAAATATTACAAATTGATATTTACAATAAAGGTATTACAAAGTGTTGGTAGGGGGTCATGAATTTGCGATCCTACAATATTCAGTGATCGTTGTCGTGGTTGAAATCGAGTCTAAAGTGATGAAATTGTAGATAATAAACTCTTTTCGTTGTATAGGTCCCTCTCAGGGTCAAGATATTAATTTAGCTATAAAACAATGTTTCTTGACTAAAATCAACCAATTGGCTATTCCCGTTTCGAAATTACATATCACAACTACATATTTTGAGATGTTCATGGTCGCAGCTACCATTGTATGGGCGTAGGCGCTATTTGAAAATTATCGAAAATTACCGGGAGCACCAGTAAATTTTGATATTCAATTTTTTCTCGAAACCAGAAGTGTTCTAGGGGCCAAATTTTCTAGTGCTTATAATACATCCACAGGGGCATCTGATCATTTCAAAATTGTAAAGAACCACTATCTAGCCAATTTTCAAAATTTCCCAAAACTTTGTATTTCCTTTTACTATGTGACTTCATGCATATGTAGTCTTCAGGAAGATTTACATTTTTCACGAATCGATCCTATCCTAATCTAATTTTGCATGAGATCATCATGTTTCTCAAGGCTTCTGATAAAATGTTGACATTCTCAGGACATTTTAGTAAGCTATGAGATAGAGTAATTCATTGACAAAAAGAATACACATTCATCTTTGTTGGGTGTGTATACTCCGTCGAAAGAACATTTTAAATATTAACTGTAGGAAGAGACTTTCAACAGTATTTTATTCCTTTTGGGATGGGGGGGGGGGGGTGTTTCACAGAAATCTCTTCTATAAAGGAAATTATTTAGTATACCCCAAGACAAACAAAAGTAATTAAGCATTTGAAATGGTCAAAGCATTATGTGGAAAGTATGCTCAAATTTTCGTGGAAATTAATGATTGTTAAAGGTAGCCAGATTCTCAATTCTTTGAATACTGGTGCTAGCTATATCAAGTACAGCAAAAAAATGTAAAATATAATTAGAATTGATGTAGAAGATGCATTTCTTGTGAATTTTGCTTTTATTAGCCAGAAATGTTATAGAAAGTAAGGGGTCTGAATGTCAACACAATGTAGGGGGACCTAAAAACATGGGCTTGTTCCAGATGAAGCAAAATATATCTCTATCTTTATCTGAAATTGAGAATAAGGTTGGTCTCTGTCCTTGCCCTGCCTGCATCCTTGAATATTGTTTGTGTGTATGTACCCCCTTGCAGGTAAATGGCAGTGTCCCTGGCACCACTGTGACGTCTGTGGCAAGGGGTCCGTCAAGCTCTGTCAAGAATGTCCAAACTCCTACTGCAAGCACCATGCAGGCGAAACGACAGTCATCATCAACGACAAGGTCTTCTGCAAAGAACATGACCTGGAAGATATCGAGAGGATGGAAGATGAGAAAGCCAGGCTGGCCCTCCTCAAGATGGAAGAGGATGTTGCTAAGATGATGCAGGAGGTGCAGGCGGTGAAATCAGAAGAGGAGGAGGAGAAGGCAGAAAAGAAGAAGAAGCGACACAGACATAGAAAGGTGTCTGGAGATGAGAGTGATAAAAAGACAAAGGATAAAGATGAAAAGAAGTCCAGGAAAGGAGACAGGTCAACAGATGGAGAGGAGGTGGTTAAAAAAGAAAGAAAAAAGCACAAGAAAGACAAAGGGGATAGAGGTGAAAAGCCGAAAGTTAATGGTATCCATGGTGATGAGCCAGAGGTCAAAGTTGAGCCTTTGGAAAGCCACGCTGCCGAGCTGGAAGCTAGCAGTGACCCTGTTGACGAGGTAGCCCTGCTTGAGTACGACGATGACAGCGAAGCAGAACTGGTGATCGATGAAACTGTAGTTGAGAAGAAGAAAAGAGATAGGAAGCGGCAAGCAGAGGATAGCACGGAAGTCTCGACTGACCTACAGGATAGCAGCATTAGCCCGAAAAAGAAGAAAAAGAAAGAGAAGAAGCACAAAAAAGACAAGGAAAATAAAAGAGACAAAAAAGACAAAGAGAGAGACAAAACATCAGGAAAAGAGAGGAAGACGGATAATGTATCAAACACAACAACTAAAATGGTCAATGGTTCTCTGGAAAGTGATTGATGAATCATATTTTATAAATTGGTTTTCTTCTGTTTAGTATTTTTTTTATGTTGAGGTAACTCCCGAATACAGTCTTGTTTCAGTCAATGTTATATTTTAACAATATTTTATAGTTTGCTTGCCTTAAGACTTTCTCCCCTCCCCACCCTACGTCTTTACTTCTGTTTTATTTAACGTTCTTGTGGTGATTTCTTTAAGTGTATATTTTGGTTTAAAATAGGTTTTCTTTTGTTTAATATTTTTAAGGTCATGGTGTATTCCTTCCTGTTAGCAAACAACTTCCCAATATATCCTCAAACCATTTCTACTTGACAATCACTCTCCACCCTCTATTCCACTTAGTTGCTGTCTATCAACCATATATTTGTGTCACTCAATCCCTTTTGAATAAAGCGAAATACTCTACATGCAATCCAAATTAGTGTTTACTTGTGTAAACAGGATAAAAGATGAGACATATATTATGCATATTGATGGATGATTTAAACTTTGTTCTTGAGGATTATATTTGTTTCGATAAAGAAAACTGGAATTATTGTGTGATCACATCTTGTTCAATGAAATTAACAATGTACAAGAACTATCCAAGGAGCAGTATGATTTAATTGTAACAGAATTAACATAGCATCTTTTTTTTTAGTGTGTGCTGGAATTGCACACATGTACTAACTGATTCAGCCTTTCATTATTCAGAAACAATATTGTTCTCGCATATGAAGAGCTTCGGGACGAGAAAAAACATTGATAAAGAACTCTGAGAATATCCCTCGATATTGAGACAATAATTTTGAATGAACTTTTGAAAATAATTGTGTGGATTTTTCTACTCATTATTTGCCCCAAGGTCAAAGTAAAGAGATGAGGGCCTTTCAGCTCTAAAAATAATAATTCAATGTTTTAAAAAATTAACTCTAAGATAAAAGATTATTCATTTCTAGATCAGGAAAAGGTGTAGATAATCAAGTTAAGATTTGTGCCAAATTGTTAATGTATTTTGTGTTATGACAATTTCACAATCAGAGTAAGGCAAAATGTTAGATCTGCACTAAGTGATCATGCTTTTACTATTAAATTTTATTGCTCCCAATTTTTTTCTCCCAAGTATGAAATCGATTTAGGTACTATTGAATGTAATTGAATTGCTTAAAATGTTTTTGTTTTTATGATCAATACAATCTTGGTTTCATAAGAAATAATGGAGATTATCACTGCCGGTAATTCTTTTTCTTTACATCCATTGATATACATGTGTATGTCATATTTGCATATATGTGTGTTGAAAGTTCCTTAGTCAAGACGATTGTACTGTTTCGCGTTCATCATCCTGTCTGTCAACGGTCATATTTGTTTGGAATATTAACCCATATCCCATTTCTTACTTTCTTTTCTTTCTCTTTCTTCCTACTTTCATTCTATTTCATTTTATTTCCCTTTCTTTCCTTTCCTTTCCTTTTCTTTTCTTCCCTTTTCTTTCCTTATCTTTCCTTTTCTTCCTCTCCTTCTCCTTAGCATCATCCCAGCTTTCTGTTCTAATTACGCTTCAGGCTGTTACACATTCATTTCATCTTACAATCTAGAACCCCAACATCATTTGATTTCAAGAGTTATCAAGATATGAAATGCTTGAGAATATCTAAGGCTTAAATTTGTAAGGATTCGGTGATTTCAAAATTAATCTAGATGGTGATCCAGGATCTGGTGTATCTAGTATCAGTGGTGCAATCATGTTGTATTTCACCAAAAGAACTTTATGACAGACGTTAGTACTGATGTAAACTTATATAAGAAACAATCGCATTCTCTATAAAGCGGGACTGCACTACTCGTAGCTACTTGCGCCCTCTATATAGCAAACAATGCCTAAGCGGAACCCATCGGTTCCCCATGATCTCCTTTTTCTTTTTATTAATGTTAATTGAGAGCTGATTTGATGAGATAACCATCTTTCAGTGACTATGCAGGGAGGTCTAATCCCTCCTCGGCAAACTAGTGCAGATAGGCTTAAGAATTTGTGAGTTGATCTAGTTGCTGTCTCACATTTGCCTATTAGACAATCCTGGGTTTGAATCGGAGATGTATCCTCTGATGGTGCTGTTCTGTTTTATCTCGACCTGTGCGCCTTGTAGCTGTAAAATATTAATTTTGACACATCACTTTTACTTGCCCACATGATTTTGTGAAATGTGATGCTATGAATTGATTACATTCTCTACTAAGTAATTCATGATATTAAGTCATGTTTAATATTTGATGACGGAACCTGTGAATGTTTGTATTGAAACTAATGGGAAGTGCACACAATGTGACTGGTCACCTTATAAACCAGTTTAGTCACCCAATTTTATTTCCATCTTACATCATTGCTGTAACACTCATCATCATCTAGTGCCGCCCCTTTGGAAGGGGTTGGCGGCTATGCACCTCCATTGCTTTCTGTCATGTAACACTATGTAAGACCATCTTGAACTGCTTTAATGAGTTAATCTTTCCATATCTCATAGTTGTAAAAACAAATTCATTTACCAGAGTACTAGAACCAGCTATTATTAACTCAACTTGAACTAAATTCTTTTCACACCACTGCTGTATTGAACTATGTAAGACTGAGCTATGAATGGTATTATTTGAGCTCTTATTGCACTCCTCGTGTATCACACATTGTCGATCTCTACTTAAGATTTGGTAAAGTCTGAAAATACCACTGTTTAAAAGTAAACCTGCATGTACAGTGCTTGCTTTATGAATGGGATCAATTTTGTCCACAATGAACATTCTTTTCATTTTAAGCAATTGATGTAGAGGACTCGTAGGAATTTCAGATGTTCCTCTGATCGCTTTCAAATTGAGAAAAAATTACTAAGAAGATTTTTTTTTCAGCCCATGTAACTGATAAGTGAGGACTATCACATCATGGATCTGTAATATATTGTTGAATTGCTTCACAATTGATTGAATTAAAAAACAGTTTAAAATTTCCATTTAAAATTTACAAAGTTATGAGGATATGTCTATCTAGGAAATTTTGAATACATTTGTGATATCGTAATGCTACTATTCTGGCTTTATGGAATCTGCAGAATCCTGTAGACAAAACTCTGTGTTTGTTAATGCTGAAGTTGTAAATTTATATGTGAAATAGCATTGGTATTTTTTAATTGACCTTTTTTTTTTCTTCTCTCTTGTAATTAATTGTTGGTAGAGATTTATTATTCTGCTGCTTGAAAAGTTACTTGTTTGAATCTTAGAAGGGGATTGGAGCGGGACAATAAATGACCAGTCAAAGAATTTGTAAGAAAAATTGTCAGCAGTTTTCACCTGTGTTTTCTTTTGTTCTAGCATTTATACCCCTAGAGAGACAGTAGGATATTGTAAGATATATATTCAGATGCTCGCAAGAATGCTGTAACAGATCTGTATTATCAGTGGCATTTATATCTTTGGAAAGACAAATAGTAAAAGTATATATCTTAAGATGCGCGCAAAAATGCTGTAATAGCCATGCATTATCGATCCTGAAATCTTCTCTATTCCCACAAAAATCTGTATGATGGGGGAAAACTTATGTTCGCAACTACAAGACTCAAATTAAAATTGAGCGAAGAATATTTATATATTCGCCTGAATGATTGCTCTTGTGGTATTCCTTATACCGTATTCTAAACAAGTAAAATCTTGTCAAACTGCTAACGAAGAATGTAATGTTCACAACCAAATGGTTGTTTCAATATGTACAATTCTTTCAGTAAGTGTTAAAAGGGCTTTTAGAATTCCGCCTGGGTTTATTTCTTGAAAGTCTTTACAATCGTATTTGATTGAGCATTAGTGGGGGATTTCTCTTTTAACATATCAAATGTTTATTCTTCCCCCCCCCCCCCCCCCCCTCTCTCTCTCTCTCTTCCTCTTTTGTGAATATTTGCAATTTGTATTTAATCATAAATAGCTAGCTATACTGCGGAAACTCGTTCTATGAAAACGTTCCGTTTTCTTTACTTTGCTTTCTACTTTTTACGTAGTTCTGACAGAACGAGATTTCAAAATAAAAAGGTAAATTCCTTGATCCCATGATCAGGAGTTAATTATGACGAAGTTTCACCGTATCACTGTTATCGGAGGCATATAGACCACGATGTAACGATGAGATCATTCCGCAGATATCTGACGCTATCCTGACACGTAACATACAAAAATACATAGACCATAGGGATTTTCATAATATCCTTTTTATTGATAAAGCTCTTATTTTTGTAAATAAACAATACACGAGTGAAGGACGGACACGTGAACAAAAAAAGTGTCACTCGGTTCACTTTTTAAAAACCTATCAAACTAAAATATAAACAAAATAAATGTTCATATCATTCGGCAGTGTACAATTTCATAAATACATGTATTAATATTATAATCCCGTTCAAACATATCCGACAAAAAAAGGATGAGCATTCCTGCTAAGATCTTGAATACTTGTGTATCGTACACTGCTTTATATTATAAAACAATATTTGATAGTGGTCATAAAGGGGGGAAAAGGATTTGATATGTTTGTTAAATTTATCATGATGCCTTGTGACAAATCAACGGCTACGTGTTAAATTTAAGAACTATTGGTCCTAACAAAAGAAATTTAAATTTGCCTTTTTGTTTTTATTGTAGCATCTAATTTATACAATTTATTTCTTTTTGTTGTAGCAAACTTATTTTTCAATTAAGATTAGCAAACTGGTTAACCTGTTCCTAAATCTTTTATGAATTAGTATTAAAGTATTAATTCGAATCAGTAGGAAAGAGAACGGCCGAACCACAAGAAAGACTAGAAATTAGATAATTTTAGCGCAACAATGGAAATTTCCAATCACTGTTTGCAAATTTGAATAAATAACCTTCTCGTGCTCTGAAACCTTATGTAAAATTGATTGAGAAGGACAAGCAGAACATACATGTAAATATGAACAAGATTAAAACATCAATTTGTTTTCATATTTTTAGCTTTGATAACAAGAAGGCACAAATATTTTGTTTTTCCAAATTTGATCAGGCAATAACAATATAATTCTTGCATAATATAGGGCCGCATTCAAAAAGAAATCTTCTTTCATAGAGAAAATATCTCAAAAAATTAAGGGTAGTGATTATATACTGTTTCATAAATAGTAGCTTAAATCTGAATTGTAACTGAATACGGATAGGTTATCAAGTGGTGAACACGCAAATATATCACATAAAATGTAATACAATACTTTTTAAACAATAAACTGTTGACGATATGGTCTTAAATATTGGATACATTTCTGAATTCCATTATATTAATCTTACAAGTAACCCTGTTCGAGACATTTTGTGCAACACGACAACAATACTAATCAATCAGCTCATTGTAAGACACAAACATCATTGTGCCTTATTCTTAAAAACAAACTGAAGCCTCCATTCGGATCTATACGTAGTAAAATATGATAGTAAACATTTGGCTTAATATATTATGTTACATAGCTCATATACATTTCTGCAATATCACCATTAGCGATGTTGATATCATCTTGCAAATATACATCGATATAAATACGTGTTAACAAAGGAAATTATCAGCCATCGAGATTTCTTTTTTACCGGACTTAGCGGCAAAATTGGTATTATAGTATCAAATAAAACTGAGTAGATCAAAGATTATTTTTGAAACCACAAAGGAATTTCTAATATTAATAATAATAAAAACGATGCCCTGCATTCAGATGTTATAAGAATTGAACAATAAGGCAGCTTGTTTATACTCGAAAAAAAGGTATAAAGATATCAAAAGTATCCAACTAAAATTGGGCAGATAGATGAACTAATTTAATTTAAAATCAACGATTAATCCATGAAAAATTCGACAGATTTTTTCAAACAAAATTTAAGTTTGATTACATACATTCATTGGGTAATTAATAATTCCCCCAAATATTAAAAGATTTTAAAAAATATTTATTAAAAAAAAATCAGAGTTATATAAACTAAAATGGTTATCCAAATAAAAATCATTTATTGAAGGAAACGAGTATAATAATCCATCATATATCTAGTTTAACCTCTTTTATTTGCTATTATTTCAAAATTAATTTGACCATTTTCCTAATCGAAACAATTCAAATCTCACCAAAACAAGTGTTGGTCCAATTTATCTATGAAAATAAAAATATTAACATTTACCACATTCTTCAGTTGTTGTTAGTAAGCGCTTGTCAAAATCCTTTCCTTGTGTTAACATCTATCTTAAAAACATTTCTGATGGAAGCATCAGTCAAAAACTCTTCCTTGGTTAAAAAATCAAATAAATGTGTATATTTTTTTTTGAACGTGTAATCAAACTTTGGTAGCTTAACAAAGAAATGCGGTTAATGTTTGATATTCCGAACCTTCCTTTTAAAGAAACAGGTTCGCAAAATCAAAGGACAGTTTCCCATTTCCGGAATAACTGACACTTTATCCTCACTGACCGACAATTGAAAAATGGAAATACCTGCCTTCCAAAATCTCATTTGCAAATGAGCTACGACTTCAGAATTTGTAAGGATTTAAATCAAAATATGAAGCTGTAAAGTCAAAAGTTTGGGGTGGATAGATTAGAAAACATCGAAATGCAAAATTTAAAATATCCTTTTTAATTCTTCTTTTTATAAAGAACAGACCACCAAAAATGCTTGTACGCGTAATGATTTACCAATATGGTATCATTTTGAAGGCATACATTTTTCATCTAACACAGGACCATGCTAGGAACCAGTGAGGTAAAATACGCATTTACCAAAGTTTGTTTAGCTTTCTTAAATATACACACTTATTCTGTTTACGTTAAAAACACATTAAAATCACATCTTTCGACATTAATTGCAAATATAGCAAACCCAACATTTCTTACGTCAAAGTACAAAAATATTAACATGAAGCAGATGAGTGTACCTAAAAAAACACTCACCCTTGTCATTATGTTAGTGTTAGTATATTAAAGTCTTTTACTTTACGTTTAAAGCATAAATTTAATAGCACACTACACCTTTTATCAAAATAGTTGCAAGTCATAAAAACATCATTCACATATTAGTAATCTCGTATTCACGCGTCAAATTTTGTACATGGTTGTAAAATTTTATTAGTAAACTTATATCCCAAAAAGCATCCATTCTATAGATTGCTTTTTGTGTCATATTCATCATGTTATGTACAAACGCGCCTCTGATATTTGTTTCTTTGTCTGGTAAAAAATATCGTAATATATAGGTCTGTATTTAGGATTGTTGAATGAGATCTGTAAATGGGTTTCGTTTAATGTAAATCAATTTCTCAAGAAATATGTCCTACAATTTTACCGGCATCCCAACATTCCCCCCTCAATATTTTAATCAGAATAAATGACTTTATAAAAGCGAAGGAAAGAAAAAGGATGTTTGATCTGCAATAGAGTAAGAAGGAATTTTAGGCTCATTATTTTGAAAGTAAACTATAGATTCTAAAATGCTGCGTAGATGCCTAACTGCCGATGAGTCCGCGTAAAAGCTGCAAATGATTATAAATAAATGTTTGTCTCCAGTGTATATCGAAACCTGAGGCTTGATTAAACACCACTACACCTCCAAGCCATGCAGGTTATTGGTTTAACCCAGACAGAATTATATATTTCCATGAATCTTTCTTCATACTGTTTAAATTTTGTGTAATTCACTGGATGTATGATTAGACTTGGTGCGGAAAATTCATAAGCCCATTAATTACATCATCTTTTTAATATTGTTGTATTGAAAACAAAGCTATGAAAATAAAGCTAGGTCAGAGAAGCCCAGAAATTTAGCATATGTACATTTAACATTACATAATGTTTCAACTGAATGGAATCTTTTTAATTTCATAATATCCCTTTCAATTATTATACCCATGTGATATGTATATACAGAAATCGTACATGGCCAACATGGTGATAGGCACAAGTATACTTGGTAAAAATATGTTCAAATTTTTATCTCACATAAGTGCAAATAATTCACAAATTTTCATTTTATATCATAATTATCATATTTGACATTATATGAATCTGATTCAATTGAAGTACATTTAGTACATGTAAAAATGAATTTGAATGTGATAGTAAAGTCCGGCACACACTATACGATCCTTCTACGATCTGATTTCTGCTGAGAGGGCGGTTATAGTTGATTTGGAAATTTAAACAACCACTACCTTCATGATTTAGATTCTAAATAATGATACGTATATTAACAACAAGAATTGCAGTGCATTCGAGTCTTCTATTCAGAATAAAAGCCGGATCGGCTTCAAATCGTTGACAATCGCACTAGTGGTCTGACGTCATTACGATTCTGAGCCGATTTAGCCTTTCCCCCTCCAAATAAGCATAAAATCCCTTGAAATTGTAATTTTATTAACCATAAAGAATATTCAGATCTTAGTGTTCAAATGTTCATAAGATGCTATTACAAATTCTTCCAAAATCGGATCGTAGTCAGATTATTATTGAGCGTCGGGCTTAAGTTTCGGAGACAGGAAGACGAAGTAGATAGAAAGAGAGAGCAAAATCAGCAATATAAATAGAAAGTAATAATTTACACGAAACATATTCCTGAGAAAATATAATGTTCAGTTTGTAAAGATCTTTTAAGGGTACCTAATTCAGCAATACTTGAACAAGATCGATAATATATTATTTACAGTTATGTATACGACACTTTGGCTTTCTTATACAAGAATGATAAATACAAATCATATACAATCATTATTGTATTTATAAAGAACGTTCATGATTGGTGAGAAAAAACACGGTGGAGTTGGCCGACATTTTAGAAAGTGAGAGCTCGAAATCTAAGATTCGAACACGTCAGGCCCGCCACCTCGTTCCTTCGTTGTATTTATTTTTTAATGTTTTCTTCATATTGTATCTTGCTCATATTTTGAATACCAGACAAATAAATACCTTAAGCTGTTTAAAACCCAGTATCGTTAGGCTTAAAAACTCACATTGTTAAATACTGATAGAGCAATTTGCACCACCGCAATCATTACGTACAATGATACCCAAGATTGCAATTGTTGGTGGCGCTGTCCATAAATTGTTCTATGAACCCATCACACTCATGGACAAGCCCCACGTAATGTCACACATTTAAACCCATCGCGCGCTATCTGACTACGACAGTACCGTTAAATAGGCCTTCATGATATCAAAGAGTGTAAGAATAATATGGAGAGAGTGTGAATGCAGTATAGCTTTGCTAATAGTTTTAAAGTGTTCCAAATTAGCTCTGTGTTAATTAACACCGGTCATTACACAATGCGATCCCTTCTGTAACTACAGTCATTACAAAGTGTTACAGAGAACACTGTGTCACAAATTATGTGACACAGTGTGATCACTGTATTTGATTCATGACACTTTGTGATGATGACGAAATTTATGTTCACACTTGTTGACTCTGTGTAACACAGAGAACACCTGAGTGTATTTACAACAGTAAACCCCGATAGGGTGCCAACCACCTTCTCGTAAGAACCCGTCTTAGTCAGATAGTGTGCGATGGATTTAACGCACGCACGCACGCACACTCACACGCACTACACATACGCACAACACATTCACATAATCAATTATTACGATACCATACGCGCTTACGACCGTTCACGGAATGACCATTGACGCCATGCGCTTCTATTCTACGTCACAAACGTCACGCCACCTTGTATCCCAAGAGGCTCGCTCTTTGACTTTGTTGTATATCGTGGATGCAGAGGGATCAAATGTTGCGTGCTCCCAATAATGGGCACCCTTGAAGAAAAACAACTTCTTGTGTTTGATTGAATAATAAGCTGCGTCGAGATTGTCCTCTAAAGGTGAGATATAAGGAAACTCGCCGGGGAAGGCAGTGCTGATAGGCATAGGGTAGTTGTCTCCGCAACAGCCACCGTCTTCCACGTCGTATGCATAAACCTGTAAAATAAAGCAAAGAGCATAGTCATTACTAATGCAGTCAAGGACATATCATCATCCTATGCTTTCATAAGTATAAAATATTATCTGTGGTGTGTCTTCTAATCTGTGGGAGAGGCAAACATGACTGTCATCTCAACTTTAATTTTCAACCATTTCTTGTTTTGCTCTCACCAATGAGCAATTAATACATTTTCTGCTGAGAGGATATGTAAAAATAGATAAAGGACAATTAAGGCCGATTGTCTAAGAACCGTGATACCCATGGTTCAAGATCATGTCTGTATAGTGGTGCCCTTGGGTAGGATGCCAATCCTCAGTAGCTACTTGGATAGACGAAAGGTCCAACCTATTTTAGTCCTTTCTTAATGTACGCGGGAACAACCCATCAACACCTACAGTGCGGTTCTCTTCGGAACCTTAAACAGCAACTTTGAACCCGCCGGTAAAGAGGAGGATGAGAAGGTGACTAAAGAAGAGAATAATGATAAGTCAGAACTAGATAAAGAAGAATACTTACCTGGCTCCCTTTGAAGAAGTAGTAATTATTATCCCTTTTATCATAGTAGGCAGCATCGATGTTGTCAGGTATACGGGTATTGGAACCAGATTTAGCGGGCCAACCTTCAGAGATAAGCCGACCATTCGCCGGCCAGTTAACACCCTCGTATGTGCCTGTGTAAGCTGATTTGCTTGCGTGGTTGAACCTCCAATACCGATTGCCTGAGTAGAAAATACACGGATAAAGGTTTCAAATATAACATGGGGTCCCTTTTTTCAGAGAAAGTGGAGTAAGCATATTATAAACTAAATCAATAATGTAAATGCGACATTAGAGAGTTATTAGAGACTCATTAGAGAGAACCATTAAAGAAAGATAATGGTACAAAGGACCTTAGTCACATGATTTCTGCGAAATGTAAGTTCTTCAATTTGTGCCACCATATTCCGATAGTGTAGTTGTCTAGGGGCGTCAATCATTATTTTGGAGAATTAGGGGCAGCCCCAAATAATAATTATGGTAAGTGTATCCCATTAAACATGCGTGGAAGAAAAAAAATATTGCATCAAACAATTAAAAAATGAATAAAGATTTATTCGAAATGAGAAAAATTAAACGGAATAGTGACCAACCTTTGAAGAAGTACATCTCATCTCTTGGTTTATCAACGTTTTGGACCACGGCATCCAGGTCGTCGGGTACACCATTGAAGCGGCTACTGAGGAGCTTAGGCTCAGCATACTTGACCTCGTTCCTGGAGTTTACGTACACCCAGTTCCATCTATTTCGGACGAAGTAGGTGGTGTATGTCCACTGGTTGCTCGAACTCAACCTCATCCAGTCAAAAACAGTGTCTAACGAGTTATTGCATGTTCCTGATGATAAGAGACAAATGGTGCAAGAGGGAGACAAGGAGACGTGAGTTACGTAACAAGATGGCACTAACAAAGAGAAATTGACTTTATATAATGTTTAAACACAATAACATATTTGTAAGCAATAACTAATGTTTTGGAAGTTAAAGTACCTGAAGTTCTTATCTGACATCGAATTCACCCATCACAATATTTAAAAAACGCAACGCTTCTAAAGTCAGTTTAACTTCTCATCGTTAGAGAACGACGTATAATTACCGTGAAGATGATTACTTTAAACCAGAAAGAATACAGTACATGAAAGAAAATTCCTTACCATAGATATCCTGAACAGCAGTTTTGGTCTCACTATCAATGGTCACCTTTCCATCAAAAGAGCGGTAGATCGGATACATGATGGAGGAAACATTGGTGCTGTGGCCTAACCCTAGGAAATGACCGATCTCATGGGTGGCCACCGACTGCAGGTTGTAGTCTTGGTCAGACCTATCCGTCCAGAGCTTATTATCGTTGAAGAATATGTGACTACTCGCCACGTCCGAGAGAGCCAACTGACCTGATGACCATCTGTGGTCTCCGAAGTCGGAAAGATCATCTGAGGATGGAAAAGAACAATCAATCAAAATCGTACTTGCGTAAAAGAGGATGTCTCACGATGGCCAAGACAGCATTTAATGTGTGAACAAAATAATTTTTATGATTGAACATTGATACAGTCAGACCAGGAGGCTAGAGGTAAAGTCATGTAAATTGTGTAATTTAAGTTTGCAAGTGCATTAAGGCTGCTGGTATCAATCCAAGATTCCCTAGTACCTCGAATAGGGCTTGAATTTCTTGTTTCTTACCTATTCTTAGCTACAGTTCTATTTATTCTTGACGAGACTTCAAAATTATCTCCATAAATCTCGACACCCGGATGATCTCCATAAATCTCGACACCGGATGATTATGAGATTCTAATCTCAAAGGCATATTCTGTTCGAACAATCAAATAAGTAAACAATTAGTTTTCCGTCATCATAATTCAGGCATACATTTGTATTAAATTACAAACTCATAGTTTAATACCTTCTGTTGGTATTAAGTAGGATTTCATTTTGTTAGAGGCGGGGTTTTAGTAAGTAGACCATAATAATAATATTGGTGAACTTACTTGAATTAGCAAAGGCGATGTAGATATCGACGTTTAGGACGTCACCTGAAGTCTGCTCCCTGAAGGTAAGCGGTGTGACCTCTGCCCATCTCCTGAAAGCTGCTGTGAAAATACTCGACGTATCAGAGATGTACTGAGAAGGATAGTCATCCAAAACACGCCAGGTGATTGGAAGATCCCTGGCAGAAAATCTCAATCCTGAACCCGACGATGAGGATGGCTGACCACCTGCCTGTGAGTCGCGTCGCTGTCGATGATTTGACTCGCTAATCATCTGTCGGAGGAGTTCTCTAATGTCACGTTTGGGGCGTGGCCCACTCAACTCATCTTTGTCCTTATTGTCACTTGGAGGATACTTTGGGGTTGAAGGTGCTGTCTTGGAATCAAGCTCACTGACCAAAGCCGATACGACTTCGGTGACGGTGTAAGTCAACATCGTCGTTCCGTCGATTTCTTCTTCTGGGAAAGGCGTCGTCGGAACGTCTTCGACGTCCTCCTCATCGACCATATCAGAATCTTCGAAATCGTCTTCAGAGCTGACCTCTACGATCGAGTACTGACCCCATGAAATGTCTTCAGGAGATGGCTTTTCTTCAGGCACAGAGGGCGGTCGATATGGAAACTTGTTCATTCCCTTGCCAGATTTCGCCCTTTCGCTTAAAGGGTCTAAGAATGATTTCCCCGACTGCTTACCGTCTAGTACTGTGGATGTGATCATAACTGGAGAAGTCACAATTCCGGACTTGTCTTCTTCTGCCGATTGTTTCGATTCATCAGTTAACGCGGACAGGCCCTGGCTTTTTCCGTCGCCGGTTTGCTTGATCTGAACTTGGTAGTCAGGTACGCCACATCTGGGCTTAGTCATGAGTTCTTTAGTAGCTGAATCAATCTGCCCGGTGACCGGTATGTGGTAGCGTCTCTGGAAAGCTTTGATGCCCTTTTTCCAGTCGGCGTTGTCAGGTTTTGACTGTCCTCGGTCTGTTGATTGTGTTGCGGAGGGCATCTTAGGTTGGTCCGATGATATTTTACCATCGCCATCAGATGCGTTCTTCGCTAGTTGTATTTCGATATACCCGTAGTCTTTTAAGAAATTCTGTAAAAGAAGAGAGAATATCAATTAGTTACGTCGGCATTAAGTCATGGAGTATAATATCGATTTAAAAAAATAATGTATTTTTTAATTACTTCATGGAATCGCGTATAAGTTCGAGGGCTCCTCATAGTATATACATGATTATTTTTTCATTGTATTGCCTTATAAAGCCTGTTCAGCTGTGAGTATATGTATGATATACATCGTCAGATGGAGGGGCCGATATCGTTTAGAGAATTTCAACGTAGCTTTTGTTGGCTTGCGGTTTTTTCACCTCTCTTTTCACTTTGCATTCGTACTTTCGTTTGTATTTAAAGAATGTTAAATCCCGAAACCACAGAAGTATTTATATACTAGTCACCGAGCGTGTTGTCATGTCAGTGCACAAATAAAATTAATGAATGAACGGTAAAATAAGGACATAAACACGCCTGAAAATTCGTCAACAAATGTTTTCGTGACTTTGGCATGCATTTGTATAGGGCCAATGGCGGTTACTCCAATGTGCATAGCAATGGCTAATGAAATGGGTGTACTTTTGGTTATCACTCTATTAATTCGAAAGAAATACTTTTCTCTAACGTAATTGATATGTATGTAATTATATGCAGGATAAGTTGATGACTGGCTTTTCCTAATGGTCAACGACCATTAATAAAAGCTTGTAAAATTGGCAGTTTCATGTATGATGAATGTAATGCACTTATTCAGAATTCATATCACATTGTGTTGCTTCGCAATCACTGACGTTCATTTTGTTTAATCTGACTCTACCTTATTTATCTTCGCAAGACATTGACAGTATTAAAAAAAAATTATTAAAGGGAAGCATGATATTGCCATTACTAACATCCATGTTCATAACATTGTAATCACATCTTCAGTAAGCGAAATGTGAATACTAAATACAGAATTATGCCAGATTTTGCCTCACTATTAACTCAAAGAGATATGTTCAAGAAGAAGAATTAACATGGTTCCTATAACGGTGGGTGTACTGTTTTATATTTGTACAGGGGCGCTCCTGATACACTTTGCTTACTCAGGGGTTCTTCCAACGTATTTTTTGGTATGTATTCATTATTTGATATTATATTTTTAATGGAAAATAAAAATTGAATTGAATTGAATTGATTATGAAGCTAGATGTGTCAGACTCCTTGACTTTAATCCATACCACGTTAATACCTCTATACCATACCTAACACTTTATTATCCAAGCTATCATATCATTATCCAACTACGACAACAAAAATTGCATAGAGTATTGCAATCCTTAATCAGCGCTATGCCATAAACAGATAACAGATTTTTCAGCGAAGGATCTTAACCCTAATTAAAAAGGGTAAAGTGCAAATTTAAAAAAAAAGGAAACAAGAAATTGAAAAGTTAGAGGATCAACAGAAGCTAGAATGGGACTAATCATGATCTATAATTGTATATGATAAAACTCTTTCATTTGGAAGAATGAATGTACTTTATCTGGTCCTTGTCCCCCCGTCGTCTTCGCTTTTTTTCCACTTCGGTGGTCTAGATCTGCTAAAAAGGAGTTTTCATTTAATCTCCTTTTCTACAAAAGAACGCAGCATAGGGTACACGGGATTTAAACCCCGGTCTCACGTTTCCGATAACGATGAATCAAACTTTACTTGGATCGAAAGATGGGCCTTATATCTTTTAGTGAAATTGATCGGATGGCTACGCAAAAGTATTTCAAGCTGCCTGAAAAATTTGAAATGTTCAGCACAAAATACATTGTTTCTTGCGCAACTTAGTGTACTTCGTTTTCTGAGTACGCTTTAGAAAACAAAAAAATAGAAATGAAGAAATCGAGAAAAAAATGAAAGTTTCCCCATAAATGGTGGTAAAATATTTAAGTAGCAAAAGATCGCAAGGTAGTTGTTTTTATTAGTTGCCTAATTAGTTACTCATACGTTGAAAAGATATTCCGTTTTTGCCTAAATATGTTTAAATAGTATCTTTCATTAGTAACAAAGTAGTGGGTATAGTTGATAATAAAGTCGCGGAGTGGGACTGGACTTTTACGGCATCAGTGGGATAAGTAAAACGCCACTTCTTTTTATTATAATAATGGAATGCAAACGAGGAAGCTGGGATCAATGCAGGCGGTAAAGTGACAATACAGTAGCTGCATCAAAATCGATTTTATGATGTGACAATCTAAAATGTTGAAGGGATGGTATTATTAATTTGTTTGCATTGTTATAACCCGATCTGACTGATAGGGTTGTATCTATCAAGGATTATCTTAAAGAAAGTATTCCAAAATACGTAAAAAGATATCGAGGCTCAAATTCGTCTCTACAAGGTGCTGTTTTCAGAAAGTCTTCCTAGCACCAAAATGAACATCGGGGCACCAAAAGGTCTGTTTAGGAAAGATAAGAAAAGGACCCCGATAGTCTAGTGTATAAACCTCTTCACTCAGGGTGACTGCCCTACGGTGGAGGTACACGCTCGGGAGAAATCTTCCCTTTTATTGGGTTGGGTCCGAAAAGCGTCCCTGAAATGCACGGCAGTTGTTATGTTTTCTCATTCATCCTGCCTTGTCCAAACGGCTCTGGGTGATGCTTTCGAGGTGTCAACTAGAATGGAAGTTTCGTCTTTAAGGAACATTGGTATACACGCCCGAGGCCAGTGATCCTTTCCACCCCCTCTCTCCCTCACTTTCTAGCTTCTTAGCGCGCTCTTTGACGGAAGCTCATTGAGAGGAGAAACACTAAAGAAACGATGTCAGTGTGCACCGCCAGTGGAGAACATTTGTACGATTTCGAAATAAAAAGTCATTCGCGAGTTGTAAACACGCCTATTTATATGCGCTCTGGTAGACGAGCGATGCGCCTGACGACTCGTTTGTCCTCATACTATTGTTGGTATGGTCACGAGCGCCGGAGAAAGCGCTCTTGAAAGGATTCTGCTTTCGTCGTTTTTGTGTCCAAACCGGGCCGCCACTAATGACCGAGCTGCAATGAGGGTCGTCAAAAGATGCTGTAATAGATTGCCCACTTTCGCTCAAATTGCCATGATTAATGTTTTCTAAGGGAGAGACAGGGAGAGAGGGAGAGAGAGGGAGAATGAGTTAGTAAAACTCCGCATCTCAATCAAGAGCTAAAGAAGAGGGAGAAAGTTACAAGGAAAAGGGGCAAAGAGATGGAAAGACGGAAACAGGGCGAAATAGGGGTATGGACAACTAAAGAGAAAATTAACCTGGCTTGAAAGAAGGTTTAAAGGAAAGAGGAGAAAGAGAAAGGGAGAGGAGGAGAGAAAGATATTCGGATGTGGACTGTTTATCGCATAACAATTATCTTTATGACATCCATTATAGGAGAGGCTTAAGAGATGACCGTGAAATGTGGAGCAGATGATAATGCTTTCGTGAAATAGGAGCTCATGATTTGTATTCATGATCATTAAATATTCACGCAGACTAAAGAAATGAGTCGAGTTTTTGTGTCGGAAGTTAATAGAGTAGAAGATATATTTCCTATGCTTTCTCCCCTTCTCCTTCCTCTCGTTAACACAATTGTCCTGAAGGAAAACTGGTAGAAAATGAGGAGGTCGCAGATTTTCAGCTTTCACTTTCTCTTTCGTTGTTAGGGATCACTTGTACTGGTAACATTAATAACATCGTGATGCTAAATTAAGATTTGTTATGGGACAGCGATTGTTAAGGGGTTTTATTCAAATGCCACAGGGTAATGATAAATTACGATTCGTAACATAAAAACCTAATTATGTTACGTTCGTTTAGTGCAGAGTCACCAATTGGGGCGGTATTAGTCTCAAATATTGTTCTTTTTTTCCCTGTAGGGTGATCCTCGGAATAATCATGTCCTCCTCTCAAATTTTAATTTTTCTCCATTGTCTCTTTGTATTATTTCTGGCTTCAAACATTTTGACCTTATACTATGCAATCAATCGGATCCGCTAATTTATTCTTCAATAATTTTGCTGTTCTTACCTCAATACAGTGAAGTAAAATTAATAGCCCATTCATTCATCTAGTTATTTACTGTTCAATTATCTCCCTCGTCACAATGCTCGCACCCTACTTTGCTCAAACCAAAGTATATTCAAAAGCAAGTTTTAAATTGTCATTCATCGTGACAAGATATATTTTACAAGTAATAATCTTACGGACCCTTTGCATCTATATGGTCATGGTGTATGGCACTATGTACCAGCTCTTTCTGAATTTTATTTTAAGATTACACGTGAAGCCAATGCCTGCTTCTTCTTTTTTTTGTAATGTTTATAATTCAATTTTATTGCCGCGACGTATGGTTATAATAAAAGATTTTTCATTTGAACTGAATCGGATATATTGTATGTAAATATATGAAACTAAATTAGAACCACGTACTGGCTGACGTTAAAATACAATTTTTACCAAACGCATTTCTTGAAAGTACTTTGCCAGTCCATAGGCTTGAAAAATCTCAAATATTGCTTTTGAATATGATAAAAGGTACTTTCTATATGAAATTACAAAATTAGATTTGATTTATAAAAGTTGATTCTTGATCGATGCTTATCAGTGTAAAAAGACAAATTCTTTAAATTTGTAAAAATATATATATTTCTGTATTTAATTTGTTGAATGCATTGCCCACAGAAAGTGTTACGAAAAACTAAGTAAGAACACCAATTGAGGGTGAAACTTTTCTCTTGAAAGAAAAAAAAAAGGAATATATTTCTGCACTTGGTCAGTTGTATTTTTTATCTTATCAAACGACATATAAAAATCAAAGTTTTTTCACATCATCAATTTCATCATCATCATCAACAATTTTGTCAACATTATAATAATTAGTTTGGTCGAATCGATTTATTTCGTTTAAATAATCTTGTAAACTGATTTCAATGAATAAGTTTAGGTTAAAAAGGCGATGTAAAAATGTTGGACAAAGCCTGGCATAATTGCATGTATGCCCTTCATATTAGAAAAAGTTTGTAACTTGATTTAAAAATCATGGAAAAAAAAAGAAAATTATGGATTTATGGCACAAGATACAAAGGAATCATGATCAAGTGAAATTGATTTTTTTTTTATGCATGTTTATTAATAAACAGAAAATTTCAAATAAAGAGTATTGAAAAAGAAAAGAAAAATTAATTTGTAGATCAAAAGAAGCACTCAATTTGGCCGCTATAGCTTTTCGTACTTGTATACATTGCCTAACATAATCGATTTTGAAACAATGCTAAACCAAAATTGTGTGGTCCCTCCTTTAAAGTAACTTTTAAAATACTGTAATGAAATTGCATTTTTTAAATACGTTTCAATTTATATTCATAAGAGAAAAAATGCTACTCACCATGGCCTGTTCTTCTGACAGGTCATCTTGCGATGGCAATGATTGCGACTGCTTCCGGTGTGACGCCGCCGACGATGACCTCGAGGGGATGACGCCGGGTTCCACAACGTGAGCGACGATGAGCAGGATGAACGAGATCAACACACTCGTCACAAACTCGGTAGAACCAATGATACGCATGTTCGATTCTCTGCAGGCTTTTATTCAAGTCCAAAGGTGGATCCTTAATAGATCTGGTGAAGTTCGAAGAACTGCTAACGGCGGTGGTATCCAGAAAAAAGTTTTCCAGGTTACCTAAACGGAGAGTTGTCTCATAATGTACTCGGAACTGAGTTCTCTGTTTTCTTCGGGATGCTTTTTGTTTCAAACGGATGCGTGAAGAAAATAGGGTCCAGTTTCTTCTTGAGGCGATGAGTGGACCAAAGAATAGACCCGACTTGTGATCCAGAGTCGGTTATGATAGAGAGATTGTTGGTCCTGCTGTTAAGAGGGTGATAAAGCCTGACTCAGCGGTATAATGGAGCCTTGCCGACCTCGGTATGAAAGGTAATCCTGTTGGGAGAGTACACAGGCACGTTGGTTAATGGTTTCCCGAATCGTACTATAGCCACCCAGCCCCTAAACTTGAGGGCATTTTAACCCCAAACATAGACAAACATTCCCGTATCCATGTTTAGAAGTGGACAAAAAGGAAGAGAAAGACTTTCAGCCAATGGCATGCCCTTATGCTAACTTCCACATAACAAATAAAAAGTTATGTGCCAATGATTATTCTGGATTTACCCAAAATATCCAAGGGACGGTTATCTGTAGAAAATGAAATTATCAAAAAAGGTTCCTCATCTTTCGATAGCATTTACAAAAAGCAAACACTTATACTATTTATTTATTTATTCAATTCTGATATTTAGAAAGGGTGAGAGGAGCACAGAGTTTAGTGTACAAAATAACCACCACTTTCGGCATCCATGAGATGCATTGGAACACGCGAATTTGGCGCCACGTCCTCACAGTGACGATATAAGACTCTTACATGTAAGTGTTCCAATAACATTGCAAGTCAACCGGTATGTTGGTTAACAACGCCAATAATTAATTAAATGCATTATTCTTGATATTCAGCCAAATTCTGGATCTTAAACCCAACTGCGTTGGGTGGCCAGCAGATCCTGAAATACTGCCCAATGTAGTTTCAGATAAAAGAGTTTATCATCGTAAATTTATTTGCGCGGGAAATAAAAGATGTGGGATTTTGGGCTTGGGAAAGTTTTACAAAAGTTTGAATAAAAAGTTTTGGGTTAGTGTGATGGTCACCTTAGAGACAGCATGAACTCCGGTCTATAAACACTCCATCAATTCTGTAACGGAAAGGATTCCCTTTGAATAAAATAACAGTGATAAGCCTTCCGTTGTGTCTATCCCGATCACTCAACCAAAATGTATAATAACCACATACAATGATGCGTTTTGATTGGCATGACTGGTACCATTAAAAAAGTATATCATTAAAAAAAAGATGAGCGAAAAAGAGGGAACGGTGTGCCATGAAAGATTGTGGAAGAGGAGAGAAAGAGACGGGGAAATACTGTGCAATTATGTGTGCGTTTTTGTAACCTCGGCTCTACGTGTGCGTGTGTATGTGTGTGTGTGTGTGCGTGTGTGTGTGGGTGTGTATGAGAGAGAGAGACTGAAAGATAATGTAAAAGGTCGTGAGGAAACGTATCCGTTATTGCATGTATGTGCCTGTGCGTGTGAGGATGTGTGTGTGCGTGTGGATGTGTGTGTGCGCGTGAGACAAGAAAAACTAAGTTGCATGTGTTTATTCAAGGGTGTGCGTTCGTGAGAGAAAGAAGTATAAGAAGTGAAAGTAAAAGAAGATGGAAGAAGACGAAAGAAGAACGAGAAGAAAAAGTAGTAGTATTAGTAGTAGTAGTAGTCACGGTAGTAATAATATCCTGAGAGACCACATTAGAAAATGAGCTCAACGATATGAGAGTGGGGGAACTGAAAAGCGAAGGAGAACTTTTAAGTACATAATTAATAACTAGATAAATACTGGGGAGAGATGGAGATGAAAAGACAGATACTAGAAATGTTTATAAAGCTTAAAATAAGGATATAAATCTTGCCTAAGCCCTACTCGAGTGAAGAATAGGTAAAAGCGAAAGTTTCCCCAACCCCCGTGATCTCCTGAAAGAAAGTTGTATTACGCTGGGGGAAATTTAGCTAAGCGGCAAGACGATCGAACAAGTGATATTTCCGTGTGAAGTATGATAAGTCAAAGAGTAATCACTGGCTAAAGAGGTACATTTTAGGGCGTTAGGTTTTGCCTCAAACATTCTTAACTAAACAACCCGGTAGAGCCGTCTCCACTCAATTGTTACGCTGTTGACTCTGCTTTATGTTCTTTTTTAGTACAATTTGAGGTAAACAAAAAGAAAGGGTATTGCGAAAAGGTTTTGAGTTTGCCGAAAAGGAAACTTTGTAGTAGCAGTTGGGGCATTGCTTGTAGAACATATTCATCCTAGCTTACGCTCCCTCCCCCTAGCTCTCTCAAACACAAACGCACACACCGGCGAATAAGCGCGCACACATTTTTTTCTCTCGTTATTTTTCACTCCCCGCCCCCCCCCCCCTGCCCCCCCCCCTCTTTCTACAAACGAAAATGTGACTGACTAAAGAGTATATCGGGCACCTTTGCTCCATTTCTATTTGAACACTTCTAAACCGATAGTTAAAGTTCAACGATAAGTTTTAGCGACGTATCCCACTTTAATATACAGCAAAATCTGCATTCATCATAGTAAAGCAATAAATTATGTGTATCTCGTTCTAACCTTTAAATACCAGTCCACATGCAACGTCTACATCAAAATGTTACATTGAATTATATTGTAATGCATGAGAAGAACATTTTGAATAATGCCATTAATTGAAATACCCATCCAGGGATTAAAATGCTTTGGCATTTTTCACCTGATCCCAGAAGCCTTTCTCCGAGATGGTTCTAAAACCAAATCGATATCGAGAGAAGCTAGGAAGAATTCCTGTCCATTTAAGTTTGCTGTAATGTGTTTCTTCTATTTTACTTCGATTGTTTGGGCCAATATGCAGCATCACCCTACGCGTGAGTGACTCCAGAATATCGACACCAATGAAGAACAAAATCCGCCATTTTTATTCGGCTCTTTCTTCATACGAGTTTGCTCCCTCAGTTAAAAAACTCGGAGACGCCAAAATCGATTGGGGTGTCAGTGGCTGGAGGTGACAGTTCGAGTGGTCTTTGAAGGAGTTATAGGGGATTAATCAGCTTTCAAGTTATTCAATACGCCCCATACCAGCCTCTCAAAGGCCTTTATTTTCATTTGCTTGGTATATAAAATCACAATAAGTTTGTGATATTTTCTTAAGAATAACCGGATGCGAGATCTTCAGTCTAGGTGCGATATAAAGACCATCTCCATAGCTCTGTAAGAGCACCGGTGATTCGCAATTCGTTTCAATTTGTCTTTTTACCCCCTCCTGTTTGAGCATTTTCTGTATCTTTTCAAAATGTCTCCGAGATCTGACATTTCAATTGATCATGATAAATTCTTCATGGAGTGTTTGTTTGGCCTCCATGAGAACCACTGACAAGTGCTGGGAAGTACTGGTCACTCCTGATGACCACTGTGTAGTCAATAAAACATTTGATGAAAGCCGACTATAGGGGCCTTCAGAATTTAAATCCTTTTTATGTCAAACAGCAAGATCACGCGACTAAATGTTTTTATCGGACCGACTTCATTTTCATGTCTCTAATTCTAGCCTTTGTAACAAAGAATGGCGCCTCATTAGACCCGAACCGATGTGTAGTTGTTTGGGTTCGTTTTTCGTAGAAGAAGAAAAGTTCTCACGTTCAAAATGTATCATTTTCAAAGTAGGAAGACAAGCTTTTAAGAGATTCGTTTCAATTTCAACATTTGAACTATACACTTTTAAGTGATTAAACTCTAATCCCCATTTTATTCAACTATTCATATAACCGAAATGAATAATGATATATTTTGGCGCTTACAGATCAAACCGTAATCGGGGTAATGATGCTTTCTTATGACGTTGTGTTTAGTTCTCCATCAATAGGGATTACATATCTGAGATGAGGCAACCGTAAAGGCGTAAAAGCTTACTAAAAAGTATTACTCTTTCTACTTTGCGTTATACTTTGAACACATTTGAACAAACCGCATATCAACAGAATAAGGAATACTCTTCTTAAGATAGATTATCGTGTGTGCTATTTCTTTTGTACCAAAACGTATTTGTTATGGAGGTGGTAATTGTTCCCATCCGGCTTCTATGATACACTAATTTTGAATAAAGTGTCTAGGTATAACAGGAGGAGTCACAATAATATCTAGATTGGGGAGAAAGTAGGGGGATGAAGAGAGAACAGTCGGCTCAAATGTATATCCCTCTTATCTTCCTCACCAATGTTCGGGCAGGTCTCTGACCTATAAATCCGAAGTTGGTTAGTACAGGACTCGAGATTTGAAAAGGAGGGGAACTAAGATGTCACTTGAATTGGGGCTCACCAACAACACAGGGTACTTTTTATAAGTACTTAGTGTCTGCTTTATGGGAGCCGGTATAATGCGACAAAATGCTTTGAATAAAGTTAAGAAGCAAAGAGAAAATAGTTTTGAGGTGTTACTTTTATAATATGGGATATCTTGACCTAGAAAATTGTATTTCATGAGAAGTAAATGTTACGGTGAGGAAACAAATCATTTTGTGATACATATTGATTCATGGATACATCGGTTCAATTTTTCTCAAAGTTGTATATATTAAAATTCATCAATTCACATTTTTACTTTATGAAACACTTCAAGCAGAGTGATATTCCTGTGCATATCCTAGCCAATAATTTGTCATGAAGTAATATGGACGGTTCATGAAAGTAAATACAGCGTTACTTTGAAAACAAAGGGAAAAACTTGTGCGAGTAGATGTTCAGAAGCAATACTACCATCCACAGATAATTATATAAACTTAAAATTCTGTAAAATAGTCTACTACTTTCCTGTTACGAAAGAAAATCATTGAACTAGAGTCCCTCCTTGACTCGATGTAGTGAAAATATTATCGGTAGACGTGTGTCACACCAAAGAGTCAAAATTGGCAGGTATTTGCCAATTAACAAGCTTTTGACAAATCAATAAGACCAGGACGAGAAAAATGGCCTACACCTCTTTTTACCAAGATACAATTTCAAGAACGAGAAAACATTGAAACCCAAAGTGGTTGACAAAATGAGAAGAGAGATATACTGTGCAGTCAATTTTGATGTGGAAAATGATCATTCATTTTAATAGACCGTTCAATAAATGTTGCGGAAATTTGATGACAGATTTGTCAAATTAGTCGATGAGACGTTAACCACATAATTATCTCGAACTTGGAGTTATTTGGTCGACACAAGATTAGAAATAAGGAGTTTCATTGAACACAATATTACGATGAAAATATAGGAAAACTACCAAGCCAACATTAAATACTTGGTCGTACACAAAGATGGAAAAGAAATCAAATATACCTGGTAATATCAAAACAGGTTCAGTTTACTCAATCAGACACAAAACTGCAATTTGGCGAATTGCAAGATAACCAATCAGATGAATAATGGAACTTAATTAGTGTTCAGACCAAAATATTTTAAAATATACTTCATTAAATTAAAGAATTTTTTACATGAAACATGATTTGAATTTTTTCCGTTACTTGTCGTGTGAAGGTAATGTCAAAATTCACAAATTTCTTTACAACACTTTGGCCTCAATACATTTACAGGAACATTATCGCGTGTGAAATTTAGTCCTGCAGACCGGTCCCTTTAAAAACAAACCTTTTTTATTGATTGTCTTTGGGAGAGGACAGATTAGAATTGGAACTGGCCAGTAACATGACAATCAAAGGACACGGTATTAAGGCCTTACCAGCAGTCATGCATTCCAACATCTAGACCCAGCATATTGTTCTCTTATGGACAAGCAGGCCGCGATCGATTGATTTGCGAAGAAGCACCTATCTACCCTTTTCAACTTAAGCAAATAGTCTCAGGTGTTCAGCTAATATTGAGCAATATTTATATAACATAACATTCTGTTACCACATTCTACCCATCAAAACAACATTCTTGAGCTCATAAGCAACTGGACTCATGATTTCAAAGCTGCAGACATAATTTTCGGCTACTTTGCATTGGTTAATCACTTCGCGAAGTTCTTGAAGACAAAACGGCGTTTCGTTACATAATCTACCAACTTTCAGGAGTTCGCCTGCCCTTTTTTTGACCAAACAATTTTCTCCACCATTATGTTTGAGGCTAAAAATGAGAACAAACAAAAAGTGATGCGGGGCTGTACCCTCTCCGAGTTGGATTGGTATCGGAATGTTCTTTGCACATAATCGACTTCAACGATTGACCCCTTTACAAATTTGGAAGTCAATATAACAGTGCCTGGTCTACACAGCATCGGTCGTACTAATCCTTACAGAGTTCTCTCCGTCTTTAAATACATATCAACTTTGATAGAGTTTATCAATTGAAAATCAACTATAAAATAATGTTCACAGTCTTGATAGAATTAATGAAAAGCATCTTTAACTATATATAATTTACAAGAAAGAGCTAAAGTAGATCAAAGGGTATCTTTATTCTGACCGAGGAGTCAATATTGCAATATTTTGTGTTGTTTTTAAGGAATAAAGATGCTATTTATAATATTCTGGCCAATAAGTTAAGTTTCTACAAAGATAAATCACAGTCCTGAATTACGCAATAAGCATAACAAAATTACCAGCGCTTTCGACAGAAGACGCTCTTAACGAATGATTTACTGGGAGGAGCTAGACCTTGTTATCAATCTCTTGAAAGCTTTCGTTCATTAAGGGATGAATTAACCTTGTAATGTAAAGGATGAGAGTAAAGTAAACGCGACTTGTTTTCAAGTCAATATTTGATATTTGACTACATCTCTAGCCTGAGATCTGGTCGTGCTTTGCGTACCAAGCAGAGATCTGGTCGTGCTTTGCGTACCAAGCAGAGACTATAATATAGCAATGTCGATTGAATAAAGATTCAAGACGGAGTTTAAGTGTGTCTCTATTTCTGGGCCCCCTCACTCCCCCTTCTCTTTCCCTCTCTCTCTCTCTCTCTCTCTCTCTCTCTCTCTCTCTCAAGCTCTTTCTAGCTTAACTATCTCCAGTCTCAAGACTAGTCATGATTATTTGTCCTACAGCTAATATAACAGAAAAGTCGAAAGTCAGTATGTTATTTGCAAATTAAAGGAAAGAAATATGAGTTAGTACCTTCTGGAAAGCACTTGCATAAGTTCGGAATGGTAACATTATGAACTCTCGTATCGGTATACATCGGTATTGACGATTGTGTGTACTAGCCCCTGTGTATTAATGTGTTGACCATAATTCTCTCTCTCTCTCTCTCCGTCTCTTTACCTATCTATTTATCAATTACCTTTCTCCACCCCTTGCCTTCTTTCTCTCTCTCTCTTCTCTCTCTCTTTCTCTCTCTCTAAAAAAAAGAAAAAAACAATGCGTGCATGACTTTTGTTTAGCCCATTAAAAATGGGGTATACCATTACATTCGACTGCGTTTAAAACGTTTTAGTAATTTTGAAAAATTGATTTCAAGGCAATACATTCCATTTAAAGTTCCTCCATTAATCTATTAATTTAATAAATTATTATCCAAATAGGAGGTTCTGTAGGCCCCCTATACAGCTCTTTTATACGAAATCGGGGTTGCTTTTTAGCCATCAACTGTTCTAGAATCTCCCATTCCATGAGGGCATTATCCTTTAAGGCAATAACCCGACTATTTCAGGGTATTAGTGTGTAAATGCAAACACTTTCTATGTGTGAATAAAGTCTACTAGACCCTCCCTCACTTACGCGCTATTTACGAATACTATTATTAGGTTCCCGAACTGAAGAAGAAAATTCTTCGTTGACCTCTAAAAATAACCGTGACTGGTCATTTCGGGGGCAATTCCACAGTAACTGTTGTACGATGATATAGGAGAACACTATAGTTTTACATGACCTGACTGATTACTGTTAATAGGTTTGTATACTGGTTTATATAACATTGTATAGGGCCGAAGAAACAAAACGGAATCATGACGTTGATAAAGACGACGTACGATTAAATGAAAGCAATGATGCGTTGTTTTTTCTTAAAATAAAGGAATATTATTACTGTCATTTTTGTGATTTAATAACTATGAAAGTGTTCAGGTGTATTCAATGTAATATTGACCTGTTGCGAACGCAAGCATTTTCACACGGTGCTATTTGCATACATAAGAACAAATCCGGATGAGGGTCAAACGCACATATAAAAACGTTTAATATAATGAGGGATAATTCGTTAGATTTCATCATTAAGATGTGTTTAGAAGAAAAGAGTATCTATTCATAACATATCAACTCAGTTTTAAAAGTATTATATTGACCCTATACACGTTCTAAATGAATCTTTATTAGTATCCTTATTATTGTATCATTTACATATACTTACAGAGTAAACACAAGTATCAGAGACAAGCGCTTTGCACCACTCGCATAACATTTGTTAAGAATGACACAAGAAGCTAATAATTATTTCTAACAGTGTACCAATACCATGATACAATCTAAACGTTTTGTTTCCAGCGGCGCGCTTGGCAACATAGAAAATATGAATGAGTTTAATGTTTTGCTTTCAGGGTTTAAACAAATCGATAATATGAAGTCATCTCGGCAAATACGTGTATAGTCAATGATACCGAGCCAGTTTACAATTCCGCTAACAAGCGAAACGCCAGGGTGATTTGCACTTTTTAAAGCCGCGCAGAAGCTAGCTAGTAGCCTATACATCAAGCACCCGGGCTTGAAGGTGTATTGAAAACAACTACATAAGGCACATTGGCAACCCGAAATTCTTAGCTTACCTCCACTCTTAATGTAAATAGCTGCAAAGTTGATAAACTGAAGATAAAATTCCGTACATTGGGTTGGCGGAGTCTGGTACAACGCAGACGACAGCCTTCGAATTCGAACGGTATCGATAATGAACGACCAACATGCCTCGTTGCTCCGTACTAAGACCACTGCTGCGATGACAACAGACCTATACCCCTGGTTCTCGCCTTTTCTTCACTCAAAGATAATTGAAACGACGAAGCAGAAGAGGTTTTGATCCTGAGATGGTAACGATTGGACCCCTCAATGGCCCACGCTCCCCCATCCCCCTCGAGATCGATATCCCGATTTCAAAGGCAAATCGATTAATCCTAAGCAAGGAATTACTAATTGTTGTACACACACCCTCTCTTTGAACGAAAACTTATGGCGAGGGGAAACGGGCGAGCTCCTTATATCCAACACGGGAAAGCAATCCTGAAACACCTTCAATCTTAGACGACCAGATCATGTGCAAACAAGGTTAGAAAAGAAAGCAATTATCGGAACAAAAGGTGGCAAATCATTACCTACTCGTAGCCATTTATAAAAAGAAAAGCTGTAGTTGCTTGATTTGGTATTATGGCATATTTACGACTTCCAGACCAATATTAGTCTTTGCGGGTGGGATTGGGATGAAAACATGGTTAAGCTGAGCTTAAAGTAATTGAAATTCAATGAAGTAAACATCGATACCCATTGGTTCCCCAGGGATTCACGTATACTTGAATTCTACCAATGGCTGAGAATGGCAAGCATTGATCCGGTATCCTTCGCCTTCTCCTTTTATGTCAGAAATCAAAGAATACCATCTTCTTCTTCTTCCCTTTCAGATATCATGACTCCGATACCCTGTCATACTTTGTATCTACTCTAACCACGCGTAATAATACGATTCTTATATCCTTTCAATATTCTGAGAGACCCTCACTATAAAAAAAAAACAATTTAATGTTATCTCATTGAGCTGAGTGAAACGTGACATTAATTTCAAAATATTGTATATCAATTTTTATATTGCTGGATCTAACACTGAAAAGGGTGCATCCAAAATTTAAAAGTGAAGAAGCTACCATTTTGAAAACGCCGTCAATCCTCGGGCCTTTGCATTGGGAGCAGACATGAATTAATATTTCCCACCAAAAAGAGCAGTCTTTCATCACGTTATGTCGGTCGATACTCTATTTTATAGTAGTTTAGGTTTTATAGTTCGAATGATCATTTCTTTGTGAATAATTAGTAACGATTGAAATGCAATATTCGGACTATCAACAAAGCTTCTGATGAAATAGAATCGGATAAAAAGAATAATGAATTTATGGACATCACTATAGTCGAACTTCGCAAACAAAATCAATACATTTTGTTAAAGTTTTGTATAATATGGCTTGTCCTACATGTTTTTGTCTTATTTAAAAGGAAATATACACACCGTTTTTAGTATTCATTTTCAGAGATTAACATAAAACACATAGGCCTAGCATTCAGATTGGCCGGCTTTTTTATTTTTTGTTAATTGCAGTTCTTGAATGTTGCTTATCTGCTTATATCTTCACATTTTGGTGAACATGCATGGGAGCAACTTTCCTTTCATTATTTTATCGTAAACCAGGAATCTCGGAGATGCTTTCGCGATTAATGGGGAAAGTACCTGGAATTATAAACCCACTTGAACAATATGTATTTGTATGATAAGGTAGATCGTTCACATTTCCAGGTCCTGTGGTGATGTAGATGCAATGACTGACACCTGCCAATCATCTTGCGGCAAGCCGCTGTAGTTACAAGGGATTTACGGGCGGTCATGTATCTCGAGTAACGACCCAAGGAGGCGGAGCAATCACGATTACGAGGAGATGTATGTTTAAAGGCCAAGTACATGCAGTGTGTGACATTAATTAGGAAATCAAACATGATTATGGCCATTTTACGGGTGGTTTTCTATAGGCTTTGCAAAATCGAACTGCTGTAGAGGTATAGCGTATTCGGCCTTGATCAACTAATTTGAAGAGCAAAGAAATGTGACAAATTTATTCTTGAGGCTTTCAAACGGTCTATATTAAAGGCTTTTATCGGCCTTATCTCAGTATAGCAATTGCACGCAATAATGTATCAGGCAAAGGGCGGAGCTAGCTTGCCCCTCCCCCTTCTCCGTTGGCAATATCATTAAAACTGTGTTTTTAAAAAAATTACTTCTAGAGCTCGGCTTCATTAGAGTCAGAATAATGGCCTTCGGTGTGCCCTTAGATTGCAAGAAATTGGCTTAATGCTTCCCCTTTTAATGCGAGAGGGGACCCCGGTACTCATTGGCCTGCTTTTGCCTCTTCCTCCTTGTTTATCACTTTCTGTTTCTGTTGTATAGCCCTCTCTGGTTCGAAATTGCTGATCCGAAATGGATTAAAAAAGAGCAAAGAAAAACGAAAAGGGATCTAAAATGGCTAACAGGTCATATGAATTATTTTTCATCGTTACTTTAATTACATAAGTCTTCTCTTGTGTAGGGGAAAAATTGACAGTCGTCAAGGATTGGGGGCGCAACGCAATTTATCATCAAAATCAGAGAGATCTCACCAAAGGGATTTTAGATGCTTGCAAATTCTGACATGGGCTTTGAGAGACGATCACTTTTAAGCGAAACAAATTACCTGCTTATCACTGATATCATTTGTGAAGGGATGAGATGGGATGTGGGAGTCAGCTAGAGGGAGGAGATACATCATGTTTGAATATTATTCTTAATCTCTAGCTCACGTGTGGCCCCTGTTTAATTCTAAGGAACCTTTGAGATAAAATATTAGAGGTATGGTTTCCAAGAGATCGACGATGTATGTTATGTGAACATCTGAAAGAGGAATCTCATTCATCGCTACCGCGGTAGAGATAGCCAATAAATATTGTTACGTCATAGAAGAGATTGAAGAAGAACGGGAGTAGTTTAGAGATGGATGAAAGATGATTATAAAGAATTACTACATCTTGTAATGGGATTATTAGAGAATCAACGAATTGATGATGTGTGCGTGTTACACAAAGCCAACATTTCTCAAAATGGCATACAGCTGGAGGCCTAATACACAAAGCCATTGGTTGACTTTCAAATAATTTATCAACCTTTATGCTTTAAAAAGTGGTATTCTGTGTAACAAGCAACCTCTTAAATATGTGCGCGTGTGTGTGTGTGTGGGTAAAGGGGGATAAGCCCAATTCAACGCACTGACAAATTGAACAAGAATGGTAGGTGATATTATCATGTTGGCTAGCTATGCCCAATTTGCCGACTTGATTCTCTCCCCCCCCCCCCCCCCCCCCCACATCCCCTTTTCGGCTAATGCCCGCAATGAAATCATCGCTAGACAATAACTTCATTGCTAAAGATTAATAATGATTGAGACATCATGCTCAACAAAAATGTGAAACATCAATTCAACAGACTGTGTCTATATGATCTTGCCTTTATAATTTGAAAGACTGAATCTAATCCAAACTGTTATTCCCCACGACATGATCAGGGATGGCTGCAAGGAATATACAACGGTTTAAACTCACCAAAAATCACCACGGATATAGTGCCAACATCTCCATGAATAAACATGGGTAATTATGTATTCGAACAACGACAACGACTGCAACTTGTAAAAGGTCTCGAAGGAAAATCTCGATCAAGAAGGAGCGACTAACAACACATTGAGGAACAAAATTCATACATCACCTCCAGTTAGCGAGTTATCTTGTAACTGGTTGGGCGCTATATTATGTAAGCAATTTTATTACCGTTACTACTATGACAGTAGCAACTGATAAAAAGACTGAGAATCAACAGAAACTACGTCAGCCTTTTACGTTATATTCACAGAGCTCCATCCTCTTCTCTATATTTACAAAAAAATAAGGAAAAAAGGAGCAAGGACCAATCTACCTCCAATTTGACCCGATTTCGAAGCAAGGTCCGTTCTTATCAGAGTCCTCGATCATAAACACGGGACGAAGGTGGGTTGTTTATTGTAAACAACGAGGAATGAGAAATGAACGCAGGTGAGACAAAATACCACACTAGGGTATGCCCATGTACCATAGTAATTCAACGAGATCAGGAACAAATTCCCCAAAAGGGTATTTAATGAGCTGCTCTATTATAGTGACATCCATATCTTGTACATTAATAATATTAAGGTTTTTTTAATGAAAAAATAATACTATTATTAATGTGTCACAAGCGTTATTTTTGAGAAAAATGTTGTAAAATTTATGACATCACAAGGGTTAATTTTTACCCCCCCCCCCTCCCCTTCTCTCTCTCTCTATCTCTGTCTGTCTGTATGTCTGTCTGTCGCTGTCTGTCTATCTGTCTCTCTGACTGTCTGTGTCTCTGTCACTCTATTTACGTACATACATCTGTATATATAAATTACATTTGTAATTATCAACATAATATAAGCTTCCAATGTTTGATATAGCTATAGGCTAACTTCGTTATGGAAGCAAAATGTTTAAAGTCGAAATCATTTTGTATCACTTTTGCCTGGGGGGCCTTTTTTCAAGATTGAAAAAGCAACGCATCAAAAAAGATGGATAACCATGTGAATACAACTCTTTTGGTGAATATTTTACTTTTCTGCACCTCTATTGAAGCATTTATGAGGCCCGTTGAATAGAACTTAAGTCTACTAGCATAAAGCCAAAATATGAATCATTGTGTTAACGTATACAGATAAATATCAGGCTAATCACTCGCTATAACTGTATTACATGCAAATTCAGAGATTTTCAAAGGTACATTAAATACAACTGTTGACATGCTCTTGGTTTCATCAACGCTCCAAATAAACAACATATTTCACAGGGGACAGATGTACAGTGATTCGGCCAACCAATTTAAGATCTATTTCTGACATAAACATTGATTTTATTTTAAGAATAACATCTATGTCATTTTTCGATATTTTCGAACGCCGCGCGACTTGGGAAAGTCAGTTCCAATATTCTGATGCCGTACTATTTTTATTTTATTTTCTTCTGCACATCGTCCATCTAAGGTCAGTAAATATCGACCACTACCTTTAATAGTTTCGTATCCCACGTAATTACGTTATTCTATAGGTTTCAATACATCAAATTGGGACGTTGACCCGTGGTTCCTCCATTTAAAAGACACTAATAAATTTTGCTTATTGTCCTCCCAATTTGAAAGCCATTGTTCTCATTTTTAATTTAGATTCCTCGGTACTGAGCAACATACAACACGTGGAAAAGGTTTACAGGAAGAAGAAAAGAAAGACCTTCATAAAATATCGGCGAATCCAAAGTAATATATCCAGCCTATACGAGTTTATGATTAGTATTCCA